GAAAGATAATTTGGGCTACATGCTTTGTTTACTCGATATCCTGCATGCGAGGCCGGCGATACCTACGGATGCATCCAGACATGGATTCCCAACCGAATCTCGACCGAACCGTGGACTACTAGAGCGCTCGTTAGTTCGGATACATGACCTAATGCGCCGAGTAATGAAGGAGACTTTGAAGGTCGACCAAATTCGAAGGATATCACGAAACTGCTTTTACGCGAAGAGGCGGATCTTATTTTACGAGCATGACTGGGACCTTTCTTGCTTACAATGAACGTACGGTTACGTGCCTGGGCGTCTTCAGATTTTGTGGGCGGGATAAGGATTCCATTTTTCCAAGCGTTCTAGAACGGCGTCTTTGAAAGACCTGGACGAGCGCCGGCGACACATGATTTCTTTTCGCAGGAGGACATGGGACTGGGGAATTCAGAGGATTTATCACTTTGGATCTTGTTATACCTAGAGCTCTGCAACCGGATGATATAAACTGAGATACCTCTTTTATGCTTGAACATTATTTCATCTAACACATTGACGCCTTCGTGGTGTGAGCCGTGATATGAGTGAGCCTGCTCGAAGGCTACTGACCAACCGGGGTTACACAAAGGTAGTGAGTGAGTGACAGCAGAGAGAGGGCTGGATGTAGGCACAGAGAGGGGGAAACGGGGGCGGGGGAAACGGGCGAGATGGCGGGGTTCGTGCCGCGCGCGTCTGCCTTGGAAGTTGGATCCAAGCATCGAGATTCGTGGGCACGAGGGGTCAAAAGGCCGTTATCCGTCGGTGAGAGAGCACGGACTACACTACCTGAGGAGGTACCGGTAGGTATGGAAGTGTGTGGCATGGGATGAGATGGGATGGGATGGGGTAAGCACGGTGGGTACCGACCGCCCTTGCCGGAGTGGAAGCTGCGGAGCCGAAAAAAAAGGATGTGGGTCCAGTCCGTCGCCGCTGCTCCGGGCGACTTCCCTGTTTGATCTGTCAAGAGTGCCGAACCCGATCTCTGAGGGAAAAAAAAACCCTGGCAATGGGATTTTGAACCCCCGACCCCACGCGTGATTGACCCCACGTCACACTTAGCCTCCTGGTTTCTCACCCCGCGTTAGGGTTCTTGTTCGGTGGTACGGTGGAATGAGTCTCCGAGGGTGGTTTGTGGGGTGAGGGGAGTATTCTCTTAGTCATAGTATGCTTCCAGTTGTTTGACGAAAGGGTAAGAATACTACGGGGAGAGAAATGGATTCTTGTCGCTGTTGTTGTCGCATGGATGATGTTTGATATTGCCGGCTCGTTGTGAGTTCACTCATTGTAGCTGTCTCCAGGTGTGAAATGTGTATCCAATGCTCTTGGATAATTTGGTGACACCTATCGATCTTCGATGCAGTCGGCAAGGCCATCAAAACCCCATCGTCACGCAGCCCTTCATATGGCTTCCTGTCCAAAGTCCGTTTCCTCTCGTAGGGCTTAGACGTTGGAGAGGTTCCATTGAAGATGACCAGCCAGGGCTGCTCGTGCCGAAACCGGAAGCTGGATGAAATCCACAGAGATCGTCCAACGGTCAATTGTAATGAATCTCCTCGGGCCCGTAGGGATCACGACAGATCCTGAAGTGGCTTCGTACGGTGCGACCTGATCTACTGCCCCGTGACGCGACTCTCCCCACTATGCCTTGGCCTCAATGTTTGATAGGGCTGAAGGACCTTGACCTCTAGATGGCATGGAGCTCGAGGCAGTAGTTACTTGCTATTGGTTACATGTATACTTATTTATGCCAAAGGCTGGAAAATTGCCAAAAACCAGCTCTCTAGCTTCTTCGTTACCAAGACCTGCCTGCCACTCACATATCCAATAGGTCAACTAAGTCAACTACTATGAAACTGATGGGGAGGACAAGACTTATTCGCGTCTTACATATTTTCTAGGCAATCAACATCGACGTGCTTGGCCGCCGGAACCAAGAGTTCTTGCGACCATGGGAGCCTTCCTTTGAAATCTGTGTAGTTTATTGGCATGGGATGCCTGCGGCAGTTCTAAGCGTTGAATGTATAGCCTGGATAGATGGGTGGATAGTACAGAGCATCTCAAGCAAGTAGACCTAGTTGGCCTTGACTATCTCAATTGTATTCGAGCGCGACTATCCTCACACGTACGAACATTTGTTTTAGGAGACAGTCTTTATGGAAACATTTCGAGCGACGTCAAGTTTGGCAGCAATTGTGGTGGAGTTGCTTGTTGAGCGTGTGTGGTGATTTTGGTGTGGAAATGATGACCGAAGCAACTTTTTAGTTGGAGGAAGCTTACAGGTAACTGGAAAACGGGTGGCCCCCTTTGGGGAATAAAGACTTTTGGTACGAGCGACGTATCTTTTCGCGATTGGCAATGTCCACCATGATGGCGCAACTATCCCAAGGTATTTTGGTGACAAGCTCCACCGGGTGTTCAGCACCTGTCTGTCAGTGCCATCACTGCAATGAAGGACAGGTACCTCGCAAAGTACTTCGGGATCAAGTTTCCCCAAGCTCAGAATCCTGGACTAGTTCCGCACTCATTGCCTTGAAGATCCAAAACTGGATATACTATATATATCTTAGCTATCCGAGGAAATCTTAGGGAGCTGAGCGTCCATCAGTGGCGCTACGACGAGAGCACCCGTAAGCGGCTCGGTGCCATTCTACCTCGGCCAGTTCAAGGCCTTGGAGGTGATCGACCTGGATTTCAGAAGCTCCGGCTCACCGTACTAGGGGCGAGTTGATAGGCATAAATAAGCCCCATGTCTACTGGCCGTACTAACCTTGCTGCCCCCAGCGGATACATCGCCGCCTTTAGGGGGGAGAAAGAAGAGATTTCCTTTCTTGTACACAGCCTAGCCGGGTTGCCGCAACAAATTCCACGCAAAGTATCCCGTCAAGCTGGTAATGTTTACCACCCAATGTGGAAGCCGCGCCCTGTACCCATTTCTCGCTGACTAGTAGCGATTGTGTAGCTCATTATCGAAGACTTGGGAACTCTATCATACCCCATCTCTAAAAACCTAAGCAGATTCTGTTATGCCAGGTCCCAAACAGTTTCATACCAGCAAAACTAGGCGACAATTTTTTTTTTTCACAGGAGCGTGGGAAGACAGGCGTAGGAATACATATATCTACCCCGACGCCGGCATAGAGCATTCACATCAAGAGCGTGCCGAGTAGCGAAGAACCTGTCAAAGGCCTAGAGCTAATGAACGCTTGCTGCAGGAGCGGTTTCTTCTTCTCGAGTACAAGGGCGTTTCAGCCCCAAAGTCACCTTTTGCGGGAGAGTAATCGTAATACGTGAGTACCCGGTCAAGGTGATCAGGCTGCACTAAAGCATATTTAAGCGTACTGACTCTTACAACACCAGCGACTCTCTACCAGCGACCATGTCGGTTGCCATCTGCCACGGTACTGTGGCACATCTCTCTTTCCAGGTACGGTATATGGGAGTTATGACGGCCTGTCAGGTTATTTCCCCAACGATGTTCGTTTGCGGAATTCTAAACCTATCGACGTCTACCTATCCTAGCATAGCCGAGGCTAATTACCATCCAGTATCCGTTCTCGTGAGAGTAAAGCACCGCGAATATACACAGGATAGGGTGCTTGAGTGAGATCCAATGCCTGAAGACTACTCCTGCACGAGGTTTGAAGTATATAGCGTAAAGGTCTAGGGAGTTCGTTTGAAATCAACACTGCTCACCAGGAACCGCCAGACGGCTCCAAGAGACTACCGGAAGATTGGCCTGCTCGCCAAAAGAGGAAGATCAAGAGGCTCATTTTATACTTCATTCCCATAACACCCTTTCAAGGCGGGTGGACGCATCGACTAGTCTTCTGGGAAGACAGTACGTCAAGAAAAAAACAGAATACCAGGAACCACATCATGCTTTGCTGGACATGGGGGTGGCCGCATCTATGATGGAGAAAGGGACCGTCTAGCCAATGCAGTCGATGATGCCCGAGCTGTGTATCACACGTTAAGAGCTCCTCAATGTCTTTGCCTGGGTGGCGAATAGTGAGAATTGCTATTGGCGATAAGAGGGAGCAAGGTCCTTACGCGGGTATCGACTTGGTTTGGAAAACACACATATACACACACACACGTACACCACAACACAGTATCAGGCACATTCAGGGGTAACAATCGTCTCATCATTTGACCAAAACCTAGGTAGACAATCGTCACGCTGCTAAACCCCAACCATCATCACAAGCCATCACAAGCCACCAGGAATCACCAGGCCCATCTTCAGTGTGTATGAACTCATTTTGGAAAAAAAAGAATTTGTTATCAAAACCGTACGAGAGAATCCTCGACGGCCGCTTATTGTCGTTATCTTTTGCCCTTCTGAGCCAGCCCCGCTCCGCTCCGCTCGTTGATCAGTCATCAAACGTCCTGCGCGCGCGCTTCCTCTTCATTTTTTTTGCCCCCCCCCTATTCTTGACGTGAAGGGGGTGGAACCCTTCAGCGTCGAGATGAGGCTTCTCAGGAAAAAAAAAAACAACGGTATTGTACATTATGGTAAAAAAAAAGAAAAAAAAGGCAACTGGGCACGTGTGCTCAATCTCTCTGATAGTGTCATCCACCCATCTCAAAGAATAGAAGTGACCCTTGTGCGCCTGGCCTGCTCTCGTACGTCCACGGCGAAGAACAAGCAAGCAGAGGTCATGGTTGTGTGTAGTGTATCATCAAAAATTGAGAAATCCATGAACTCAGAAAGAAAAAGAAAAGGAAACGCGATAAAAAAAAAGGGCGGGGGAATTAAGCGAAGGTTGTTTCGTCATGAGTACGTTGAATCATTGCGAAACGAAGAACAGAGCCCACGCGTCGAAACCAAATCCCCAAAATCCGAAAACTCCTTCCAACTGCGGACTGCAAACCGCGGCGGACCGTGTGCAGTCAAAGAATGTACAGAAAGTGTAGTGACGAACGCTCGAAAGTAGTCACGTGGAGAAGCGAGAATTCATGCGTCGCAGAACGCCAGACTAAGGCCTGTCAGGTCGGCTTTTCGTCTTCGCTCGATCGTTCTCGGCTTGTTCGTCTACGTCGAGTCGCTTGCGCCAGTCGGCCAGACTTTCGCTGAGGCCAAGTCCGACCTCTTCGTCCTTGCGAGTAGGGGTCGCGGCGCCCTCAAAGTCAAAGGTGTTGCTGAGGCGGTAGTTCTTGTTGGTGGCTTCCCAGTGGGTCCGCAGAGTCTCGAGCTCATCTGCCAGATTGTCCAACGCAGTGCTATTGCGTCCGTCAACTCCGCCAGCGACTGCACCGTAGGTGCTATCCACGTCAGAGCTATCCTGTCGTCGGTGCCCGGCGCTGTTTCCGTTGGTACCCCTCTCGGTCAGGTCTGAGGTCATACTCGGTGCTTGCCTGCTTTGCCGGCGGTAGCTGTCGACTGAGTTCTCGACCTGGTCAAGAAGCAGCGAGACCTTGCCTTCGGCATCCTGGGCGCGACGCTCGAGAAGGAGGTTCTCCTGCTGGAGGCTCTCCAAGTCCCGGCGGTTGGCGGCGAGTTTCCGGGAAGCTTCCTCAGCGTCCTTGAGAGCGCCCTCGCGTTGCTGCTTGCTATCCTCGAGCTCCTTTCTGACTGCAGTGAGTTGTGTTTCAAGCTGTTCGGTGGACGCCTGCAAGTCTTCTTCCAGGGCCTCAATCTTCTCCTGTAGAATGTGGCGTTCGCTTTCCCAGTTAGCAGGCGCATTTCCGTCGTTGCCGGCGGATGCCTCCACGCGATCCTCAAGCTCGATAACCTCGTTCTTGAGCTTGGCGTTCTCCGTCTTATACCTAGCGAGCTGTTCCTTGAGTTGCTTCAGCATCTTCTCCGTACCCTTGACGTAGTGCACAGCAGACTGATAGTCGTTTTCCAACTGGCTGAGCTTCTCACGGTACGCAGCTTCGCTGGCCTCTTGTTGAGCTGTGCTGCGCTGTGCATTCTCTTCATGGGCGGACAATGCGGCGTTGAGCTGATCCTCAAGATCGCGAATGCGGGCCGCCTCGGGAGTGTTCACTCGCGGGCTGCCAATGCTTCGGGTTCGCGACATGCCCGTGGGGCTGATGCCACGCTCTACGAGGATGTCTTTCAGGGTGTTGTGTTGCACGGTCATCGCGTTGGTCTCCAGCTGTTGGTTCTGAAGTTGGTGCTTCAGGTCTGAGTTCTTAGCCTGCAGAGATTGAGTGTCCCTCAGAGCCGCCTGGAGCTGTCTCCTGATTGCCACACCCTCGCGACTGGATTGCTCCTGATAGACCTCCAATCCAGCAATGCGCTCTTCCGCAGTGCGAAGCTTATCAGCCGCAGCATCGGCCTCTTGCTGGTACTTCTTGACGAGCGCGTTCGCAGCGACGAGCTGGGCCTGCAATGCCTTGGCACGTCCTTCGTCGGCTTTGCCGTCGGATCCGATGTTCCTCGCGGTGACTTTGTCGAATCCGGCCAACACAGCTTGCTGGTGGAGTTTTGCTTCGTTGGCGTGCTTCTCGGCGATCTCCTCAGCGTCACGCAGTCGCTGAGTAGCAGCCACGAGCTCTGTGGTACGTGCTTCGTGTTCCGCCTTGAGCTTGTTGAACTTCGACTCGAGTTGCTCCCTTTGCGAGCGCTCCTCCTCCAGCTTGCCCTCCAAGAGCGCCTTCATCTCTGCGGAAGCAGCCATGGCGGTACGGAGAGAGTCGAAGGTATCGTTCTGCTCCTTGGAGCTGCCGATGGAATCGTTGTACTTCTTCTCAAATTCGTCCTTCTCAACGGTCATGAGCTGAATCGCTGCCATGGCCTCTGTGTATTGAACAGCCTGCTCCCTAGCTTCTTTCTGCACCATGTGCAGTTCGGCCTTGAGCTGCTCGAGCTCGGTAGAAGTCATTGTCTTGTACGACTCGAGTTCGCTCATCCGTTTCTGGGAAGCATTGGTGGTGTCGTCGGCCAATAGGCGGGCGCGTTTCTCAGCTTCAAGCTCGGATTTCATCATCTCAAGCTGGGCTTGGAGGTCCTTTTGATAGTTCAGGGCAGAAGCCAACTTGCGGCTGATCTCGGTGGAACGGTCATCTACATCGCGTTCGCCATCTAGCTGGGGAGTGCTTGCAACGCTCCCACCCATCTGGGCTGCGACTCTTGCCTTAGCATACACCGCCTCTTGAATTGCAGCGTCTCGCTGCTTCTCTGCTTCGGCGATTTGTTTCGCAGCGAGAATGGCTTGTTTATCAACGGATGCCTGAACGTTAGCGAGCTCAGTTCTCATGGCCAAGAGAGCCTCAATAAGGGGCTTGTCCTCGTCATCAAAGGTCTCTGCGGCCCTGCTGTCAAGAACAGGGCTGAGGCTTGCGTTGGGAACATAGCCAGCCTTGCGGGCCAACTCAAGCTCTGACGCATACCAAGCGTTGCGGTTCCTAGCTGTGTCCAATTCCTTCAGTATAGCGACAGTCTGTGAGGTGCGGCCAGAGGATCGTCGAGACAACGGATTGCTGGGTTGACGGGTGGGAGCCGGTGGCGAGGCCGGGCGGATAGGTTGCTGCACTTGTATCGGCGACTGCTTTTGGGTTGGTGGCGGTGGCTGTGCTTGGGCGGGAGGTTGAACTGGTGCAGGCGGTTGTGCTTGCGTCTGAGGTGGTGGTTGAACTTGAGCTTGGTGTTGAATTTGCATTGCCTTCAAAGCTGGCTCCGTTGTACTATCCACGGAGGTTTGAGACCTGCTCCCTTGCCTAGACCTGGTCTTGGAAGGCTCCGAAGGGCCAGATTCAGACTTGGAGCCAGATCTTGTGACCTGCTGAGGAGTACGTCGCCCATTGGTGACTGGGCTCTCCGCGTCCTTGGACGCTGGCTCTTTAACCTCACGTATTACGGGAGACTGGCCTGCAGCAATCTGCGGGGAGCCACCAACAGATCCATCTCTCTCCGATGACTGTCCCCTAACTCTTCCCAAGTTTCCAGTCTGAACTGAAGGCTTTGCAGGTGTTGGTCCTTGGGGCGGGGGGCCAGCCGGGGGCGAAGTCACTGCAGATCTGGGGAGTTTCGACATGTTGTTGACTGCCGCCGGGTTCGCGTCCGTTCCGTTGGGAGATCCTCGCACCACGTTGGTGGGGCTGTTGACGGCGGAGGCATCGCGAGGTGCGCCAGGTGCACCTACAAGTCGTTTTTGATCAGGAGGACCCTGGGAACCGTCTCGTGATAAGATATTCCTTGTCTCTGCTGCAGCACTGGGCCGCCTCGCCTGTTGCGGGCGTTGCTGACCATTCGCCTGCGGTCCATTAGGTTGTTGTGCTGCCGCCGCATCGTTCGGGTACCGAATCTTTGTAGTATCGAGCATGTAGACTATTCCAAGGTCGCCAACGCTGGCGGGGGACGAAGAGGGTTCGCCTCCGACGACAACCACGGCCTTGCCAACGGTAGTCATGCTGTGGCCGGATCGAGGAGAGGGCGAAGGGCCCATGTTCTGGAAGGTGTACCAGCGGCGCGAAGTAATTCTGAAGGCGGCCAGATCTCCGAGGTCGACACCCTCTTCCGTTCGTCCTCCGAAAATGTACATAACATCGTCGACAATTGATGCAGCGTGACCCTCACGAGGGACTGGGATGTACCCAATGCAGTCATGTTGCGTCCATTCGTTCGTGGCAGGATCGTAGCTCCAAACATCGTTGAACCATTGATAACCGTTTGTACCACCGAAGCTAGAGTCCGTCAGCAGTCGTATCAGCGCAAGACTTGACACAATACGTACAGATACATCTTGTCATTGTAAGTAACGACAGAGTGGTTGGTTCGGGCAGCTGGGATTTTGCCGACGGGCGGTCCGCCACTCTCAGTGTTCTGGATCAACATCTCCCACCGGTTATTGGGCATTTGTAGCTGGTTAAGGTCAAACGCCGCGAGATCGTTCATGAAGTAGCCCTCGATTTGACCGCCAAAGATGTAAATCTTGGATCCAAGTATGTTGAGAGAGTGACCGTAGCGGCCAGAAGGCCTGGTGCCAGCGGGCAGTGCTCTCGACCATTGTCTCGTAGCTGTAACTGATTAGCGATTCCCCAACACAAGGGAGTGCACGCAGCATGACCAGGATAGAACTCACAGGTGTTGAGAAGATAGAGCGTCTCGTCCAGGACGTCCATCTCATCGACTTTGGTGTCACCGCCATAGACGATGAAGGCATTGCCAACAAGCAAACTTGCGTGCCCAACTCTCGGGCCCGGCCCCTCAGCTGTCGTCGCCAGAGGATAGCAGGCCATGTTCTGCCCGGCCTCGATCATCCACAAGTCGCCCTTGACGGTGGAACTGTTGATTAAACCTCCCATCACGTATATGTCGCCCTCCTTGGACGACACCGAATTGACAGCCGCTCCATAACGGGGAAAAGGGCTCGGGTGTGAAGATGTGTATGTCAATCGTCGTTGCGACCAAGGGTATAGCGACGCATTAGGGTTCATCATTTGTTGTTGGGGAGGCATCTGGTTTTGCGAGGATACTGGGGGAGCGTTGCGAAGCTGGGAAGAGGAGATCAGCGGTGTTCCAGCAGTGCCAGCTCATCAAAGTGAGCTGGAGAAACTTACAGGCAAATCGTTTGAAGGCGCTTGCGTCGGTATTTGGTCCACGCTGGGTCCTCGCTGGCGAGTGTAGCCTTGGTCGGGGCTTCCAGCACCGGCGCTGCCATCGCGATCGATTGAGTTCAAGCTGCCGGTTGGTGTTGAGCGCTGTGTGCCGTTCTTCTCTTCTCTCGCGATTCTCTCTCGCTGGCTCTGGATTGAACCCTGCGAGCCGCCAGAGTTTCCATCGCGGCTTGCAAGAGCTCGATCCTGATTCTTCTTGGACTTGAAAAGAAAAGCCATGGCGAATCAAATCGAGGCCTGCACGCTGAGCGGCAGTTGCAAAGAGATTTGCTCGTAAGTCGTGTCCAGTGCGCCCGGGATTTTGGGGGGTATCAATTGAATCGTTTCGTTGTTTGGTTGGAGAAGTTATCTAGGGGCGTCACGATAATGGAAAAAGTTGCTCAAGTCGCACGTTAGTCGTGGAGTCGATGATGCGGGTAGTGGGTGCTATCGCCAGTTCGCTGGGAAGCCGAGCTGGGTGAGGCGCGATGGAGATGCAGCGGATGCAGGAACGCAGCAGATACGCAGGAACGGGAAAGGGAGTCGACGCTCGAGTGTGCGGATGGCTGGGTTCGCATCGGTGGAGTGTGCCCGGGGTAGTGCGCGTTGCTGAGGCGAGGAGCGTCCTGCGATGTTCGACCTCGTCTTTTTTTTTATTGCGGTCCTCCTCGTCGGCGCAGTGAAGCGAGTAAGGTGGTAAGGGAGCGAGGGGTGAGAAACGAAAGGAGGCTGGGTGTTGGGCGAGACGGGACGATGTCGACTCCGCGCGTACGCAGAGCTGTTGCTGACGGGGGTTGGCTCGTCGGATTTTTAGGGGTTTGATTACTCTTTTTTTTTTTTTGTCCTTCTCCTTGTTAGGCGTTTCCCCCTCGGATTGCCGTATCTTTTCTGTCCGTGGTCGGTTTATTATTACTTTAGGCTCTCGGGCCAGGAAGACGCAGTCAGGTGTCTGCTGATAGGTACGGCGATCGCAAAGCGAAGGATGGTCGAAGTTGGATAGAAAGCTGATGATGCAGCGAAAGAAAAGAATGCCTGGCTAGAGTGGTCTTTTCCGAGAGTGTGTCGGTCACTTCGTTACCTCTCTCTCTCCGCCGTTGTAGAAAGGAGGTTTTGGAAGAAATGCCACTCTAGGGATTGGGAAGCGATGGGGAAGGGGGCAGAAGGGGGGAAAAAAAGACATTGGACCCAATGCTTCTGGGCTGATGGAATTCACCTCCAAAATGCAGGAGTAACAGCGGAACCTGAGAAAGTGCACCTAAAAATGTTACAGCCCAGTGCTAGCTGCGAAGTACCTTCTGCCATTGGGCTACAGCCTACCAGGGCACTCGTAGTCTCTCTCTCCATCGTTTCGGGGGGCTCCTGTTCCTGCACTGACTGGCTCCGCTGGGTCGCTGCGCTGGCCTGTTCTCCGCCCACCAACTTGACTGCTTTAGCCCGCCCTGCAACCTGCCCTGCACATCTGCACTCTGCACTTGCGGCTAGGGGCTTGTTCTTAGCTGATGTTGGACCAATGGGATGTCGTACAGCTTGAGTTTCCGCTCGCTTATGAATGGGGGTGCAAGGGCTGAGTAGGGGAGAGCCCAGTATCCAAGCAGAAGGGGAAACTTTTTCAGAGGAGCACGGGGAGGCTCGCAGGCGCTTTCTTCGCGACGGTGGGTGGGGGAAAGGAGGGAATGGAAGGAACCTAGGATTCTCGGACATCAGGCGGGACATTGGGAGTACTCGACGCCACGTGGGTCATGCCCTTTCAAATGGTGTCACTCTTCGGTACATCACCATGCACGGTGGCCTGCTTCCCGTTTCCTTCAAAAGGGGCGGGCTACGTTAGCTGGAGACACGACGAGGCCTTACGAATTGCACCGGATCATTAAGCATGCCGTAAGGACGTAAGTACCTGACAGGCTGCCACCGGAGCGAGAAAGGGGACCGCCGCTGCTTAGCTGACGGCTCAAGTACGAAAAAGGTACTTGGCTTTGGCCTGCCTTGGCTTGGTGTCCCATGTATCTACCATCCAAACATCTCGATGAGGAGTAAAGGTTCTCTGTTCTATTATTACTATCAAGGGCTTCTCCAGCGCGACCTGAGGCGGCCGTCCCGTCGAGTCGACTGGTTGCTGACTGCTGACCGAGTTGGTACCTTACCTTGGGTGCTTAGCTCTCATTCTTCCACCCACCTAATGTTCGAACACTTCTCTTTCAACCTCTCTCTTTGAACTTCAAAGTGAGGCAGGCGGATGGAAAGCTTCGCACCCTCGACGTCTCGTTGCCCTCTGTACACCATAGTCTGGACAAAAGCTGATGCGCGCCAAGTGCCATGTGCGACTTTGAGTCAGAGTCAAATCAGCCTTCCCGGCGCTGATCTTCCCGACCTCTAGAACAAGTTGTAATTAGAGCCAGCTGTTCCGTCCCCTTTCAAGGGACACACATACCTTCTGGGTTCTTTGCCAGTCTTTGGCCCCGGTATGCGTACCCATGGCCATCAGTCAAGAGACTGTGGAATCTTGCCCATTTGGGACAGGAAACCTCAACAACAACCCACTCACATCATCAACGTGACATCGGCCCCCATCAAAGGCTCCAATTGCTCCAACTGTTGCCCCCATCACGATACTACGGAAGGTAGCACACATTCTGAGGTCCGAGTCGGGCGACGTCCGTTCTGGTACGAATACTTTCTGCAATCAAAATTGTCAGCCTTTTTGTTGCCCAAGCCTGAACGTCCGCGCACCCGTAAATGTCGTATTCTGTGCCACCTACCCGAGGCACGAGCTGGTCCTAAAAGTCAATTTGATGCCCGTGGACTGGACGGGCGAGAGGTACACCATACACCTAGGATATTCGTCGTGTATTTCTTCTTTGACAAACATCAGGTCTCGGGATGAGACATGGAAGCACATGACGTCCAGTCACTGGCATTCCAGCCCCCAACACCCTGCCGCCAGTCTGGGCATGCTGGGCAAGAAACAGCGTATCAAAGGATCCCACCCCAGCCTGTTCAAACAAATGCCCTTGACGCATGTACTCTCCGTACGTACATGTCTGACAAGCAGCCGAGGCGGCGCATCCATGCCACAGGAATTCATGAACATCCTCATCTTGTTCCCGCCCTCGTTCCGGGCCCCGGACCAGCTGCCAAGGAAGAGAGGCAACCAAAGAGGGAAAAGACGATGAGGCTCGTGGCAATGAGAAGATTCTTCCCATGCTACTCTGGCGTATAACAGAGGCTGTTAATGGTTATTGGCAGCCCGCAAAACTCGTGGCTTCAGGGGGTCGTCTTCTCCGTAGCAGCCAAAGAGGGCGGCGGTTCCATTGATAGGTTGAGGATAATTTCCCTTCAGGGGGTCCATCTGCCATGAGGTGGTGCGTTTCAAGTCTCCCAAAGCTTCAACGCCATTCGGCAGCCTTCCTGGCACACGGACTCTTTGAAGCTTCGAAATTCGGCAGCGGCCGCAAAGAATTGGACGGCGTAAGAGCAAAGAGGACGGGAAAGACTTCCGAGGACGAAGGTCCCACGAGTGACGGGGGAGAAAACGGACGTTGTTGATCGCCTCTCGGGGTATGGAAATAGATACTAATACCTAGTCACGATGTCTGTCATGTCCGAATAGGTACACTGTGCAGACCACGGCTCAGGACAGGGAGCGTGCTCCACACCACAGACGTTGAAAGCATCTCACCATGCCATATTGGGCGTGAGCCGGCCTTGCCTGAAGACTCCTGGCGCATGAGCAGTGGAAGGGTGGTGGTGGCGCAGAGATAGACTTTGATGGAAAAAGGCATGGAATTCTGGCAATTTAACCTATCGGCCTAGCCTCCCTGCTAAATTCGGCGCAAGAATGTTGTACTGAGATGGCGCGTCTGAGAGCAAGATGTGAACGTTCATTCTGGTGAGCGAGCATTAGCGTTAGCCTGAAGCAGACGGGAGACGGAAAGCTGGCCACGCGGCGGCGGCGGCGGCGGTTGGCGTCCAACTCTGATCGTCGACGGCGTGAGCGAGACGATGGGCGAGCGCGATGTGAATTGAGGCTCGTGTTGGGGGCAGGGTCGGTCCAGGTTCGAGTTGGGTGGGCAAACAGGATGGACCCTCGCGATGGCCTCTGATGGCGCATGGACGCACCGGCCGACGACGAACCGACCAGTCCATCTTATAAGGTCGAGAGTCTTAAGAGCGCAGCCGCATTCGGCGATCGGGAAGGTCTCCAAGCATAAACCGTCTCAACAACGAATGACCCTGAAGCAGGGCATGCGGTGAGCTACAAGCATAGCGGGCGCCCCCCTCATCGTCGTGATCGTCGTCGTCAGCATAAAGGCAGAAACGGCCAAGCCGCAATCCAGTAGAAACACAAGCGATGGATTCCCACAATCCAATTGTAGCTTGCAATTCGGAGCGAATCCCGCCTCGTATCGTGGCAGCTACATAGGCCAACGAGCTCCAAGACAGAGGTGAATGGGTCGGCGATACGCAATACGGCGGGTATGACGTGCGCAAAGCCAACGGAGAGGGATGCGACGATCCATAAAAAAAAGAAGAGAGAGAAAAAAAAAAGGGAAAAAAAGGAAAACGACATCCCCGCAAAATAACCGGAAAGAAGGGAAACAAAAAGGAGAGGTAGGAAAAACAGAGAGCGAGCCGGCCGTTTGGTGCAAGACATTGTTTCTAACGCGCCCGCCTCCCGCCAGCCCATTCCCCACCGTGCCTGAGTGATGTTGCGAGGAATGTTTTCTCCGATTTGCTCGCGCTATCAATAAGCCTGCGATACAGTAAGGTAAGGTAAAGTAGGTAGCCACGTAGATAGCATATGTCGCAAGATTGATAAACATCCAATTGATTGTCAGGCACACTTCCATTTCTTGGGAAACCACCACTACCTAGGCACACCCATCTGTTCATCTGCAGAGGACAAGTGCGGTGATCTAACGGGACCTGCCGCCTTAAACCAGTTCAGCGCTCGCAAGTACAATCTCGAGCAAGGACCGGCCCACGAATACTTTCCCAGGCCGATGCGTTCGTTCATGCCATTCAGCCTGTGACAGAATGAGACTGAATGAACTTTGGTATTGCTCAATGCTGGTTGCACGGGGGAGACCACAAGAAAGAGCCATGTGAAGATTCAAGAACCTACCTACTGCTACAGAGGAAGGTGCATTGAATTGGAACTCGGGTTGCTCATTTCGGATTAGCGCCGTTGGGTCTCTGAGCCGGGCCTGGACCGTGCATCCGGCCGAGGCCTTCTTACCTCATCTCCCCCCCGATTCGGATCTGTTCCTGCCTTCTGCGCTTCGCCAGAGTGGACGCGGGAGACTGGACGAAATGCGGAGATGTGGAGCTGAAAGGCGGTCAGGGTCGGGTCATCAATTGCCTCCCGACCATCATGTCTGATTCGTTTTGCCATTCCATTCCCATGCATTCATTCGCCTTAAGGTATACATTCTCGTTGTAGATGAACGTGAGCTGCGCCCGAGTACAAATCGGGACATGAGATGAACCCCTGATCCTGTAGAATATCTGTTTCTTGACTAGAAGCTTCAAATGTATTTATCAAAAGATACATTAGTGTAGATGGAAGAAGATAGATAGTAGAAATACTTCTATCGGAACATCGGAAGAAGCTTTCGGAGCGAGCGAAGCAGAAGACAGGTGATTCTTCCCGGCACCTGATAGGCTGGTAGTCGAAGCTGACCTCAGCCCAAGGTACCATTCCTAAATTTTGGCTGGTGCACCTCTGCCGCACTTCACCCTGTGGACCTCTAGCGACTGCCTGCCACGCTGAGCTGAAGCCGGGTGTTAGCCGCTGCGCTGCGCTGCCAACCTGACCCGACCTGACCTGTCACTCCCGTCAACCTCTCCAAAAACTCCAAATTCGCGTCACCGACGCAATCGCCTATCCGATATCTTCATCCACCTCATCCTGCCCGACACCTCACGACCGACATGTCGTCGCGGTAATCGATTTACAGGTGGTTTGCGCGCCAAACTCGAATTTCGACAACAGTGTCGCCGTTAAGATGACGGCTGCTGCTGCGCAAGATCAGACCCATCCTCGCCCCTCGCCCGCCAGTCACCTTCGACAGTCGAGCTCCTCCAAACCCACACCCTCAACTTCTCAACCTCGACATTACGCCAGCATATCGCGGAGGACAAACAGCACTGCGCTTCTCGGAGTGAATGGAAGCCCCAACAACATGCCGCAAACTCAGGGTCCTAACGGATCCTCCGCCTTCCCCGATGCGACAACTCAACCCTCACCATTCGGCGGTGCTGCTCCGCCTCTAGCACTTCAACGATCCACGAGCCACGATGATAGCAACGCAAGACGCCCTTCAAGTGCCCCTGGTAACAAACAGAATCTGGCCGCCGGGTTCTCTACCGGCGAACAATCGGATTCAGATCGACCGAAGCGGCCATCTGTGAAGCCACTGCTTATGCGATCCAAGAGCGAATTTGGAGTCAGCCGCCCTGAAGAAGTTGACCACTCCGAGGAAGAAATTCCTCATTGGGGCGCCAGACACGGATTCGATGAATACCACGAGTCGCCGGAAATCCTGGCCCAGATAGCAAATGTGAGTGATAACTTTTCCCACCATCTCCATCTACACTCTATGCCCTTCTTCCTTTCTCCCACCCCAGGCTCTGCGCCTCCCCACTTGGCGGACTTGTGGCGGCGCTGTCCAGCCGGACTGGTCTAACCATAGTCTCCTGTCGGCGCGCGTCACGCAAAGAAAGGAGACTTGGTGCTCTGCTCTTTTGGCTTGCACGCCATGCTGGGACACTGTTGCCCGGAATCCAGTCCCGAGGGGCAACGCGGGGCATAACCGTATCCAGGGCTTGAACCTACATTCCTCCCCCATCTAGACATTTCAGACGATGCAGTCTCCTGGGTTGATGGGGCCGACAGCCGTATTGGCAATCTTGGATTCAGACGAGCCTGCGTGTGACAACATCGCTTCTTTGCGCCATTGGGACTCGCTGGTTTCAACTCGCATCCTGAACCGTGCTGACTCCTTTCTCCAGAATTGGTACATGTATTGGACCGACAAACGACACGAGACAACCGGCAAGCCCAAGGCGACATTACACAAGCTGCAGGACTGGCGCATGCGAGATAGACTTAAGACGGTATCTGCTGCGTTGGCCGTCTGCCTTAATATTTCAGTCGAGCCTCCCGACCAGCTTAAGACGAACCCGGGCGCCAAACTGGAAGCATGGACAGACCCTACAACGCCGCCACCTCAGAAGGCCCTTGAGAACATCGGCAAAGCCCTTCAGGCGCAGTACGAGACACTGGCTATACGCACAAGATACAAGCAGTACCTCGATCCGTCGGTGGAAGAGACGAAGAAGTTCTGCCAGTCCCTGCGTAGAAACGCGAAGGATGAGCGGGTTCTTCTTCATTACAACGGCCACGGAGTGCCTAAGCCCACTGCGAGTGGCGAGATCTGGGTTTTTAATAAGAACTACACTCAGTACATCCCAGTGTCGCTCTACGATCTTCAACAGTGGCTTCACGCCCCTACGATTTACGTCTGGGACTGTTCCGAAGCCGGCAACATCCTTAACAACTACCACAGATTTGTCGAGAAGCACGAACAAGAAGAGGATGAAGCTGCCGCGAGAGATCCTAATTACGAGAAGACCGTATTTCAGCCCTATATCCACTTAGCTGCCTGCGGCGTTAAGGAGAATCTCCCCACCAACCCTCTCCTCCCAGCCGACCTATTCACGGCATGTCTCACTACTCCTATCGAGATGGCTCTCTGGTTCTTCGTTCTCCAGAACCCTCTCAAGACAAATCTTACACCAGAGCGCGCCAAGAAGCTGCCCGGCAGGCTACAGGAGAGAAGAACACCACTCGGCGAGTTAAACTGGATCTTCACAGCCATCACGGATACTATCGCTTGGACTACGCTGCCCCGACACCTATTCCGAAAGTTTTTCAGGCAGGACCTTATGGTGGCCGCTCTCTTCCGCAATTTTCTTCTGGCCCAGAGAATCATGTCCGTCTATGGGTGCCACCCGCAGTCTTTTCCCGAGCTCCCTGAGACCCGGCAGCACCCATTGTGGGCAAGCTGGGACTTGGCCGTGGATATGGCTCTAGCCCAACTGCCTATGCTGGAGAGAAAGGAGAACGAAGGTCTCGAGTACGAGTACCAGAACTCAACCTTCTTCACCGAACAACTAACAGCATTCGACGTTTACTTGACTCGTGGTGATGCCCTATCTCAGAGGCCTCCTGAGCAGCTTCCAGTGGTGCTGCAAGTTCTGCTGAGCCAACAGCACAGAGTCAGAGCGCTCATCTTGCTCGGAAGATTCCTCGACCTGGGCCCATGGGCAGTCCAGCTTGCCCTGAGCATAGGCATCTTCCCATATGTCCTCAAGTTGTTGCAGTCCGCTGCCGCAGAACTGAAGCCGGTCATGATCTTCATTTGGACCCGTATTCTGGCTGTGGATATTTCATGCCAGCAGGACCTTATCAAGGACAGCGGATACAACTACTTTGCCCAGATATTGAAGCCATCCGAGGGTTTGCCAGTCGTTAACGAAGCTGAGCATAAGGCGATGTGCGCTTTCATTCTATCGATGCTCTGCAAGGATTACAAGCCAGGGCAGCATGTGTGCAACCAAACCGACATAATGACTTACTGCTTAATACACCTGCAGAATCAGGAGAACCCACTCCTGCGCCAGTGGTCTTGTCTATGCATCAGTCAGCTGTGGCAGGAACTTCCAGAGGCCAAATGGCGTGGTATTCGAGAGAATGCGCCGGCCAAGTTGTCATTTCTGACAAAGGATCCCGTTCCCGAAGTCAGAGCTGCCATGGTGTATTCCATGACTACTTTCCTGGGCATCATCGACCTAACGGATGAGGTCGCTCGGATCGAAGAATCCATCGCCTGGACACTATTAGACATGGCTAACGACGGAAGTCCAATGGTCCGTCGCGAGTTCCTTGTCTTCCTCTCAAGGTTCATTCTGCGCTTTGAGAGCAAGTTCATTGTCGCTGCTTATGAACAGCTCCAAGAAGAAAGGGAATATCTACTGTTCCCTCCCGGCCAGGATGGCATGGATCACAAGATGGGCCTGCATTATGCACGGAAAGAAAACAGAAATGCAGACGGCACCATCAAGCCCAACGTTCACGGTTTCGCTCACAATACCGTCTTCTCAGCCTGCTGGAAGCATGCTCTGATGCTGAATGTTGACCCTCATCCTGAGGTTCAGCGTGACGCTACAGTAATTGTGGACCACGTCCACCAAGCTGTGATGGCTTCGCCTGTTGGTGAGCATGCGCAGAGCCTCATCGATGACATCCGAAAGAGGGCGAAGCGTGCATCGACAAAGAACCACTTGCACTTGAGCCAAAGAAGTAATGCGATTGGCGTTTCTAACTCTTTGGCTACTCCACCACTGCCATCTCCTGGCCTGTTGCGTCGCACGGCGAGCTTGCTTTTCCAGCTGCCACTATTTGGTAACGATGGAAAGGCCGATGCCAGCGAAAAGCCAAACTACTCTTCTCCGGCACCCTCGCCCGGTCTACATAGGGTTGGCTCCCAGAAGATCAAGGCCCCTGAGCTTGCTGAAGCGCCACCAGAACAGAGCGACCCAACGGCCATCCATGCCAATTATCACATTGCCAAAGAGCCCGTCTCCACTGGTTTTGAGGACCGTAAGCTGGGCGAGGCACCAGCGATGCCGCTGCAAAGTTCTTTCCTGGAGTGGTCTATTGAGTACTTCTGCGAGCCTCAGATGAAGCCGAGCGAGTCAGACGAACCCGGCAGCACTGAGTACAACGAACGTCTCTGGAGAAGATCCCGGAATGACTTCATCTTGACAGAGACGCAACCACTCAAGCAGTTCGCCGGTAGCCACAAGTGGAATAATCAGCTGGGCATCACCAACAATGGCTCGCAACCCGCCAAACTCACATTCCACCAGTTTGAAGACCAGCTTGCGGTTGCAGACGATGGTAATACGGTGTGCGTTTGGGATTGGAAGAAGCATGCACGGCTGAGCAAGTTTTCCAATGGAAATCCTGAAGGGTCGAGGATCAGTGACATGAAGTTCATCAACGAAGACGACCAGGCATTCCTGATGACTGGCTCGTCAGATGGAGTCCTCCGTATCTACCAAAACTACGATTCCGACAGATCCATCAACCTGGCCTCCTCTTGGCGAGCCCTTACGCACATGGTGCCTAGTAATGTCAACTCTGGTATGGTGTTCGACTGGCAGCAGTCGCTCGGCCGCGTACTTGTGGCTGGCGATGTGCGTGTCATTCGGGTGTGGTCTGCTGGCGCTGAGAAATGCGTCATTGACATTCCCGCTCGGTCTGGTTCCTGCGTCACGTCTTTGACATCTGACCAGATGACCGGTCACACAGTTGTGGCAGGATTCGGGGACGGCGCTGTCCGCGTTTTCGACACCCGTATCAGGCCTCAGGATTCCATGATCAAGAAGTGGAAGGACGAAACGGATAGGCAATGGATCAAGAGCGTTCACCTGCAGCGCGGCGGACAACGCGAACTGCTCAGCGCAAGCAGAAACGGAAAGGTCAAATTGTGGGATATTCGCATGGATCGACCTCTTCACGTTTACCAAACCACTCGAGACACGCTTCGAACAGCCAGCACGCATGAACATCTGCCGGTGTTTGCTGTGTAAGTTTTTACCCAGGCGCTCTTTATTTTGCGGTATTGAAACTAACATTCCAACGCAGTGGCACATCTGCACATGCCGTGAAGGTCTTTAACTTCGACGGTCAAGAGTTGTCCCGTGTCGAGCCTTACTCAAGCTTCCTTCAACAGAACAGGGGCTCTCCCATTGCAGCAACTGCCTTCCACCCGCACAAGCCAATCTTGGCTTGCGCTGCTCGTGGAGACTACCACGTCAACCTCTTTACTTGCGAGAAGTCCGAGCCCCAATCCCTGGTTGCCTAGTTGGCAAGCCGGCGGACGTGAACTCGGTCTTGTGGATTATTTTTTCCTCACATCTTGATCATAGGAGGGTTTCTTTGCTGCTTGTGTAACTATTTTTTTTTTTTCCTCACTTCTTCTCATTCCGGGACGGCAGCATACCAGGGACTGGCGAGGTTTTGGCGTTTGATTTTGGTCGCGTTATGCGACAACGGCAGACAGATGGTTGCATGAGATAACTTAGCTAATGGATGCGGTTGGCCGTTTCGAAAGCCAATTGATGTATGAAAGAAAATGAAAATTGCCCTCAGGTTCATACATTATCTGGAATCAAATGTGACATTGAAGCAGGAAACAGGATAAACGAAGATGGCTACGCCAATCTCATCCGGAGTAAACTATAAGAACGCTCATTCCCATAAGATTTGAAAAGCGAGCTGTAATCTCTGAACACACCTCGAAACGAAAATCTGTCGGTCGAGGAAAGACTCTTCCATGTGAGTTGGGCAGTTACCTAGCCTAGCGAACGAAAGCTGGGCGATGTGGCCCACCTCATATACACGTTTCCCCGCGCGTGACTTTGCAGGAATAAGTTCACATAGCTGCTTGGTGTGTAACCACCTTTACACCAGTGAGATCTGCACTCCGGGGCGCAGTGGATGGACGAATTGCGAGGCTTTGGAGGCGCGAAAGGGTTGGAGAGTTGGTCTTGGTTTGCCTTGTGATAGGCTGGTGCGTATGCGTCCCGTGGGTTGGATTTTCTTGGGTGTAAGTGTGGGCGTGTCAGTTATTGGCGAGGCTGGCCTTTTCTGTCGGCTCAACAAAAGCCGTGCTGACGACGTTGAGGAGTGTCATCTAGTGATTTTCTTTTTCTCTTGTCTTTGCCAACCGTCTTTTATCGAGCGCAAACATTCCAACTGTAGTGAAATAGCTCGCCGAGTAGCAGGTATGTCACTGGTAGATCCCCCTCAAGGGTGGATGAAATTCCCACTGAAGCTATCTGACGTTTCCTATCTTTTCTTTTTAGCAGCACCGACAATGGTTCGTGAGATCAATGCCAGGTCCGAGATGCGGGAAACGGAGGCACGGCGGCGCGAGTTGGCCGAGGTTGCTCCCGCGATCAAGCCTGAGGTGTACGGTTCCGGTGTAGATGCCATCTTGGACCGACAGCTTCAGGAACTTGTCGACAATCACAAACCTTCTGGCTCCGGCGAACTCGACAAAGGGACTTTGATGGATTCGAAGGCTGATGAGGCTATCGACCAGGGGTGGGTCGACGTCGGTGACACCATGACCGAAGTGTCTCTCAATACACAATATCCAGAACCCGTTGAGCAAGAACCGATCCGCATGGACGCCTCAAGAGCAGAGACCGACCTGGACATGAAACTACACGAAATCACCGCCGAGAAATCATTGAGTGAGACACGGGATCTTCTCCAACAGGGAGCGAACCCAAATACATTATCCGCCCAAGGGACCCTCCCCCTCTGCGAACACGCCCGACGCGGAAACTTGGACAAGGTCAAGTTACTCCTCGACCACGAAGCCGACATTAAACTACCCGACGCGAGCGGTCGAACGGCGATATCATACGCCGCGGAAATAACTAACCCGGCCATGGCCCGCTTGTTAATGGCGGTCCCGGGTATAGACCTGAACCTCAAAGACGGGGAGCTTCGGGCGCCGGTGTGGCATGCCCTCTGCGCGTGGATCAAATCTGGCCGGATCTTTGTGCCTGATACGGATACCTTGTTCGCGCTACTTGAGGACGAGAGGGTGAGGGTTGAGGATGTTGATGGGGAAGGGAGGGGACTGCTGCATCTTGCTGCTGCTGCTGGGGCCACGGATCTTGTGGAGTTTCTGTGTGGACGGGGTGATATTGATGTGAATCGTCGGGATGGGAGGGGACAGACTGCTGTTGCGTATGCTTTGGGGGTGAAGGATGTTGGGGTGCTTGGGGTGTTGTTGAAGTATGGAGCTGGGATCACGGTGGTTCAGGGGAAGGGGTTTGAGGTTGTTTCTCCGAGGCGGAGGAGAAGATGGGCTGAAGGGCGGTGGTGCTATGCTCGTATCATAGACTGAGTCTGGTTATAAGTGGTACAAGCGTAGGCGGAAGTGATTCGCAGATGGAGAGCGGACCTGGGCGCCGAACTGACCCAGTGGACCGCCAGCGAAGCTATCGGTGGGCATAGCGAGAGTAGGAAGAGTAGTTGGGACTACGACCGAGATTTAGGCTGGAGTCTGCTAGACGTTGCAGGCAAGAGCCGGGCTTATGACGGATACCGGCTCCACCTTGAGCTTTCTCATCAAAGCCGCTATCTGTTCTGCTAGGGCCGAACTCTTCTGGGGTAGCTGGTGCCATCTCGGGTGGAAGATTTGACGGAGGGGTGACTACTGCTGCTGCAATCCAAACTGTCACTAGGTATCCTACATATCTGCCTCTATCGTGAATTTTCCCTTTTGCGTGTATACCTTTACGAAAATTTCTTGCTGGCAAAGCCTACGTCAAAAGACGTCAAGTTGGACCTGACGTCCCAGAGTCTCCTCCCGTGATATCTCAATATTCTGATGAACGCCTGAGTGAGACAAGTGCCGCCTTTCGCAAATCAGATGTTGCGACAAACGCAAGGATATGTTTCGCCAGTCACAGGCCACAACCTGATTTTTTGGCACAAGTTTGAAGGCGGGTCTTGATCAGGACTATATAGAAGAGATGCTTGCTTGGGTCAACCCCCATGGTGTAGAAGCTTATCAGGAATTAGTCGACCTTAACCACACGCTGCAACGAATCGATTTCTTTCTTGCTAATCTATCCGGGGGGTGGGGTTACGGTGCAGAAAGTACGAGAACCTTACCGTCAAAGACCCGAGTTAAGACAGTGATTCGGAAGTGAGGTACAACAATCACAGATGAATCAGCGTGTGTTGATGCTGGCCGGGTAGAAGCCGTGGAAGTTGAATTTGTTTTGGCACACTACCTGTACATTGTGTAATATCCGTGCTAGAGAGGTGGGAAAGCACTGTTTGCCCTTTCTTCAAACAGCTTGATGATAGACGCTGATTCGTGAACTTCTGCCACGCTCTATGATCCTACTCGAGGTATGCCTGAATAATTTGCGCAAGAGCTGCACACTTGAATGGAGTTTCCTAAGAAGGATTTGTGCTTCAAATACCCGGGTAGCCTTGTAGCTCTCACTTCGTTTCTTACAAGCTCATTTTTCACGCCTTCGAGGTTATCTCTGCTATAAGAACGAGCATCATTAATCTTAGCTAAAGTCCGACTAAGGTCTTTGAAGTCTGTCCCAATACCATTAACTGGGTTCAAAAAGGAATCCTCTGGTTCACTTCTATCAAAAACATGAATCACTTACTTAAAGGCTATGTAATTGATACGCTCATTACTATCTTCAAGCAACCAACCAGTTTTGGTGGTACAAACGTGATGCAATGATGCTAAGTAACATCTTCCCAATTAAATTGCTCTGCCTCCTTTGTCGCAAGAGATTGCCAAGATCTAAACTAATAAGAATACTGAGTGATGTGCAATTTCAACTTCCTCTAGAGCAATACACGCCCATTATCGCCTGTTTCTTTCGTGGGTTTTTTTTTCGTTTTTTTTTCGTCTTTCTCGAAATTTGATATCTTTCAAATAAGTGCTCACGTTGTCCAGGCGTTATGAAATAACATCGTGCTTGACTTCAGAATCGAGTTAGAATCAAGATTCGGTTGGTAGCATGTGGGTCATAAGCAATCTGTTGGTCGTAGTCCGTACAGACAGGCACAATACCAAAGGCCTCGCATTCAGCTGAGTAGAAATCACTGGGCAGGGGTGAGCGTGTCGACGCCCAACAACTTGCTGCAGCCTGTCTGGCACAGCCTCACATGCCTACATAGCCACATAGATATGTAGTGCAGGCAGGGCAATCTGGTTTTTCATCTCTGGTGGAGAGAAGTGTAACCACTGCATAGCCTACATGTGCGGCCGCAGGTCAATTTTACGCCCGATCAAGTGGGTAAGAACCTTTCCCGTGACATGGTTTTCTTTCATCTCCCGGTTTCTCCCTCGACCTCTCTGTGACCCTCATTCTTTGATTTGCTTCGCGTTCATGTGCCTATGAAAGCCTGCGGGTAACTCCGTCTACGATGAGTTTCGGGTTCGGCGTTGGCGATTTTATCGCTGTTACAGACAAGTTGAGACACTGTCACGACAGATTTTCTGAAGCGCCTGAGCTCTTTCTCTCATTAGTCAAGAAGTATGATCTCCGCATTTCCAAATTGTGCATCCGTCAGAGAGTCTTGACTGACAGCCAGCGCTAGCGTGGAGATCATCGAGCCGCTTCTCGAGGAAACCCAATGCCCACAGCAGAATCTTAATGACAAGGAGCAACAAATACTAGAGAGCATCATCGAAGGTTCCTACACGGACCTCAAGAGATTGAAACAAATCTTGGACGATTGCAAGGAACTCAACAAGCCGCTCGACGAGAGAAGGTGGGACAAGTCGAAGCTTTTGCAGTGCCTTCGGCGGTTACAGCTCAATCCAAAAGTGATCAACGGCATTCAATCAAGCCTCTCCGTCAAGATTACACTCCTGAATACCCTCAAGAATGCATCAGACAGGTCAGTATATATACAAGCACTCCCGGTCAGTACGGCGGCTGACGAAGGTCCACAGTCGAGCCATCCAAAGCACAAAGCAAGTGGTGGTTTTGATGCACGATGAGCAAGTCAGCAAACACCAACAAAAAGTTTTGGAGTGGCTGACGCCATCCAACTATTCGTCACAGCAACGAGATTACTTCTCTACAAGACACCCAGAAACAGCAACCTGGCTACTAAAGTCCAAGGAATTTGAATGGGTATCAAAAAAGGGCCAGACTCTGCTGTGCCGGGGTATGCCAGGAGCCGGCAAGACCATCATGACGTCCGTCGTCACAGACCATTTGATCCACCGATTCCGCGAGAAACCGAGGGTCGGGATAGCCTACGTTTATTGCAACTTCAAGGAAACCGAACGCCAAACTTGTCACGATCTCTTATCCAGTCTGGCGAAGCAGCTGGCGCAATCCTACTCTCCCTTTCCTCAAAGTCTTGAGACGCTCTACAACACACACCAGAAGGGCAAAACCTCAATTTCTACTCAAGAGACCACTGATCTGCTCCAGATCTTATCTTCCTGCTACGAAAGAGTATTCATCGTTATTGACGCCTTAGATGAGTGTGACAGAAACGCTCGACAAGCCTTTCTTCAAGAAATCCTCCGGCTACAACAAAGATACCAAGTCAATATTTTTGCAACCACCAGAGATATCCCAGAAATTCTTCAATCAAAGGAATTAAAGGATTTTGTCCCCGTAGAAATTAGAGCCAATGAGGAGGACGTACTGAGATACGTTTCAGGCCGGATAACCTTCATGCAGAGCTTTGTTCGTAGCAACCTCGATTTACAGAAGGAAATCAAAGACACCATCGCGAATAAAGTGGATGGAATGTAAGTTCCAAGCCGTGGTTCAGTATTTGTAATAATTAAAGCGGTGCTAATGCAAACAGGTTCTTGTTGGCAAGGCTTCTCATCGATGCTTGGTCCAATAAGCTGAACCCAAAGGAGCTCAAGAAGGCACTCAAAGCCTTTAGGGCAACTAATGGGAAGGGAAACGTCTACTCAGTTGTATACGATGAGGCTATGAGACGAATCGAGTCTCAGCCCTCTGAGCGTATCGAGCTTGCGCTAAACATTCTCTCTTGGATTACTGGCGCAAGGAGACCTCTAAAAGTCGTAGAGCTGCAACATGCCCTTGCCATCGAAGAAGATGAAGCGGAGATAGACCAGGACAATATTACACCAGTCGAAACCATGGTCTCAGTATGTGCCGGGCTGATCACGGTCAGTGAGCAAAGTGGCGAGATGCGACTTGTGCACCAGACAACACAAGAGTATTTCGAAGAGAACAGGCATCAGCTGTTTCCTGAAATTGAATCGCAGATTGTGAAGGCATGCGTCAGCTACCTGTCTATCGAGAATTTCTACAATAGCGACAATAAGCTTTCTGGTCCGTCCGATTGGGGCTGGGATTGGAAGAGACACGTGACGGCTCCGTTCTTCGACTACGCAGCCATGCACTGGAAAGATCACGCTCGAGCATGCTCCGTCATTCCTCCAGAAGTCATCAGGTTCCTGCGAAATCAGACCATGTGCGATAGATCTCTTTCAACCCTCTGGGAGCTGCATACGGCACCGAGCTTCCCGAGCACACCAACACATGTCGCAGCGTACTTTGGACTAATCCAACTGTTTGTGACAGCCAGTCTACCAGAAGTCGAGGAGAACTCTACCGATGATAGTGGCGAGATAAGCCTGTGGTGGGCTGCGTTTGGAAATCAAACGGACGTAGTGAAACTTTTGCTCCATACCGACGACGTTCAAGGCACATCGTTCGCTAGGCCTTCAAAGGATAGGATATCACCCCAGACCATTCGACGAGCCATGCGGGCGGCATTACAGAATACGCACAGCGCAACTCTCGAGGTTCTCATTAATTTTTATGCTGAGAGAGGATTCGACAGTGAGCTCAAGCCGGATGATGAAGCGTCGGTTTTCCTCAAGCCTACGTCTGAGCGGTCTTGGGGTATGGATTTAGAACCAACTAAACGCATTATATCCCCGATAAATCGCATGAAGAACATCAGAATGCAGCGCCCCTTGACCGAGGCCGGCTGGAGGGCAGTCCTCCATATCATAGCCTCCGGTCTGGATGAAAGGAGCCGACTCAAGTGGATCCCACGGCTGTTCGAACTGCTGGCAGACTGTTGCAGGCACATAGAATGTTCGCCCCTTGTCTTAGGAGAGCGTCTGAACTCGAAGGAGATAGCTTTGTATGACAAGGGGTTCGCACGAGCTCTAGAAATACTTCTGAACATGAACGCCCCTGTCAATGCGCGTGATCCTTTGGGAAGGACCCCTCTCGCACAAGCTGCCTTCTTGGGACTGAACTCAACTATCAAGTTTCTTCTAGCTGCCGGTGCTTCAGTCAATATCAACGACGAACATGGCGAGACTCCTGCGTCATTGGCCGCCAAGACAGACAACTGGGTGGCTCTATCACGCCTCATGGGATATGGGGCTGTCATTCAAGTACAGGGCTATGACTTGAACAAGCGAAATTCAGACGGCCGAAGTCCCGCATCAGTGATCGCACAGGAAGGTAATGAGCCATTTCTTCGACTATTGGTAGAGAAGGGAGCGGATATTAGAGCTCAAGATTTTGATGGTCGAACGCCTTTGTATTGGGCCATTGTCAGTGGCAATATCCCGACCCTTGAAGTCTTCTTGGAGATGGACGTCGACATAGAATATCGAGCGTCTAATGGTGAGTGCCTTCCGATACGAGCCGCTGCCAGCCGAATGAGGGCCGTCGTGTTTTCTTCTAGACAGGGCACGACGGAATGCTAACGTCGAGGCTGCTGTTACAGAAAGGCAAACCCCCCTATCATGGGCTGCGAGTCACTCAAACCTGCAAGCTGTGCGTGTTCTTCGTGAGAGGGGCTCCGAGATCAATGCGCCTGACGAGAATGGCCAGACACCCCTAGATTGGGCTTGCGCAGCCTCGAGAAGCTGGAACAGAATGGGGATCATAAGGACGCTTCTTGCGCACGGCGCCAAATCGGGTGTTGGTGACAGCAACCTCCTGTGGGGCTACGCTCAGGCTGACTTCGACTTAGGAGTGGTCCATCTACTCCAAGAATACGGACATGAATTCGACATGTGCTCAAAGGACGCAAAGGGCAAGACTTTGTTACACTACGCCGCAGTATCAGGGCGGGCGAGCGACTTTGAAAAACTGTCTGTTTCAACTGAGCTCGACTTGAATCTAGAGGATGACGACGGCAGGACAGCCTTGTGGCACGCAATCAACCGTGGCTCCTCATCGATGCGTACAAATATGGTGCAGCTGATATTGGATAATCCGGGAGCTGACCACAACTGCAGCAATGGTCAACAAGCGTTGAAAGACGCTATCGAGCTCAACGATTGGCGCTTTGTGGAGCTGCTGATTACTCGGAAGGTCGTAGACGTCAACGGGGTATTCGATGGGGAAGTCCCCATGATGACCGCGGCCAGAACGGGTGATCTGATAACGTTCATGTTACTCAAAGAGCATGGCGCCGTCTGGGGACAGAATGAATGTAGCAACGTGGAGATTCTGTCGGAGATTTCCTGGAGATTCTTCGACAAGGATACGAAGACCTGGTCCTGCTATCGAGGTCAGCTGTTGTGAGGGTGCAATGCCCTCTTCTCCTTGGAGTCATCTTGCTCTGACAGAAGGTTCATTCAATCGGTTTTATTCAACGAGACCGGCTGATCTGACGGTACTGTTCATAATACCGGGTGAAATATTGATTGTAATAGTCGTAATTTGAAACCCCCCTCTCAAAGTACTTAATTAGGTACAATTAAAGAGTCCTTGCTGCTATCCTTAACTAGGCGCAATTTGTGATTCAAGAATAATAATGCAAAGTCGTCAATTATCTTATATGACTGAGTGCCGTGGCTGGCTTGCATTGTGACAGTCAAAATCACCAAGCAATGGAGTCGACATCATCGGTCTCTATTGGATTCTGGCAGTCGGCATATTTAGACGCGACCGAGACGATCAGGTAACAGATGCATAGCAGACTGGGGATGGGCACCACGCAGAGATGTGCCCTTACTATAGTTCATTATTCATTCGTGATTATCACCATCTACACGCAACCTTAGAAGTTCTTTCCAAAGAACTCAAGGACTGTCTTGTATCCACGAGTGTACTCTTCCTTGACTCTGGAATCCTCGAGGTCAGAGCGAGCAGCCATCCATCCGTGAATCTGGTCCTTGAAAGTCTCGACGTGCTTGGTCACGTTGAGGTTGGCCTCGAACTTCTTAACATCCTCCTCGGGCTCGTCCTTGGATGCAAGCATGATGAGCGGGATCTTGATGCCCTTGGCGTCCTCGGGCTCAACCATGGCGGGATGGACCTCGGCGGCGACCTTGAAGGGGTTCTTGTCACCCGAGGTCACGAGTGAAACGACCTTGCCGCCCCAACAGTACTGTGATGTGTCAACTTTAGTCTATTGGTCCAAGGTAGACGGAATGGATACGTACGCCAATGGTAGCAAAAGACTCAATGGACGAGTACTTTGACTGAATAGCCTTGACGTAGTCGGGGGTTTGCTCGGCAATCTTAGGCGGTGGGAATTTCTGGAAGAAACCGCCGAGGTTCTTTTGCTTCTCCTCGGTGTCGGGAGGGAACCACTCGATGGGGCAGGGCTCGCCAGCGAACCAGTCCGGGATGAAGACGCGGTACTTCTCGGCGCCGCTGGTGGCCAGAATATCGGCTCCCTGGAGCGTCTGGGGGAAGAATCCAAAGATATCAAAGGTGACAACGATGGCCTTCTTCGCGTCGGCGGGACCGGTGACGTCTGTCGTAGTAATCGAGTTAGTATTGTAACGCATTGGCTAGGTAGGTCAACCTGGCAGCTGACTTACAGGTCTTCTTTGATCCAATCTCTTCGTAGCTGCCCTTGGCATCGTAGCCCTTGGAGACGACAGGAGGGATGTTGCAGCATCCCTCGCTGTGGCCGTGCTGAGCGGGCATAGTCGACATCTTGGCGGCTTGTGTCGAAAACGACTTGTGAAATTGTTTTGTAAGGGTTGTCGATGTGGTAATTGAGCTGCAGCAAGTTGCAAAGCTGTTTGTGGTTGTTGTTGTGGTTGTTGATCGGGAAGCTATCGCAGGGGTGGGGGAGTGAGGTTGTTTGGGAATCAGGGACGACGATCTAGATAAAGCTTGGGAAGCGGAGCGCGCGGCTTTGGCAGCGTGGGAAGACATCGGATTTATTATGCTTCAAACGTCAAGTGGAGGTAATAATATGTACGTTGCGGGTGCGGGCTCCTCGAAGTGGAGAGTCAATGACGGATTAAGCTGCGTTTTGGCGGGGTTAAGAGCTGCTCCGTTTCGCTGACGTTTACAGTACAGACGAAGCTAACAACGGAAGCTTTCTGCGCCGCTTCTGTTTGGACGATTTCATTGTTCGCGATTGGCAAGAGAGGGGGGAAGCCGCGGTCCTCGACTGTCTCCATGGAGGGGTAGCAACGAGGGCCCCATCAGGAGCTTGGGACTCGGGAGGGGGTTTCGTGGGGGTGATGTCACCACTTGCTTCAATGAGAATCAATTCGGCAAAAGGGTCAACCCCGCCAAGGGTGGATATGATCGGCCCCGCTAATCGATGAATGCCGGCGCCGGTCCCGAGTTCGGCCGGCCGGCTTCGGCAGTCACGGTCGACCCGAGACACGAAGTGCGCCTGCTAGTCAGGAAAGACTCGCTAAAGCAAAGCTTCATGCGGCTAGTCATCTGAACCTTCTCGATCAACCATGTTGTCTCTATCCCTTCAGTCTTTCCTCGACTTCATCATTGTGAATGAATCGTACTCATGAAAATAAGAGACGCCAAGGGACGGCACGACGAGACATACACGCGGTGAAGTGGAAGCAAACCAATCATCAAACAGGTTGGAATGCATTTCAGCGAAACAAAGCTCAACCACTTTCACCCACGCATCTATATTTCATCAAATGTCTTGGAGGCAGGGAAGCGGCCGCGGGCAGCGGTGGGATGGACCGCCGCAGCCCTGCATCCACCGCCGTCCACCCCGTCCCGCAAGACCCAGCGTTCTGGTTTGTCAGATTGAACTTTATTCCCAAGAATCGATCGCAAGTTGGGGGCAAGTATGTCGCCGGGGAGACTTGGATGATGCATCCGAGATGGATGGGAAGCCCCTGTCACCGCCAAGCTGTCAGACTCCTCCTGTGTTCGGGAGCTACTCCGCGGCCGAAATACCGTTTCCTCATGTTTTCTCTTTTCTTCCGCTTAGATACTTTCTTCTTCGCAGACAATGAGTCAGAAAGCCCTCAGGGTGGTCCTTCAGACATTGGATTGGTAGCTCTCATGGGGCTTACCAGGTTACCTTGCTGAGATTCATCAAAATGGCCGGAATGAACAGACTTCAATTGGGAACTGCCTCCTGTAAACAATTTGGCCCAATCCCATCGTCTTCTTGACTTTTTCCAAACCCAGAGAAAGTAGAGAATCCCGACAATGCTAACACCATATGCCGTCGCGTCGTGTTCCAGTCAAATTACCCCACGCAAATCCTGCCTCCTGGTTTTCAATGGCCAACGCCCAACTTTTCCCGATCCAATAGAAACACAAAGCGCCCCCCAAAATCAGATATCATACCCCGATTTTCTCAAATCCTCCAGAGCCTTGGTGACGACCATGCCATCCTCCTTAAAAGCCAACTTGTCCGCGGCTTCATCAACATCGACCCAGCTAACGTCAAACTTGACCCTGTCCTCTCCCGTCCAACCCTCTGGTCCAAGATCACAATTCCCTTCCGCAAGAAAGTAAAACACCATCTTCATAGCACCAGTAGCCGGATCAGGGTAGTGACAGACGGCAATCGGTTCAGTATCGGTGATCTCCTCAGACACCTCCGGGGCACCGGAGGGACCGCCCGCAGGCGTAGCTCTAGTGCTGAGTCTCAAGGTGACGGGCTTCACCTTGACACCCGTCTCCTCGCGCGTCTCGCGCAACGCCGCTGCGAGTAGGTCTTCGCCAATATCTTTCCGCCCCTTGGGCATCTGGTAGATCGCGTGTCTCTTGTTGTAAATCAGCAGCACGCGCCGTGCCCGCATGTCGATTGTGACGGTGCCGCAACTGATGATGAACTTGTTTGAAGGGTAGAACTTGCGGCCGCGTGCCATTTCTGAGATGGTTGATGCGTACATCTGGGGCTCTTCCGGTAAAGCAGAGGGTGCCATTTTGTTCCAACTTGAAGGGAAGAATAGGGTATGGGAGAAGTTTAAGATGATTTGAGCTGAAGTGACAGACGAATTGACAGTGATGAAAGAAAAATGAAGGTTGTTGATGATAAGTACTTCTGGCCTGAAGAGGGATGAAGCTGTCTGGTTTTGGGATGGCTTGGTTCTAGAACAAAGAACTCTCCTCGGCAACTGCCTTTAGTCTGGATCGACGAAACCAAATCGAGCCAGTTCACCGACTAGGGCTTCCCTCTTCATATACCCGCCCTTGATCTTATGGCGGTGAACCGTATCACGAGAGCCTGCTGGCAAGAAGGCTCACTCGAGCTGCTGGTCTGCCTCCATCCAGCCTCTCGGCGTTGACGTCTCTTCCAAGCCTCCGGGGACCATCCAACATCTTTTTTCACTGACCAGTTCTGATTCATGCAGTAGCACATCGCCATCTCCGAGCCAAGGCATGAAACAGAGACATTGACAAACAGGAAAAAAACAGAGACCGCCTTCGAAAGGCTGCCAGAAAGGCAATCCTGCTGCGCCCGCCGCAGCCGGCATCAAGACACTCACCCCACTATCCGGGTCCCATATCCGTACTAGTAGCCCTAAGGAAAACAGAAAAAAAGGTTGAAAAGAACAAACTGCAGGGCCTAGCCCGGTGAGCGCATACCGGTGAGGCATGGGTTGGCGATCGGTGAGACTGGGGTGTGAGTGTACTGCATGGGTTGCCCACAAATCGCGGCCTGCCCTGGGAGAGAAGGTAAAAGTGAAGGGTGCCTTGTTTGGGAATAAGAGAGGCACGATGCACACCACGTGGGCGAGAAGAAACGGAATGAAATATGATCAGTCATCTCTGACCGGGTGGTGAGATATTCGGCTTGAAACTAACAAGCGAATGAGATCGGCTCCTTGCTGCCGTGGCCGGAGACTCTTTTTTGGCCAGGCAGGTTTAGTCGCGTGTCACCATAACACCATCTATTCCATACTTCAACCTCGGCCAGACTCTATCCGGTCATGTCAGGTACGTTCGTGCTTGTCAAAGCCAGTAGAACAAGCGACGAACAAGTCTCTGAAAGAATTGATCAGCATGTCTCGTGTAGAACACTCAAGACCCGTTGTAAACGTCACGCAAATATGAGCACGTGGACAGCTGTAGCTGTGGCCACGTTCGTTTTTGCTGACGATTGATCTGCAAGACTTGTGGAGAGGTGTCATTAAATGCGTAGGCATGGGTATATGTGAGTGATGGGTTGAAGAGGCAACGGAAAGGGGAAGAGCCTAAGGCTGGCTGTGCAACACGTCCGGGGCTTTCACCGCCGGCGTTCGGCAAGGTTTTGGCCGGTGGGTCTCCGGAGAGAGCTCCGTGCGATTGGCTCCTTCCCGATCTGTTGCAGAAACCTTCTCCGTATGCTGCCAAATCTGTCTCTGTTTGGCAGTCTGCTCCGGCCGTGGAGTTTACTTTCGTGAAAGATGCGAGTTTTGTGAGTATGAGTGGGAAATTTCAACGTCTGCCAAACTGCCATCTTCAGGGCCCCGAATAAAGTTCTCCACTACGCCGTTGAGTGCAACGGCGGGAATGCATGCAAGGCACCCGGATGAACCTAGAACCTCGTCAACCAGCCAAGAGCACTTAATAAAACGTAAGCTATTGCAAGTGGGATGGGGGCTGATGGCTCGTTTGTGGTCTTTTAATAGGCAATCAGTCATCAATCATCATACGTTCTTACTACAAAGCGGATAAATGATGAAGAATACTCACCACCTGTTACCGAGCATATCGCCAAATTTAGGGCACACTGTATAGAGGGCCGTCGGATTTCAGAGGGACATAACAGTAAATGGCTTGTTTTGCGCTTCCTTTTCTAAATGACCAAAATCTACATTCTTTACATTCGGAACACGCCAAACTTGGTATCACCAGCCTTGACTTCATTCCGGCCTGACATGGCTGCTCTTAGGCCTAGGCCCAAATATTGACGGGTGTGCTGGGGAGGAATAATGCCGTCGTCCTATAAGCATGGTTAGCAGAAATTGTATGATGTGTGAATCGTAATGACTGACCCATAATCTGGCTGACGAGTACGTTGCGTCGCTTTCCCGTTCTATCCTCTCCTTCAACTCGGGATCGGCCTTGCCAACAGTCTCCATAACAGCAGCCAGCTGCTCACCGCCCATGACACCAATGCGTGAGTTCGGCCACATCCACAGGAAACGGGGGCTGTAAGCTCGACCACACATGCCGTAGTTGCCGGCACCATAGCTACCTCCGACAACAACGGTAAACTTGGGAACGTCGGCGCATGCAACAGCAGTAACAAGCTTTGCGCCGTGCTTGGCGATGCCACCACGCTCGGCGGCGGAGCCGACCATGAAGCCGGAGATGTTCTGGAGGAAGACTAGCGGAATGCCTCGTTGAGCACAGAGCTCAATGAAGTGTGCGCCCTTCACAGAAGATTCGGCAAACAGAATCCCATCGTTGGCCACAATACCAACCTTGTAGCCATGGATATGAGCAAATCCGGTGACCAAGGTTGAACCGAAGTCGCGCTTAAACTCGGAGAATTCGGAGCCGTCAACAATGCGAGCAATAACCTCCTTGATGGGCAGTGGCTTCCGGAGGTTGGTACTAGCGATACCCAGAAGCTCGTCCGGCGAGTATAGAGGCTCGGCATAATCCTTTACTGGCGCCGCTGTTGAAGGTGATTTTGTAGGCCAGTTCAGATTGCTGATGCTCCGCCTCGCAAGGGTAATAGCATGAGCATCGTCGACTGCCAAATAGTCCGTTACTCCCGAAACAGAGGAGTGCATCTTGCCGCCGCCCAACTCCTCCGCACTGATCACTTCGCCAGTAGCAGCCTTGACTAGCGGCGGACCAGCGAGAAAAATGTGGCCCTGGTTCTCAACAATGATGCTCTCGTCGCTCATTGCCGGTACATAGGCACCACCCGCAGTGCACGGGCCCATTACGACCGAAATCTGGGGAATCCCCATGGAGCTCATCCTTGCTTGGTTGTAGAAGATGCGTCCAAAGTGGTCGCGATCCGGAAACACGTCCGCCTGGTGTGGGAGATTAGCGCCGCCGCTGTCAACCATGTAGATACAACTGTGTCATCGTCAGTATCAGTAAGATTTGGCCGAGGCGTGTAGACCATGGGTTTCCTACGGCAGCTTGTTCTCCTGAGCCACGGCTTGTGCTCTCAGATGCTTCTTGACGGTAATTGGGTAGTACGTTCCGCCCTTCACTGTGCTGTCGTTGGCCACGATCACACACGTAACGCCCTCGACGACACCAACACCCGTTATGATGCCTCCCGCGGGGACATCAGCCTCGGGGTAAAGCTCGTGGGCGGCCAGTGGCGACAGCTCCAAGAAGGTCGTGCCAGGGTCGATCAATGCAGTGACTCGGTCGCGCGGCAGCATCTTCTTCCTCGCCAGATGCTTTTCCCTCGCCTTTGCTGAGCCACCCAGGTGCACCTTGCGTGTCAAGTCCTGCATCTTCTTCATCACCTCCCCCATGTGCTTCTCATTCTCTTTGTACTCCTCGGACGTCGGATCGACATTGGTCTGGATTCGGGAGATGGCACTCGCCTGGTGCGGCGGCGTGAAGGTCGCAACAGTACGGGCGGATCGCGGGAGGCGGGGTGCCCTGAACCCCGGCCGGGTCAATTGACGCGACAGAAGCAGCACATCTCTCGATGACCGTGAGAAAGACATATTTTGGATGTTTACAAAGGAAGATCCTAAGGGTGCGGCAACTTGAGAGTGTGAAGGAGAAGCACTACATGTGCCGACGAAGCCCTTGAAGACGGGAAGGAGAGGTTCGAGGGCCGCTCGCTTGCTGACGGGATACCATTCCAGTGACGTCCAATCGCTCACCTCGGCCCGCTGAAAGCCGCCCGTAGCCGAGCACCTTCTTGTCCCGGTTGGACCTCCAGCTCGGCGTCAAGCTAAGGTAACTTGGATCATCAATCGTAGGAGAAGTTGTTATTCTTCATTTCCTCTCTTCTCAACTTATTTCATTGTCAGTTTCGTTGTACAATCTACAGCCATGTCAAGTGTTAGAGCATTCAGATCGTTGGCGCGGCCGGCGCGTCAATTGCGACCCCTCGCCGCCCCCGCCCTTCAGACCCGACACCACTCCTCCAAGCATCCCAAAGGATTTGAAGCACCGTCACAAGCCGATCTTACCGAGCTGCGCGAGCGCGTGCAGGAGTTTACAAGGCGCGAGATCACAGAAGAAGTCGCCGCGAACACGGACAAGAGCAATGCCTTCCCCAATGAGATGTGGCAAAAGCTGGGCGAGGCTGGTTTCCTGGGCATGACTGCCGATGAAGACGTTGGCGGCCTGGCCATGGGTTACCAGGCGCATTGCGTCGTCATGGAAGAGATCTCGCGAGCCTCTGGCTCAATTGGTCTCAGCTATGCCGCCCACTCCCAGCTATGCGTCAACCAGCTCCAGCTCAACGGTTCTCCGGAGCAGAAGCAGAAGTACCTCCCCGGTCTGATTGCCGGCACGAGCGTCGGCGCACTCGCAATGTCCGAGTCAGGGGCTGGCAGCGATGTTGTGAGCATGAGGACGACGGCGACGGCCGTTGATGGTGGCTACGTCCTGAACGGTTCCAAAATGTGGATCACCAACGGTCCTGACGCCGACGTCATCGTCGTCTACGCGAAGACCGAGCCCGAGAAGGGTTCCAAGGGTGTCACGGCGTTCCTTGTCGAGACAAAGGCTAAGGGCTTCAGCTGTGCGAGGAAGCTCGACAAGATGGGTATGCGTGGAAGCAACACAGGCGAGCTCAACTTTGACTCCGTCTTCGTGCCCAAGGAGAACATCCTCGGCAAGATCAACGGCGGCGTGAGAGTTTTGATGGAGGGTCTGGACCTTGAGCGCCTCGTTCTCAGCGCTGGGCCTCTGGGCATTATGCAGGCTGCGCTGGACGTTGCTCTGCCCTTCACCCACCAGCGGAAGCAGTTCGGCATCCCCATTGCTCAGAACCAGTTCATCCAGGGCAAGCTGGCAGACATGTACACGAAGCTCCAGGCATCCCGTGCATACACATACGCCACGGCCAAGGCTGTTGACGAGGAGGGGATCATAAAGACACAGGACTGCGCCGGCGCCATCTTGTATGCTGCTGAGAGGGCCACAGAGTGCACTCTGGACAGCATTCAGCTTCTTGGCGGTATGGGCTATGTCGAGGAAATGCCAGCTTCGAGGCTGTTGAGAGAGTAAGTCAAGCCCAAAGTTCCTTTCGGCTCTTCTTTACTAATTGCCATCAGTGCGAAATTGTATGAGATTGGTGCTGGAACTTCAGAAATCCGGAGAATGGTCATTGGAAGGGCTTTCAACAAGGAGTATGCCCACCTGGGGTGATCAACTTACAAGTAGCATGAATATGAAAAAACAACGGGTGAGCCAGTTTGGGATCTTAGGAGTAAAGAATTAAGACGGGACCTTTGATGTCATCGCAAAAGCATGTAGAGCTCCAATGGTAAAATTTCCTCAATCTGGTTGCCACCACAGAAAGCCCGGAAAAAACAAGATTACAGTTGAAAGATTCTTGTGTTGCAAAAGATCTCTCCACGTAGCTTCTTCCTCTACGTCCAAATCTACATCTCCATTCCTGTCTGAAGACACCCGGGTGTCCTTCCACACATTGCAGTGACATCACTCTGTGAACCGTGGAATCACAAACTAGTTGTCTTTCTTGAAAAAGGCGGCGTTCAGGTCGATTCCCTTGGAGCATCCCACCAGCATATTGGATCCTTGGCCCTCAACACTACCAAGCTGGACGTCCAGCTCTCCGTCGGTTCCGTCCGCGCCGTGGATACCGATAACGGCCTGTGACTCCAAGACCTTGACTTTGCCCACTGCCAACCTGCTTCGTCTCTCGTTGACCTGGACAAACAGGGACGCTTGAAGCTCCTCGTAGCCCTTGATCAAGTCCTTCGACTTCTGGAGCTTGGCTTCGGAGTGTACATCACCGTCATTAGCCTCAAGTCGCTTTAGAATCGCCTGAAGCTGCTTGGTCTGCTCGATGGATGCTAGACTGCAAGAGGAAAAAATTCAGATTCACCATCAAATCTGCATGATCTTGGTATAGTACTCACAAGTTGGCGCCAGCCAAAGCCAAGTTGACAGTCTGTTTGCAAATCCTGAGCTCGTCCACGAAGACCTGGAGCTTATCTTTGACGAACAGTCCAATCTTGGTTCTGTCTACCCAGTGAACCCGTCCGTCTTTTGATCGTTTGAGAATTTTGCTGACCTCGTTGTCCAAGGCCATAGACGAAGCGCTGCAGGCCTTGAGGGCGGACTGCACGCTGGTGTTTTCGGCGACGGAGACCACTTCGGTTTTGTTCAACCGTAACGAGATATTGAGGCGCTCCATTAGGCGTTCGATCTCTTGGAGCTCCTGTTTGATATGAGCGATCATCTCTGGGGCTCGTTCGATGCTGGCAATCTTCTCCCTCGCTCCTGTGATTCCCTGCAAAGCTGTTGCTACCAAGGCGACTACGGCACTTGTGGTTCCGAGTACTTCGGCCATCTTTTGAGTTGAGGTATCTGATGTTGTCTGTAGATGGAGTGAGAGTGACGGGGATATGCAGAAGTGAGGTGTAGAGTATTGAGAGGGCCGCAGAGTCGTCTCCTTTTTATCACAGACTCTCAGCAGACAGGCAGACGTCTAGACTATTGACAGTGACAAAGAGCCAGGAGTGATTCTTTAGTCTAGGAACAGATGTCTTGGTGCGGCCTAGCTAACCAGACATGCCTTCAACGGTCTTTGGACATCCCCTGCTTGATAGTCATGGGGGAGACCGGATGTCTGTCTGGAAACCCCCGGTGTTCCGGCCATGGGATCCTTCATTTTCACCTTTGCCCATCTTTCTTCTGAAAAGTCTCCAAAGATTTTCAAGTAGCTGTTGCCACAAAGGAGCTGCAGCTTCTTTCTTCGTATCATCTTGACTCGGCTACTGTCACCTTGGCCCTCATCACTGTCATCCTAGCCCCCAATGGCCAGCATGTCGATGTCCATTGGGGACATACATGCCGCTCATGGCTCAACTGTCATTGCAGGAAGCAATCATGTCATCTCAGGTTGGAGATAGCATGCCTCGACCGCTCTCACAGTAATTGGGCTAACATCTCTTGGATAGGCGAACATGCGAAAGACGAGCTGAGAATATGCATCGACGCCCTTTTCATCACGAATCCAGATATTGACAAGCAGGAAATCCTCGATTCAACAGGAGGCATAGTTGAGGGAACCTGCGAATGGATTCGATCCGAGGACAAGTACCGAATGTGGCTAGAGTCTGAGGAGTCGGAACTATTATGCATATCCGGTGCCTCCGGCACGGGGAAGACGATGCTCTCCATCTTCCTTGTAAGAGAGCTTCAGAGTCTCACGCAAATTTCATCCGGAAGTCTTGTATACCACTTTTGCAACCGTCACGATCCAAGAAGAAACACGGCGACATCGGTCCTACGGACCTGGCTCCACGACATTTTCACAAGGAATCCGGCTCTCGCCAAACATGCTGCCAAATGCATGATACCCACAGGGAGAATGGAGTACGCATTGGGGTCACTCGGTACTCTATGGCAAATCTTTGCTCATACATTGAACGATCCCGACCTAGGCCCTCTTTACTGCGTTCTTGATGGGCTTGACGAGTGCCCCGAAGGCGATAAGAAATGGCTTGTCGGAAAGATTCAGACTCTCTTTGAAAACCGCTCTGGAGCTTGTCATCAGTCTCCCAATATCTCAAAGATCGTCATCCTCAGCGGTGGTATTGAAGGCGTTCGAGGTTCTCATTACCTGAACTTGGACCAATGTTCAGGTAGCCTGCAGCGGGTTGTGCAACCTAATCTCTTCTACGAACGGGACTATCTTGAACATAGACCCGACGACATTGCGTTGGTCATCAAAGCCAGGCTTGCAAAACATCCGAAGGTTGAAGAGTTCGATGAGAGTTTATGGCGTGACTTGGGACTCGAATTATACAAACGCTCTGAGGGGCTCTTCTCATGGACTGGTTACATGCTTGACGAGCTCGCATCGAAGAAATCAAAGTCAGAGATGCTAAAGGCGCTTGACAAAGCGCCAAGTGGTCTTGGTCCCGTTTACTCGCGCCTTCTCTCACAGATAGGCGATGAGTCCCGCCAAGAGATAGCCAGGATGGTCCGATGGATGGCTTTGACTCAAGAGCCTTTCACAGCGCGGCAGCTCAGCACGGCTCTCTATCCTGACAAGAAACACCCCGAGGAAGTTGACGAGGCCTGTGAAAGGATCCAGGATCTAGTTACGCAGTATTATCCGCTGATGAAATTTACGAAGGATGGCTGGGGCGGTTGCCCGACAAACGACGACAGCAACTACATTGTCTTGTTTCATCGGTCGATGGGGGATTATCTCTTGAAGATCGACATCAACGACGCTGACGTTGATCCTAAGATCAAGGCCTTTCACATCACACCAGAGAAAGCACACTACGAAATTGCCAAGAGGTGCCTCGATGATCTCCACGCTTGGTATGAGCGCACCAACGACATTTACCACGGCTCCGATTTCAATTGGAAAGCCAGCACACCCAGCTTTACGGTGTGGCTCAGGTATGCGAGAAGTCATTGGCCAACACATGCGAGGCTGTGTGGCGAGGAGTCTATGAAGTTTATCAAGCCGAGACATGCTTTCTTCGAAGATGGATCAACTTCCCGTACTGTTTGGTGGCTCGGGTATGACCCAAAGGGGGTTTTCGAGGACCACAAGAGGTGGGCAGCGAGGAGGATATCCTCCATGTTTGGCGCTTTGCACATTTGTTCAGCCTTGGGTTTGCTCCCCATGATTCGCATGCTTTTGGAAGAAAGCCTCGACGTTGAAGACTACGTCAATCTTCACCAAGCCGACTCGCATACGGCTCTCGCCTATGCTACCCAATACGACCAGAGCGAGGCTGCTGAGTTGCTCGTTCGCAATGGCGCTAGCCTCGTGAATGATGAGCAAGAGAGAATTGCGTACCTCACGGTCGAATGTCCGCTTGTCAATGCATTCAGAAATGGCAATGAACGGTTAGCCAGGCTTTTTCTCAAGTTAGCCCTTGCCAAGATGAAAGATTCCCCAGACGACAGACGTTTAGCGAGCTTCAACCTGATCTGCGAGGCCCCAAACAAAATGTTTGTGTTGCTGGTTTTGGACAACATGAAGAGCGAAGACATCAATATGGAATTCGGGAACATCTTGTCCGAGGCGCTCACCTGGCATCCGCGCCGGGTTAAAAAGCTGAAGTGGCTCTGTCGTCGCGTCCTGAGCTCTTCCTGCAAAGTTTGGCGCAAAGACGATAGCAAACATGAGACTTTTCTCAACGTTATCTACTTTGTTGCGCAGTATCCTGACGTTGTAGAACGCCCCTACCGCATTGTGCGGAGATTCCTCCATGACGGCGTCGATGTCAACGAGGCCTGTACAACATGCGGGTCGACAGCTTTGCACATTGTTGCCGCGCATGGCAGAGACCATGAGTGTGCAGTAAAATTGGCGGAGGATTTGCTTGCTCGTGGTGCCCAACTCAATGTGGTCACCAAGAGATACAAGGACTGTAACAGGATGCTCTGTCATTTCCCGCATCATACTTGTGACGAGGCCCTGACTGCCCGTGACCTTACTGTAAGTCAAGGTAACTACAGAATGTGGACTTTACTAGGTTGTGAGAGGTGGCAGGCCAAGCCCTCGATAGAAGTCATTGATCTCACAGACTCAAAAGACGAGATGGAAGCGAAAGACAAGATAGACCATCAAAAACTTTGAATTGATCCTTAAAAGGCATCTGAAGAGCTTATCAACTACCACAAGCTTAGCAATGTTGCGATGTAAGGAACCTGCGAGCCTCCTTCTGATATGGGCTAAGACATCATCAGGTATCAAGTACGCTACATCTGATATCGTCAGAATGAAAAATAACGTTGATTTTTCACAACCTTTTCCAATAGTTAAGTCAAGACTCATACGGCAGGTGTAAGCGGAGGGCCGCATTCGGCACTCCGGCGCCAGCCCCTTGAGATGGCTCGGGAATTGCTGGGTGAGAGAGAGAGAGAGCGGTGTTTGGGGGTCAGCCAGGGTAAAGGCCGGTGGTCAGTGGGTGGCTGGATAAGGTATCCTTAGAATCCAGTAGAATCAATCAGTCAGCCCCGGTGCAGAGGACCTCGTGTTCAGCAGAGAACTAGAGAAGAAACGAAGTGGGTAAACACAATAACGGGCCAAACCAACAGCAAGGCCATTCCAATCAACGTGATAGTGTGACGGTGTGACAGGCTGCATGATCGAGGCGGTCTCCGAACCGGAGGTCGGGATTTCTCTGTCTGGTCTGCGTCTGAGGTCTGAGGTGTGTGAGACTGAGTGTGTGTCTGTGAGGATGAACACCGGTGGCCAGACCCTTGGCCACCCCTAATCTCATGGCATTCTAGAATCTCATCCCGTGCAGGGAAAATTGGAGTAAAATGTGGAGAATGGTGTTCGAGAGATGCCCAATGTTTTGCCCCAAGGACCCCCAAAACCTCCGGGAGTTTCTTTGGAAAAATGAAAGGGAAAATAAAATAAAATTGGAGCTTTTTACAGCATGTTGGCAAGTTTGGGTCACAAGCTCGGTCAAAATTTCTCGTTATTTCTTTCCCTGGCTCCACAGGGTCCCTTTCGGGACACGAGGGACACGGGGAGCTCGGAATGATGAGCAGGAGACATGGAGACCTTGACAAGGGTTTAAGGGGTTTCCGTCTTGTTTCTCTCATCTCATGTTCTGCTCGTGGTCGGCTCTCCAGTCTCAGGTACTTTTTACAAGGACTTCATACACATCGCGTATTCATGGCAAGGCCATTCATTCACAGCATCTACACTATTATTGTTCAATTGTCCCATCGAGACTGCATAGTATAGGAGTCTAGCCTTAAGCTTACATGGTACCATGCTACGCAGCGCTACGCAGCATCGAATGCGCTGCAACGTCGAGTATCGTTGGTAGTTCAGAGGCAAACAAAACCAGGGACTTATCCGTCCGGCCTGGCAGCCGGCAGCCGGGCATCCCGGGATGGAGGAGACAGCCCACCTAGAACTCACAAGAGGGCCTTTGGGGGCAATGGCCCACCCCCGCCCCGGGGTTGTGGTTCTAGTGTGGGCGGTGGGCGCGGTGGGTGACATGGAGCGATCCTTATTTTGGCCCATGGGTGTCCGCTCGAGCTCCATCAGTCCAGCCCTAGTTCCGGGGCAACTCCCCGCGAGGCAGTGCGAGAGCGGCGGACGGGCTACGACCTGCGACATGCGGCGCCTGGAACCTGCGACTTGGGACCTGACCGGGAAGCTGCGAGACGCGTCCATACACCCAAAGTATCGTGAACTTTTTCCCTTTTCTCTTTTTGGCTGCTACCAAGTTCCATGGTTCCTTCCACCATCACCATCACCACCAATCCTTGTTTGCCCTTGCCAAGTGAACCAATTGACCACTTGATCAACTCACGCCACGATCCTTCCCTACCTTACCTTACCTTACTTTAAGGTACTTGCCAGTGTCCACCAATGTCTTACCTAAACTTCCTTCCCTCCCGTCCCATCGTTCCTTCCTTCTCAATGGAAAGCGCCAACACTCATAAACGGGAGCTCCCTTCCTTTCCCTCCCGCGCCTTCTCCAAGGTTCCAAGCTCCTCCCCATCTGCCATACCTTACTCTCCTCCTCCCTGCGACTTTCTATCTCCCCTCCACTCCCACCTACCAACTTCTCACATACAACAAACCACGTCCAACCGACCCCGAATTACGAGACGTACTTCCCGATCCAGACTTACAACCAGACGATCAGGAGTCAATCACCACCCTCCCACTCGTCCCACGTCATCTACCCCACCATAGCTCCTCTCATCGTTGCTTTTGCCCAAACTTGGGCGCCTCGAATTCCACCAGCCCTCTGCCAGATTTGATCGTCAACTCCGCATCTGCCAGAGACAGCTAGCTTCATCTGCTCGATCCAGGTCGTCGCCCAACAAAAACTAGTTTCGTGACATCATCCGGCTGAAGTCAATTGCAAAAGTCAACGGTTCTCCAAAACCGAAACAAACGCCATTATCGTTTGCCTTTCACACTTTTCCTCCTTCCAACGGGAACCTCCAATCGATTTTGTCCGTCATAGTATTTCAGACGGCAATATTTACATACTTACACTTCAACACCGCGTGTAACACTTTCACGCCCGCAGACACTCAAAATGTTCCGTCCCCTTAGCGCCCGACTGGCGCGGACCATTCGTCCCATCGCGAGACACACCCAGGTCCGCGGCAAATCCTCTCAGTCTTCCGCCTCTGCAGCTCAAGCTAGCATTGCAGCCACTAGCCCCAAGCAGCAGCAACAGTCTAGATCCATCAGCGGCAGCCCCAACGTCAGAGAGAAGCCTCACCCGGGCCAGTACTCGAGAACCGATCCCGATGTTACAGTCGAGTACCCCGAGGACGACCAGCTGCCTAGCAGTCAGCCGGTCCGCGGTCACGGTGGTGGCATTGGCAAGCCCACGCTTGCTTCCTTCTCTCTCGATGGCCACACCGGCGTCGTCACTGGCGGTGCGCGCGGCCTTGGCTTGGTTATGGGCCAAGGCATGGTCTACTCCGGCAGCGACCTTGCCATTGTCGACTTGAACAGTGAGTCTTAGATCCCGATTGCTGGCAAGCTTCATTATTATCAGTGTACTGACACCGGGACAGAGGAAGAGGCTGAGCTCCAAGCCAAGAACCTACTCGAGGCGTTCAAGAGAGAAAACCCAGAGGCCAAGAGGTAAGTACTCGGATGACCCAATTGACCTCGAGACGAAGTGACGGACGCCTAACAACATATAATAGAGTTCCCAAGGTGACTGCGCACCATGCAGACGTTTCAGACCCCGCCTCTGTCGACGCCTGCATTGCCGAGATCCTCGCTGCTCACGGCAAGATTGACAACCTCGTCACGTCGGCCGGCTTCACCGAGAACTTCGACGCTATCAACTACCCCATTGAGCGTATGCGCAAGCTCTGGGGCGTCAATGTCGACGGCACATACCTCTTCGCTATCGGCGTTGCCAAGCATCTCATGGAGCGCAAGTCGCCCGGAAGCATGGTCTTCATCGGCAGCATGTCTGGCTCCATTGTCAACATTCCTCAGCCTCAGGCGTAGGTTTCATCAAGTTTCGTTTCTTTCGAGGCCTCAAATTCGCTAACATATATTCAAACAGACCTTACAACGCAGCAAAGGCTGGTGTCCGTCACTTAGCTGCTTCCTTGGCTGTCGAATGGGCCGGCGCGGGCATTCGCGTCAACTGTATCTCTCCCGGCTACATGCTCACGGCCCTGTAAGTTTAATACCAAGATTCTTTGTTCCCAGCCAACCGGTACTAACACACATGTGCAGAACTGAGAAGATTCTCGACGACAACCCGGACCTCAAGCAGAAGTGGACTTCTCTGATTCCCCAGGGCAAGATGGGTCAGCCCAAGGACCTCATGGGACCCGTCACATTCTTGCTGTCTGATGCCTCTCTCTACGTCACGGGTGCGGACCTCCGCGTTGACGGCGGTTACACCGTTACATAAGCCGCAACGGATCCTTGATTTGAATTGGATTGAAGAAGCAGAGGAGGAAAAGGGGCAAAAGTTTGCATTTCCACTAGAATGATTGGCGTTTTTGCTACGGGGACATAGAAGGCCAGCTTGTTGATACGTCGACAAATAGTAAAATTGATAATGATCAAACAAACCGTGATAAGACCTCTAAGAGGCTATCCAACTCCCTATGATTGTAGCATGTGAAAGGCGGCTACACTAGGTAGCTTTACACCGGTCAGCGTACTCGATGAGGCTCATTTGTCGGCACCGGTCGAGGACTTGCACCACCCCGACATGCAGTGTTACGGGGCCCGCAGCACAGGGTCACCAGGCGGGCCACCGACAGTTATCCGATCTCTCATACCGCCGGTCCTTCCCTACCTTATCCTGAGCTGTTCCGTATCTAGCCCGCTGTTTTTTGTTTTTTTTCTTCGAATTCTTACCCTCGTCTCGAGGCTTTGTCTGAAGTCCCGTCTCGAGGGTTGCCCTGGGGTTTTGGTGCTCCCGACGCTCTGATGTCCAGTGAGACGACCACAAGGAACTATAGCATGATGGCTTATACGATTCCCTCGTGAGAGACTGTAGCCATTGATATACATGACGGGTATATGACGGCTGGAAAGAAAAACTACATTGGGTCTCCGTCCAGCATTGGCGTGTCCATCCTGCCTTACCTGCCCGCCGCTGCCACCACAGTATAAGCACACACATGCACCGACACACCGAAAAGTTTGACTGGAACATTTGCACGATCGAGGGTTTCCAACGCCGTGCCGTGCGTTTGCGGGGATAGCGGTCGCTGGACCGGTTCTGGTTTGGCGTCTTGTTGCGATTGCAATTTTTGTCTGTCTTAAAAGGGGGGGTGGGGGGGTAGAGAGTAACCGGCATATGCTGTGCGACGGACGGCACCGGTGTGTTGGTGGGATCTGGGGACCGGCGGCGGCGGCGGCGGCGGTGGTGGCGGCGGGAGGTTCTAGACTTTTTTGTGTCTTGGAGGGGTTTGGGCGAGTTGCAGTCTGTAGTAGAGATTTGTTTGGTTGGGCGGCGAGAGGGATGTTGCATATGGTTGGTAAGGTAGATGGGCGAAACAGGCGGAGGAGGTATCGGGCTGTATGTACACCCCGTACTTATATGCAGGTATGTTGGCAGGCAGGCAGGCAGGCATGTGTCTTGTCTACCCCCCAGCGAAAGACTTGTTTGTTCCTATCTCAGTATTCGCGGCTCTCGTGTTGGTGGGGAGGTTAGAAGTCTTTTTTTTTTGTAGGTGTGTGGGAGGTTGAGGTGAGAGACAACGCAGACACCCAACCAGCCTCACTCATCCTACGAGGGACGGAAAGGCAGATGTGAAGCGGTGGTCAATGTATACCTAGCGGACATGTGACAAAAAGCGGCCTCAAATTAACGGAGACTCTTTTTCGGAACCCCGTTGAGTTTTTTTTGCGTCTAATCTAACCCTGCTTATCCGTATGAATACGTGATACGGTGGTATATAAGGAGCCAGATGAGATAAGAGGCAAGGAAAACTATACCAACTATCCCACCGGCTCGGCAGACGGAGATCAACAGGAACAGGACTCAGGAGCATGAAAGGAGACGAGGAGGAGAGAAAGGAATCTATGTAGTTAAGGGCTGTATCTGATATGGGCATAGAGTAGTAGTAGCAGTAGTATTAACGTTTGTGACAGGATTTTTGATTATTGAACCATCCTCCCAGTCGACACGGTGCATCCATCATTCATTACTTTTACCCAAGGAGTGCCGTGCCAATGCTGACTGAATCCCACCGACGAAGCTCTCAACACTTTTTTCTAATAGTACATGTTCAAACTGAATGGAACCGCGCGATGGAACCCAAGCTCTGGGGAACCACAGCATGGGAGTATACAGGCTTCTATACATAGGGGAGATTCAGGGTAGACAAGGATCCCGCAGCCTCCCCTGGTGCTTTTTTCGAACCCGGCGCCGTGTCAGCGCACGTGGGAGACCTGCCGGGTGATGCGTGCATGTTGCGGAGAGGAGGAGGAGGAGGAGGAACAGCAGCAAAAGGAGCAGGAAGAAGAAATGAGAAGGAGAAAGGCGTGGTGAGGACCTTGAGAGCGATAAGCCTATACAGCTCTTCTGTTTACCTTATGCTCGTCACGTCCTTCTTGTCCCCCCTCCTTCCCAAGTCAAAACCCATCCGCCATCTCACCTGAGTGGGAGGTAGGTAGTCACAGTAGTGTAAGATATGGTCGTGGATGCCGCCCATTCCACTAGTGTGGGGGGGAAAACCAGTGTGGTTTGTGCCGTCCGCTGTCGTTCTGGTGCGTGCCGAGCCATTATCAAGTTTTCTCTCGGGCAAAGTCTGCTACTGAATAGGAAGCCCGAGGGGGGACTAGGTGGTACATTATTAATAGAGATCCAACGCGGCCTCACTGTGTAAGCCCTGTCAACTCCTTTTCGTGCCCAAACTTGCGTGACAGGATTAACAGGTGGTAAGGTAATTACAGACGTGGGGGGACGATGGGGAGAATACAACTTACCTTTGTAAGCGAGCGGCTTCCAACGGCTAATACAACCACAACCCGCAACCCGCAACCGCATTGCCCCCCAGACTCCTAAACTTCCTCCTCCTCCTCCTCCTCCTCCTCCTCCTCCTCCTCACCTCCTCCCCCTTTAAGGTTGTGTATACCTACCCCGCACAGCTCCCCCCTGTCAACAGAGAAGCTCCAGGGTAGCTTCGACAGCTTCTGCTTTTCCTCCCACACCCACAACCCTTTCCGACCTGTCGTTGCCCCTCGCGCTCGACACGGCAGGTCCGCGTGGCCAAGGCGTGGGGGGAAGGTAAGATGGGAGGGGGAGGTGGCTACGGAGCACTTGTTACCCTTCAACTGTCTCTCAGAGGCCTTCCATCTCCCACAGAGTATGTGATCTACACAGAGAACCCCAGTCGTCCGCACCGGGGAATCTTTGAGAAGAAGTCGCTCACCACCAAAAAAACAAAAAAAAAGTACGCAGATCACTCTCTCCTTTCCCTGATAGGAGATTGGAGCTTTGGGAGGGCCCTCTCTCTCTCTCATCGTACCCAAGCAAAAGACCTCTTATTTCGAATTGCGTAATGGCTTTCCAGGTTGCGATATCGACGCCATCTCACGCTTGCAAGTTGCCCCCCCCCCCCTCCCTTGTCCCAGACAATTGACCTCGTGATCAGTTGCGATTTTGCTTTTTCCTCACCTTTGGCCACCTCCCCTCCTTTTGACGGATCCTCTACGGTCTACCCCTCACAACTAGGCAGTTGACTACTATCTTTTGGTAGAGAGTCCGCAGTTAAGGGACTTCTTGGAGCCTGATCGTCGAGTCAGATTCCCATCGAGGGACTGTATGATAGCCTTAACCAGAATTACGACCGAGGCTGTGGAGTCAGAGTAAGCCGAGTGAGCAAGTCCGGAAAGAAAGCAGTCTAGATCCTCCTTGGACTTAAGCTCGCCATCCCCTGTCATGTTTCAGCCCGGGTAACACGCACTCGTCTTCTCGATGGCCATATCGCCATCACTCGCCTATCTCTATTTCTTCGTGGATGATCAGGTCAGTTCGGTGGTTGGGTAACAAATGTCTTCTCATTCGGAATGGCTCGCTAGTAAGAGCTCGGTGGGTCGCTGACAAAATGAGGGCGCACCAACAGCAAGTCTTTCGTCTTTCCTCTTTTTGAACTTCAAATGGTCCCGCCGCTTTTCCTTGAACCGCTGTGAACGCATACAATGATCCCTTTTTGGTCGCTGTTCCCCCTCCTGTACTTTTGTCAGGCGTTTCCCCTGCGAAAGGGGCCCCGTGACCGCCAATAAATGAAAACGCCTCGTGCGATGCAAATGCGCCAAACCTTCTTCCTAATGATCGGCCTCGTCGACTTGATGAGAAGAATAAAGGAAAAAAGACAAAAAGGTCGGTGTTGTCAGTAGCAGACGCAATTGCCTGTAGCGGCAAACGCAGTCGAAAGCAAGTCATCCACTTCCGAATGACTGCATCCGTTTTGTGTTCCATGAACTCCAGAAGCCCCTTTTAATGCAGTTGATACCTCGCGAATTAGTACATAAGATTATATGTGAGCCATGAAAATAGACTTTTTTTTTTTGGTGGCTTTCGGAATCATGACTTGTGTCTTGGCCTATCCCCAGTGCGCTCTTTCTCGCGCTCCAGCAGTAGCGTCAGCTGGCTTCTTGTTCTCGCTAGTGGCACATCGGGAGTAGAGCTTGGCATTGACGGCGCGAAGTGCGATGAGGAGGAAATTCGGCGTGGGTTGCCCCTGGGCCCAGCTTCGTCCTGGAAGCCTTCCAGGGTTTCCAGAGCACGTCGATCGGGCTCACCAGAGATCGTTACCTGTCCCATGGCTGCAATGTTCGACGTACTCGCAGTAGCGCTCGATATAAGCCCCTGCGCAGAACCACGACCAAAGCTAGCCTCCCTCGGTCGATAGGACTCGGAATTCGAGGGTGCGCGCTCCATACGCGGCGCCGAAAAGCCGGAACGTGCCGAAGAAAATGACCCAACTCTTGGTGATGAGAGCGCGGGTGATGCAGCTGGTATATACGTAGGCGTCCTGAGGCCACCAGCTTTGACCGTGCCAGCTTCGCGACTCGACCGATCGGTGGCGGTTTTGCTCAAGGGCTCTGGCGCTGGCGCGCGGTTTGCTGTTTGTACGAGGACCGGTTTCCGCCGTTCTTCAGCAGGTCGGGAATTACCCACCGACCTCGGAGATTCTGAAATAGGCCTTTCGACTGGTCGTTTCCCCAGGGCTTTGGCACTAGGAGGCGGCATTTCGAATCCTTCTGATCCGGATACGCTCAGAATAGCACTTTCTTCAGCATGAGGATGCATCACGTTGTATGTTCCCACATGTTTGCCCCCGTTGGCAGAACCGGCTTCCTTGATCCCAACGTCGGAGTTCGTTGACGACTGCGAGCTCATTCTCCTTGGCAGAACTGGTCTTCTCTTACCCGCCGCGGATGCAACAAATCGTTTCGTCGGTGTTGAGGGCTTCTTCTTGCTCGATTTCGCCGGGGAGACTGCCGATGAAGTGCGCATCTCCAGGCCACTGGCGCCTGTGCTTCCCGACGACGTCTCATCACTAGTTTGGTAGTCTTCATCAGCAGACTCGTGAGGCGACACAAATCGGGCTGTCGGCCGAGGGCCAGATTTCGAGTCACCCCTATGTTTCTTGAGAATCGGGTGTGGCGGCGGGGGTCGAGATGATGAGGCAGACAACTCCTTCAGTGCCGACTGTTCAGAGATCATCTTAATATCTTGATTCATTTGCTGAGCGCTGAGGACCGGATCAGACTCATGCTGGCTGTTAAAACGAGGCGTCTGTGCATAAAGTTAGCAAAGTGCCAGTTCGTGTCGAGCGGCGCATTCAAATACCGAAGGCCCCTCCCAGCGATTCGGTGAGCCTTTGAGAGGCACAAAGGTTGGGCCATAGGAGATGTGTTCCCATATCTTGGCCACGGTCGCAGCTTTCAATTTACTTCTATCGCTGCCCATGACATGCCACCATAGATTTTCCAAGCGGCGTGCGGTTGGATCAACAAGCTTGAGATTTGTTGTGGTGTAGACTATGACGTGACGTTAGATTTTCACGTGAAAAGACACCGCGAGCGGCTGTTGACTTACGACGCCACATTCTTATGATGAAATCCGGCGGGAGAGGCTGCGTGAGCGCTGCAACATCTTCATATATCCGCCTGTCGTCTTTGACGAGTCCCTTTGGCAAATCCATTTGAAGCGAGTGTGTTCTCTACCGAGACCAGATGGTCTACGGCAAAGACGGCTGGAGACTGAAAAATGACAGAGGTAGAGGGTGCGCGGAGGGAGTGCTGATTGGCAAAGATAACCCCGCCGTGTAGGGCAATCTTGCTAAGTGCGATGTGAGTTTACCTGAAGCGAGGAGAGGTGGTCATGGTCGTTGCTATACGATTCAGTCGGACGTGGTCGGGATGTGGTTTGCTCGATGGCCGATGTGTAAGAACGCAAACAACATGCAGAGAGCTGCAAGTGAGAAGCAACCTGCAACTTGGGTTGGCTACTTGGTTTCCGGTTGTCTGCGCGTGTGGCAGACAGATGATTTGTTGAGAGAAGCGGTGATGGGAAGTGTATCAAGACTTTGAGAGAGTGAAGAATGGAGCGGTAAACCCCGGGCTGCTGTGGGTTGGCTGACCCTAACTGGCCGTTTTCATGGATTGCGGGTTTTGGTCGGGTTCGATTTGTCGTCGGGGTGTGGAGAGTGAGAGGGCATTAAGAGAAACAGAGTTGAGAAAGGGCGGTACGGTATGGCGGAGTGGTTGTGATACGGGCAGTGGCCCGTCCGTTTGCCAACGACAACGAGAGGTGTACGGGACGCGTGAATGGCTCCGGGAAGGATGCCGGCGGACAAGAAATACGAACCCAAGCAGCCGTTGGATGACGATGACGAGATGAGATGAGACGACCGGTAAGATACGGGGGAGTTGAGGTGCGGTGCCTTTGAGTCTCCAAGTCCAAATAAGAGCAGGCAAGGTGAAGTAGGGTCAAGGGCCCGGCAATACAGATTGCAAGCCGCGGATGGTAACGTAGGCAAAGTTGGAGGATAGTTTTGCCAGGAAGTTAGGTCGGCAGACAGACGGAGCCACAGTTATCGAATTGGCGTCTGCGGGGCAGCCTAATGAACTGGTCGTTGAGAGCAGAGCAACTGTGAGTCTATCCTCTGGGCCTCTGGCGACCGTCAAGGCGTGTGTCTTGTTTTGTTGTTGATGCCGAATGAGAGAGAAAGAAGTGGCACTGGTCGAGAGAAAGGTCGGAAGGCGGAGGAGGAGGATGAGGGGGGATGGCGTGGATGGAGCACGCGCAAGAAAAAAAAAATGGAATGCTTCCGACTCAGATGGGACTTCCAAAGTTGGGAAGGGCCAGGCGGAGGTTAAGGCATGGTAAATGTACCCTGGATGGCTGGAATTACGGTGCCGCGCCTTACATTGCCCTGAGAACAAAAGATAGGCGGACAGGCGGCAGAAGGGGGGAAAGGGTGAGAGAAGGGGCTTGCCAGGGAAGAGAGTCAAAAAGACGGAGACGGAGAGGGAAGAAATGGGCCCTGGAAGGGGAACTTGAGAGGCTCTAAGCTTGAAGTACCTGGCCTGACTTGGACCACATTCAGAGTTGCAGTGTCTATTCAGTGTGTGTGTATGTGTGTGTGTGTGTGGTTCGGAGCCGGTACGGGAGGAGGAGGTTTTGTCCAATGTGCCTGGCTTGGGGCTAGAATATTTGGTGGTACCAGTATCCTCAAGGTAGCGAAGGTATGTACTCCGTACAGGTAGGAACCAAGGTGGGAAGACTGTCGGAATGGACGCGTGAGGTGGGTGAGGTGAGGTGCCCGCTCGTAGCACTAGTCAAGCACATCAGGCGTTCACGGTTCAGGGCTGTGAGGGTGTGGTTCTTGTCCCCCTAAAAGTCTCCGTCCGACTCTGCTTGGGCTTGGGCTGGCGCTGGTGCTTGCGATGGCTCCGTCCCGACTGGTTCCTGTTGGGTCTGACACTGGCGGGGATGGAAGGACTAAGAGCAAGGAGGAGTGACGAGCTCTTCTCTATTACTCCTGTCTACCTACCTTACTTCCTGTGTAAGGTACAGAGACAGGTAGCGAGGTATTGTGTTGTATGGTTCACAGTTTAGTGAGATGCCTCATGTCCCCGACAACTCCCTGCCATTGCGAGTTACAGACTCGGACCAGGCAAAGAGCCCATTGTCCATTGTGTGATCTATTGCGTACATTAAACCCTCGTGGAGCCAGCAGAGGACATCGAAGTCTGAGCTTTAGTGGGCCACAGGAACAGGCACTTCACTTCCGGTCACCGGGAGCAAGGGAAGTTGAAGTTGGGCACCTGAACATGGATCGAGACAGAGGGGGGGTCAAGCAGGAACAGGAACGCTGCATATGGCAAGTGAAGGATTGACTCTGCATATACAGTACTTTGCGCACTTTCAAGTGGAGGTAGCAAATGGTAGGGCAGAAGAACACGGAGTCTGGGCACTTGCTTGCCATTGAATAAGGTAGGGAACATTGAATATTGAGCATTTAGCAGAAGGAAGAGCGTAACTACCTCGGCACCAACCACACAACCCAAAATAAACCTCGAGGACGAACGGATGGATGCACTTCAGACTCCCTGCCATTGTTTCCGTTCATGTTACTCTCTCGGATGAAATATGAACTGCATGCATGGCCTGGGCCCTAGGCCTGCCTATACGGCACAGACTGTAGCTTTTTGCGTGGGGAGTCTCTGTCGTAGATACCTTAGGACTCGAGAGTACGAATATTCGTACCTTAATAAAGACGTCATATCAACAGCCATTGTAAGGTAGTCTTGAAAGGGGCCGAGACACTGCGACTGGACTGAACTCAATGGCGGGTTTTTTTTTTTTGTTTTTGTTTTTTTTTAACGAGGTGACAGGCAGCGGGACATTACCTACATACTGGGGTTTTTCTGTGATTTCCCAAGTGGACTCGATGGTTAATTGCTATTCTCCCCCTTGTTCCCTTTTTCTGCTATGGAAATACCATTTGGAAAAAGGTATCATTGGGTACGGATACCACATTTTGTATCGGTACGGACGATGCTCTAGGTCCTCGTAGAACCTGGCACAACTGCTGGGAGGGGTGCAGGGCGAGGTGGAAAAACGGCAAAACGGGAACAAACGGCGCAATCCAGTCCACTTCAATCCACCTCAACCAAAGGTACCTTGATCATAAGGTAAGGTGAGAGACCGCCACCGGGGAGGAGGTAAAGATAAGCTACACGAGGCTCCTTACGCACCATTCAGGTGTGACTTGGGCCTACTCCGCATGCTCCTGCTGGCTGTTGTTAATGGGTTGTTGTTCCTCTGTGTGTACGAAGTATGTCTGTCCGTCGTCCGCCTTCCTACCTTAGTTCACGGCCTCACCGTCGTGGATGGAGGTTACCTGACGTTAGTTCCGTTCCGCAATCAAGGTATCCGTACCCAAGGTAGGGAGGGTTCCTCAGCACGTTGGGTACCTGAGCTTGTGTCAAGTCTTGCCGGCGGTGCTGTGTGAGATAACCTCCACTAAAAGTACCTCCCCGAAACAGCGACCACAACCAGAACAACCACCACAATCACCAGCACCTCCCTTTTCTGCATGTGCTTTTCTCTCCCTCTCCCCTTCTCCTCTTGTCCGCACTTCATGCGCGTTCGAGAGCTTAAAAGTCGACACATCAACATCAGGGATCGAACACATACCTCGGTCCATCAGGCCCTAGACAGGGGGATCTGTTTCTCTATCAACTTGTCCATCTGCCATCCACGAGATCACATATCTCATCGTCCTCGGGTCCACCCACGCACCCGCCTGTGATGAGACTGCGTCCCGGCTACGACCTGCAACCTGCGCCTGTTTTATTTCCGTCAGGCTGCTTGGACCGCACACACCGAGGCTTACCAGCAAATAGTGGCGGCGCAACTTGGCCACTGTATGCGTACAAGAGCGACCGGGACAACATTACTGCGTGGGGACAGTATCAGGCACGGCCATCAATAACCACGTTTCCGGCGACGAGCAGATGATATTCACGAGGCGCCATCTGAGCGACGTCCCCCTCACTACTAGGCACCACCCTCCGGGCACAGCTCGCCACCATAATCCATCACTTTACGTGACGAACCGACTAGACATGCAGCAGTCACCTCACTTTGTGTATGAAGCTCCCTAACGCCTACGAATACACCCGAGTAATAGGGCACTGGCGCATCGCACCGGGATTAAACCGCGAAAATAACCCCAGCAAGGATGCGGCCCCCACGTCCCCAGAAAATGGTGTTCTAGAACAAATTGATGTGTGTGTCTTGGCTTAGTGAGTTGGTCCGTCTCTGGTGGTGTTCGCCCCTGGGCGTTGGGAGCCGGCAACCATCCACCTGCCACACCCAAGCCCCAGCCCTGGTCCAGCTTAATTGCCAGTCGCGCTACCCATTGATTGCCTGTTCTCTAATTCTGAACTGACAGATAGGAACCGGCCGAGTCCAATAGCCATTCGTGCGGATATCATATGAGCTCCAAAATCACCCCTTGGCCGCGGCTTCTTACGGCTTGCGACAGACAGGCAGAAAGAGAGACGATGTCTACGGATATCTTAACCCGGGACGGAGCTGAACATGCTCATGTCGGTGATTTGGGGGCTATGTATCCGTAACACTGCCCTGGATTTGCTGTCTCAACTGCGTCTTCCGGTCAACCTTCCATCCCGAAGCAAGCCCGCCGGCCATCTTGTTGGGACGATTTCCGACCGCCGTCTCGATTTGGTGTGCCTTACTTGGCTTTCTATACCCTGTATCCCAGTCTGCCAGGGCAATGACAAGGGACGATTATCCCCAGCAAAGTTACCATGGAGCTGTCTGGTGCCACAGCAATCCATCATTTCGGTCGCGTGCGAGCCGGCGCATCTCCCACTGGTCCAAACCTCGCGCTGGCCGAGACAATGTGCACCAACTCCAGGGTATCAGTCATGGTTCTTCGACGTTTGAGGCGAACCGTTCACCGATAAGTCCTCGGTGTTCTCACCGCTCGCTACCTTGTCATCAGCCATGAGTCGATATGTCTGACAACTGGCGGGACTCTGGAGCGGCTTCCGGCGCAAGGTCCATCTTTGCGGAGGATTAATAGTGTGTAAGTGACAAAGGGGAGAGAAGGGTGAAGGAGAAAAAGTTTGCAGCGAGCCCCATTCACCCGCATTTTGGACCTCTCTCCGAATGTTCAATCACCAGACTACATATGCAAAAGGTCTCGTCGTGGTAAGCGCTTTGCAGCCCCTATTGCGCCTCGCTGCCCGAGTAGCTAAGACAAAAAGTCTGGGGAACCAATATCGGACCGGGCAGCTTGCTTTTCCCGACCTCGCGGTCCCGTTCCGTTCCCCAACTTCCCCTTGTCCCCGTGGTCTTCTGATCTCATTCAATGCGGGGGAGCATCCGAGAACCACGTCGTGTGACCAGGTGCCGCGACCTTGCGACACCACAGCTCCTCCCCAGAACAACAATACATGGAGCCATTGGCTAATCACTTGATGAAGAGTCCGAACACAGCCGCCAGCCGCTGCTACTTTCGGGGGAGTGGAAACGCTGTTCCCGTCTCACTCACACGCGACACCATGGTGAAGGACGAAGATCACCTCTTTTGTCGCCTCATTTCCTCGTCTGGCAAGCCATCCCATGTTGGTCGTTTCGTGGGAAGACATTGACCCAGCCAAAGATGAACTTTTGCACCACCGAATGAGGTAAAAAATGACAACAGCCGAAGTTCCCTGACACCATTGTCAAATAGTAGCATTGCGCTACGTAACGCTAACGAAGTCGAATTTCGACACGCCCGCCTGATGCAGGCACAGCGTTGGGACACACAGTCTCTTTCCTCCGCCTTTTTCCCGGCCGAAGGATGATACGCGATGGCATGAAAGGCCAAGTCAACCACGCAGTCAGGCGGGCCCCTTTCAAAGACGTATAATTGAGTGGGACGATGATTTAAATCACTGCGCCAATGACTACTCCCGAAGCCGCTCACCGACTGTAAACCTAATGCTTCACCGATGAGGGGGGTTGAGCCATGAGTCGTTAAGGCCCGCTTGGACTCTGGGGTATTGTCCGCCATGACGTTGTTTGGATTTCTTCTCGAAGCACTCGTCTGACAGGGGGGCGGATGGGGGTTTAGGGGATGGAAATGTCACAATGCTATTGTGCGCAGCAAACCGGAGCCTCTCTCTCTCTCTCTCTCTCTCTCTCGCAAGCGTAGGCCCCCGAAGGCCGTTGATGACGGACCGTTCTCTAGCGCATCTGTCAAGAACGGCCTTCTTGTCATGGCTCATGGGGGAAGTCAAGGTTTCAGACAGCTACAAATGTCTTTGCTCTGGTTGGGAACCTTGGGCTCGGCTTCCTCAGGAGGGACTGAGTCCGTAACGTACGTGGTGTGCGTTCCGGATCGACGCGCGACCGGCAAGTGTCTTCGGGAAGGGGGAGGAGCGAGGAAGAAGAGGAGCCGAACAAGTGCTTCACATCCTCGGCTCCTCGAATGTCACTTGCCTCGTGGGAGATTCTTTTCCCAGATCGTTCTCTCCCGAAGCTCTCGCTCTCTCCCGAAGTTCTCGGACAGGTATCAGCTGAGCAGTTGGCAGGGCGGAGAGGACCTGGGTCTTACAGTCTACAATCGAGGAGATGGGGGGGCACCCGTAGGATTGGACAAGGTCCACGCTCGATGTTGACGTTGCACGTTTCCCAAGGCCGAGGCATCGTGGAAGGAGGGTGGGTGTGAGCTCCAAACTCAGTCCTTTCCTTCCGCTTGGACCTCGGAGGAAAGGAAGTAAAGGCTGACCAACGAGTTATGGAAACTAAGAATTGGGGGAAACTTGGACCCAATGGCTTTTTTTATACCGTTTGGCTAACTACCGTCTGGGCAGTTCTGCTAAGAAAACCCATCTCTTTGCTCTTTTTTTTCTTTTTCTGGGAGTAGCATTTGGGAGGTTTCGAGTTTTGGTTAGGTTGGGGAGAGGAGAAGAAAACAACACGACCAAAACACCAGGAATCATCGAATTTCAACATTACGTCCGGGAATATAGGACGTCGGACCTTTCCGCATTTCAGTGAAGGGACTATCAAGTAAAACCTGGCCTACTATTGTTTGTTTATACATATCGAGATACCTACCTTGATCGAAAAATCAAGCAACCCCCCCCCCCCCAAAAGATGATGAAGATGCGTCACCGGCACGGGTTCGGGAGAAGGGGACTCTGATTTGTTGTTTCCAACTAGACGTTCAATACCTAGATATGCTCATTTGGACTTACGCGGAGGTGCCATTGTACTTGATCTCGAATAAGGTACCTTACGTTGTCATTAGGCCGAGAGGGGGGCTACTATCTAAATCCTCCTCATCACAGCAAGCCACATGGAATGAATACATCACCAGCTTGCGACGAAATCATTGTCTTTATCAGGGAAACACATCTTTGCATTCGAACCATACCCCGTAGTTATTGTTTGGTATCATAATAGGCAAGAAAACTAATAAAAGAAATCAAGTCGCCGGTGCTTGTACATATTCCCATTCTCTCCACCCTCGTTTCGTTGTTGCCCTCCATTTTGGTGTGTGTGTGTGTGTGTGTGTGTGTATGTTTGTGTGTGATACTCCTCCCCGCATCCCCAAATCATGTTTTCTCGTCCTTGAAGCACAAGAACTCGCTTCTCATACCCGTACGAAAAAGGAAAGAAAAACAACAAAGCCTTGGTTTAAGGATGTGTGTTATGACATGCGTGTGTATTGTGGCACAGAAGCAGCAGTTGGTTGGCTCCTTTGCACATGCTCTATGCCAGAAGCCTCCTTCAAAACGCCCGCTCCCACTTGATGTTTTTGAATGTAAAAAATGAGTGAGAAAGCCAATGCGCTCTTTGGGTTGGACGAACTGGCTCATATTAAATAAAAGTGGAAGTGCTGGGCGACCAAACTTTCTTTGTGTTGTGTATGCCATAAAAGAGGAAAATTCACAAAATTAAGAACAAGGGCCTGTATATTGGCATGGCCAGTGTTAGTAGTGTAGGGGAGGCCGAGTTAACAGCATACCCCAGACGACTAGTCATCAAGCTTGAACATCCGCCTGAGCGTGCCAAACTTTTTCTTCTTCTTGCCCGAGGGATCCAACTGGACGCTCTCTTGGTCTTCTTGGTACCCCGAGGTGAGTACCTGGTTGGTGCTTCGGCGCTTCATAAACATCGGCCTGGACGCGTCCACGGGCTTGTTGTTATCAGCCGTCATCGGCCGCTTCTCGTCGTCAAAGTTCTCCTCGACAAGGGGCCAATTCTCCATGGGTAGCTTCTGGAGCTTCGACCCATTTGTACCACGGAGAGCCGAGATTTCCGAGGCGCTGCGCTCCAGTTTCGTGTCCATCCTGGCACCGCTCTCGCCGGCGGCTGGTCGAGAAATCTTCCCGGCATCAGAATCTTTTCTGCGCCGAAGGATAGACAGGAAGCTGCCTCTGCGTTCGTGATTCGGTCTGGTGCTAACAGCAGGAGCCGTGGATGACTCCATAAGCCCTCCACGAGGAGATCCGGAAGGCGGCAAACCGTGACCGTCCGATTGAGACTTCACCAGGCGGCCGCTAGCGCCAGAGACCTTTCTCGGAGACAATTTGGGCTTTTGCAAAACCGGCGGCGGTGGCGCCTCCTCGTCGCTGCTGTCGGGAAGATCCGGAGAATCTTCTGCCTTTTCGTCGTATCGTGGAGGGGGAACCTTCATTGCAGCCGCCGCAGCAGAGCTTGATGCGCGCATGCTCTTCGGCATGTTGTGCGGCGCAGGTGCAGGCGCAGTCTTTTCGTCTTCGTCGCTAGAGTCGACAAATCGGCTGTGGAATCCAGAGGGCCCAGCATCTTCTTCGTCGCTCGAGTCGCCAAAGCGACTCTTTCCAGGTTTTCCAGTCACCTTCTTAGAAGATGACTTGCCGAAAGACGGCAGGCGCATGCGACGCGTGCTTCCGTCGCTTGAGTCACTTCGCAGCGTGCCTCGCATAGTTGTACGATTGCCCATACTGATCGGTGGCTGAGACGGCGATGCAGGTGGAGACATTGACCGGAGGCTGAAGCGCGAGTTCCTACCGGCTGCCGCCTGCTCGGCCTCTCCGTTAGATCGCATCGATTTTCGGAAGCCAAATCCTTCCTGCTTTGGTCGAGACCGTCGAAAACTCGTCTCGCTGGAATCGGATCCCCGTCGACGAGGTGTCGACTGCATTGCTGCCTGCATGGCTTTCGCCATCTCTACGCTTGACATGTTGCTGTCCATAGAAAGGTGCTTAGAGCGAACATCCCGACTAGCCAGTGATGCCGAATTTGCTCGTTGCTGGGGAACATGCCCTGTTGATTGAGACGAGCCATTCTGTCTCATAGACTTTCTCATGCCTCCAGGACCCGCAGCTTGTACTTGATGAGAGCTTTGAGGAGCTTGATTGTCCGATCGCATCGACTTTCGCATGCCGGAATTCGTAGCGGCGGACGGCTGAGTCGGTGTACCGCGCATTGTCTTCTGGAGTCTGCCATTAGCTGGCGCGGCCTCTTGACCCTGCCGTCCTCGCATAGTCTTCCGAATAGCGATTGGAGGCTCTGCTTCGTCTTCTTCATCGGGGGCTCTCGTTCCAGGCTGGATTTGGTAAACGCGCTCGGGGTTGATAGAGGACTGCTGTTGTTCAACTGGGTCGCTCTTGCGAACAGACTTCTTCCTCTTGGGTTTTACGGGCTGGACAACCTCTTCGAGATCGCCTTCGGCCCCAGCTTCCTCCAACGCCTCTTGTTCAAGTTGCTTTCGCTTGTCACTCGTTAATCCTTTCCAGTAGAGCTTAGCCTTCTCCCACTCGTCCTGCGGTTGTTGCGAGCTACTTGACAACTGCGAAACGTCCGGCGTGTGGCGCGCTCTGAAGACATCAGCGTCATGAGCAGTCTCCTGATGCGAGTCTGCCAGAGCCTTTTGGTAGAGCTTCTGAGAAACCTTGTCGGAGACGGGTGATGCGACGACGGCGTCAAGGGACATGAAACCATCTCCGTCGATATCTGATAGGTCTTCGTATGCGTCACTGTAGATGCTATCGCCTTCGGACGCAGATTCGTCGGTGGGAACCGAGTGAGGAATAGCCTTTGCGGGGGCCTTGACTGTGCCATTGGACACTGCAGTCGTCGTCGGTTCATCGTGCTTTGTCACATCTGTAGTAGGCACAGCGCGGGCGTGCACGACGTTGTCTTCGCTGTCGTCATTTGGGAAACCTCCCGGAACGTCAAAGTAACTTGGACCTGACTGACTGGCCGGATCGTTGGTAACTACCTCTCTGGGAGTCGGTGTGGGCTGAATGACGGAGATGGAGGGGACAAAGTCTTCGTGCCGTTCAGTGTGGTTCTCATGAACAGGACCTGTCGAGTATTGTGGCTGGTCGAGCAAGTCAGGATGGTCGGCAATGATCTCCTCCTTCACTTGCGCAGGAGGCAAAGTTGGCGGGGGCTCCTGGATAACCTCTGAATCTTGGAATATTTCCCTCTCATCTTCGTCTTCCGAACTCGTGCTGCTGGGCGAGTAATAGCCGCTCCCTTCCATTGACGTTACCACGGGCGGCAACGGCTCTCTAAATCTGGATATGTTTGCAGGGTTCCTAGCCGTCTGCTCTTGAAGATGAAGAATCGAGCCAACATTATGATCGTTGGACTGACCGAGTGGGATCGACCGGTCTGGTGTGCGTTCCGGGGTATCTGGGCCAGATGCCGTCGGTGATTCAGTAGGACGGACGAGTGGCCGCTCATCTTCAGTGTCCCGCGGCATCTTCTCACGGACGCTGCCGAATGTGGGCAGAGCCGGTCGCGGCTGCATAACTTCGTCGTCGTCGAGGGCAACTGCATCTTTCTTCCGGCTTCTGCCTAAATGGTTGTACCAATGTCTCTTCGTGTTTTGAGGACTCAGGGGAAGAGGTGAATCCTCCAGCTCGGGTTTTGCAGCAGATTGTCCTACGACCTTGGTGTTCTCATCGTCAAAGCTGACCCGTACACTCTTTTTACGTGGCATCGGCGCCTCCACTGCGGTGGCCTCACTGCCAAACCGGCTTGGCCCGGACGCTTCAGAGCCCTCATCTGAAGGTGAGGCACCACGAGATGGACTAATTGAGTGTTTCATGGCGGACTTTCGAGGAGAGACGGATCGCGGAGGAGGCTCGTGCCTGATGGCTAGTTGATCTGCGCCTAATGCAAAGCGTGCTGATCTTGCAGGACTGCTCGAGTGCGCACGTCCGTTCCGGATACTGCCATGCTGCTTAAGCTGTGGAGGGCTGTGTTGCCTTTGAGACGACATCTGTGCTGGAGCTTCGACAGCTGTGCTTTCGGATGACAGCGATGGTTGCTTTGGGGGCGCTGAAGACCTCACAGGTACTGCATCAAGAACATCAGAAACATCGTGGCGCACTACCGGCTGCTCAGCTTCGGCATCGTAGGAGTCCTCCAGGTCGTCCTCGGATTCCTCCTTCACCATAGAAGGCTTCCTTCCTAATTTAGGAGCGCCTTGGCGAGATTCCGAATGTGGTAGAACCGTAGCACCATTACTTTTACGTACATCCTGCAAAACAGGCTGCTCTACCTCGGGTTGGGTTGCCGGTTGCGCATGAGCCGGTTCTGGTTCACGTTGAGAAAGCAGTTTGGTGCTTACGACAGGTGCTGGAGACGGTTGCTGATGTGTGGGTACAGTCTTCGGCGGCACAGTCTCCTCAACTTGAGGTTGTTTTTGTTGCTCAGGTGCGCCGGTAGGAACCCGGACTTGCGGTTGTTGCTTCTGTGCTGGTGCCAAGGCCGGTGCCGGTGCCGGTAGGGGCGTAGGTGTGGGCGAAGACTCTTCAGCTGCTACCTCAGTGCCTTGCGCTCTACCCATTGTACCTTGGGCCAAGTGGGAACCACTTCTGGTCAACCCTTGCTGGTGTTTTGATTTCTTGACCGGTTTCTCAGCAGCATCTCGAACTTTCTGTTCGCTTACCAGCAGATTCACCCTAGGAACCATTCTCCTCGAATTGGGGTCATAAACAAGTGATTGGGTATCCGACGCCGTGGTGTTGCGTGACGCCGCTGATTCTGTTCGGCGGGGTGAGACAAATCGCTGGCTACTTGTCATTGACATGCTCTCGACGGTTGGTGATGCCGGGGGCGATGCGCCTGGCACCCTCGGATATGAAAAGTTTATGGAAGAAGTTGGGCTTACAGCTCCCGGGCGAGACTCTGGAGAGGCGACACGCATCTGGGCATCCGACGTTCTCACGTTGGCCAAGTTGCCCTCGTGTGCGGCCCCAAACCACGATCCGGCGCCATCTTGTTTCTTCTGACTCGCTACGCGGAATGGCTGCATCTGTAAGCTCGTCGACCTCTTGTGGGAGGAACTCTGGTTCGTGATGGATCGCACGTCATCCGGGATATTCGGGACCGGCGGCGCATCGGCGGCAGCAGCCACTGGTGTTCGGTGTGGTGAAGGTGAGCGGAAGGTGCGTTCGGTCATGGAGCTCTGACTAGGTGATCGGTGCAGGTCCCGTTGAAAATCCTGGCTTCGCTGCGAGGAGACTGATCGACTGCGCCTTTGCGTTCGCTTTGTCTGTACTTCGGCGACATTGATGGGAGTCGTAGGTCGCGATCGCAGAGCGGCGGCGGCGGCGGCGGATGATAGAGACGAGCTGGATGCGCGTCGCGCGAAGGCTGAGGCAGCTGCAGTAGCAGCATTAGGGTTTGCGGTTGCGGCTGTCAATGGCTAGATGGCAACAGGGTCAGTTGTAAATCACAGACTCCAAGAACGAAGGCAGCGCAGGTCGCATGGGAGAATGCTCTTGGTGGTGGTGAAGAATCAACATGCAGCAAGCCAGTACGGCGAGAAAACTATAAGCTGAAAAGCATCAGTCGGCACAATGACGACATACCTGACTGGCCTGACGGTGCCGTCGCGACCCTCCAAACATGTTTGCTTTGAGTTCGGAAATATCGATCAACGGCGCATGGCCTGAGATGGTTTCGTAGCAAGTTGCATGGAATTAAAGGTGTAGTAGGAGAAATACGAAAGCGCAGGAAGAAAAGTTGGTAAGTAAAAAGAAAATAAAGGTAGACTGAGGAACGAAGGCCTCAGGGTGTGGTGGGAGGGGGGAGGTAGGTTGGATGACTTTGGAGAGTTGGAGATTGTCCTGGGGAGGCCGAGAGACAGAGAGAGGGCGTAGGGTGGTGGTGTCGGTGGACGTCTGCGCCTTTGACTGGTGATGTTCCGGGGGAGGAAAGGTAAATGGGCGAGCTGGGGTGGGAGATGTGGTGGATTAGAGGGATGGACGTGGATGGGACGGGATGCGATGGGATGATGACGGAAGAGGTGAGTCGGATTCAGCCACGATGGGGTGGGAGGGGCCCCCTGCTCCGTGCGCTGCTTTCATTTCACGTTTTTCTTTCCCTCCCATTCCGTTCCTGTCAGTACATTATCCACTACCTTACCTTACAGAGAGTGAGAGGTACAGCAGGACAACAAAAATGCAATGCAAAAGGCAGTGAGCGACCTGCGCCTTACCGCTGCTGGCTGGAGGCTACTTCTTTCTGCTGGAATCACCCTTGTTTCGCCTCTGCCGCCTTTCTGCTTTGGGACGACGCCATGCCGGGTCTGGCCCAGTGTCTCAAAGCAAGAGGGTGCCAATCCGACGGGCCCTGCTGCTAAAATCAAAATGCCCCATGTCGAGCTGGCCTGGCGCTGGGCAGCAGCATTTCAGCGGGGTTGGGAGCTTGTTGCTACCAACTTTGCTGGCAAATTCCTTCGCTCGCTGGTACAGCGGTAGACAACGATCTACTGCGGGAGCCGGGACGCCTGCGAAGTTTTCTTGCGACAGCTTCGATGACCTGGCGATCCTGTGTCTTACAGGCATTGGTCCACTTCCATCCGAGAAAAGACAAAGATTAAAGCAAACCATCGGCCCAAGAAGTTGCTTAGGTTTTGGATTGGATGCTTGGAAATCCCATCAATGCCGTCGTCGTCATCAAGAAACAGCTCACACAGCCAAAGATTGTCTTGACACCTGTATCCTGTACAGACAGAAACATCGCGCTAGATACCTATCACAATTACTTACTTACCTAGTGTCGCAATGGACTCGAGGAACACGCATCAATCTGGGACGTCTATCTGTTTCCATTGTCCCCCCTTGTCCAACCCCCGACGATCCATCCGTCGTGTCTGAGAGGTCAACCTAGAAGTCTCACGTCTTTGAAGGTACAGGTCCTACCGAACGAACTAATCGAGTCTCGGCTGTTTTGGTGAGGCAGCCACGGCAGCCAACCGAGGAGCCCGCTCTTCTTTTTTTCCCTTTCGCAATCCAAAGCCCTTTCCAAAGTTCCGTGGTTCCCATGAGGTATGGAGGCGGCTCAGCCAACGGCAGGAAGTGCCACCACCACCACCACCACCTGTGGGTGTACAAAAGTACGCGAGTACATCCACCCACCGACGGATACGTCAAAGTTCCAGAGTGCCGAACCTCATGTGGAGCAGTTGATCGACGTCCTCGTAGAACCTTGAGCCTGGGGGGGGGGCTTGCGTTGCGGTGCGGTGGGTGGATGGGACAGGGTTGTTTCAGGCCTGGCCCGACTGACAGCGAAGCTTTTCCAGTTCTCTGCTCTGCTCTGTTCTGTTCAGTCTCCCTCCCGAATCTCCGTGATCCACCCCTGGCTATTTCTAACTGGGCACTTTTGGGGGGGCAAGTCTTATTATGATTTGGAACTCTCCGGCGCAATCCCGCCGACGGCTTGCGCGGAAACGGCTCTAGCGGATGGTGAGAAGCTTGATTTCAGATCTTGTCTGTTCTCATTCTCTCTGAGTTACCTTGGACGGACCGCCCCGATTGAGGCTTTGCGATCATTAGACTTGTCAAATATCGAAAGAGAAGATACTTGATGACACCAATGCGATCCGGAGCGACTCTCCGAAGATGCCCCTCCTCCTCCGACCCCAATAACACCTACTACAACCAGCTCCATCACTCCCCAAAAACACATCATCAATCTCCAAGGTCCATGCATGTTCCCCAAGCCGCAATGATCAACCACACAAGGAGACAGAAAGAAAAAAAGAAAAAAAAATCTCCTCAGCAGTCAACCAGACCCAACTCCCAGAAAGCCAAACATTCCCTAGGCGGATAGCGCGGTCAGTGTCCACGGGTAGCGTTGGAATCCGGTCTTTTACGCTGCGACCTCCGCCGGTAGGCCAAGCTATCTCTATTTTAATTCCTACCTTACCTCACGTTCAACGTTCTAAACACGAAAGAGCCCAAAAACAGACATGGAAACAATCGTATTGGGTTGTTTCTGATGCTTCAAATTCTCCTCATACCATTCACTCTCCTTGGCTCGTGAGGAAACAAACGCCAAGCTGCAAAATCAAGCAACATGAGTGAGGCGGACTAGGAGCAGCTGGGAAACTCCGAATAATGACGGGGTCATGAGGTACTAAGTATGAAGGAGCCGCTTAATAAGGCAATATTCTGCAATTAACGAGTCGTTGGCTTAGGGTCGCGATGGAGGAGGTGGCTAGACCTACCGCTAAAACCACCTTAGTCAGTGCAGAGATCCGTGACGTCATACCTGGTAGGTGCATCTAGCTACGGGTCTTTTACAATGAACCTCATGCCTGAGAGTGCTGAGGCAGAGGAGGTCTACCAGAGATACACCTGAAAAGCAATCGGTGGAGACAGTCACCAACAATTAGATGGAATTCAGGTAAGGGTGGTCAATTCTGCTGGGGAAGACTTGTTGTAGTCTAGGGGAAAGGCGTGTGTGTATGTATCTTTGACAAGTGACCGTCACGAGGCGTTCGACAACCTCCCGTCTCCCTTTCCTGAGCCTCAAAAGTCTAGACCTGGCTGAACCAGTATCCATGCTTGCCCGCTGATTAAAGTTCCAAGCCTCCCTCTACGGCTTTCCAAACAGACAACAGCACGAGCTTGATTCTTAGCTCGATGATCTATTAGAAGGCATGGGCAATGCTTGGTGGGTTCCATCATCGTGGCATAGGACTCGTACTCTCTGAGGCGAGTATTGCCTATTTTTTTTCTCTTGTGTTTTCGGTTGTTAACTTTCATTGCTGATAATGGTGGTGGCTAGTGATAGTAACATGTTGATGATGGGGCGTATTCCAAAGGGTGGCTGAAATGCGCCTTTGTTCAAACCCAAGTTGATGGGTCATGATACTCCCGATATCATCAAGTCATGTCCAAGTGGGTTGGTGTTCCCTCCACCTGCCAGCCAACCGACCAATGGTCAGTTTCCAATGCTGAGACATGTAAGGCCAATGCTGTGCTCGGATTGATGCGACAACGGGTATAGTGAAGTAGGGGTAAGCGAAAGAGACCACATGCGGTCACCAAAATCACAGTGTTGTGCACCCCAGGAAGCCCGCGAGTGGACCTCTTCAGTCAACTGCCTCGCCAGGATCATCCACCTCATTCTGGTCTCCGCCGCAGTCGCTGCAGGTTGTATGTGGGCAAGTACACTCTTGGTCTGGATCGTCGCTGAGCAACATCGGCGGGTCGTCTTGAGAGTATGTATCTTCAAAGTCTTCGTCGTTGTGATAGTTGCCATTTGGATAATCGTCAAGATAGTCATCGCCAGGACTGGAGTTGCTCTCATCGGGTCCAACAGGAGCATGAGCACCTTGGTCCTCGGTTTGGTTCTGAACTGATGTCGCCTTGGCAGGCGACTTGGCTTGCTTCCTGGCCTTTCTGCCCTTTGTTTTGGCCTTCTCCAAAAGTCGCTTCCGTTCTGATTCTTTCTCGCGGGCTTTCTTGTCCTTGATCTCGTATTGCCGGATCAAGGCATATGGAGGCGAGCCAAAGATTCTCTCATACTCGCAAAACTCGCAAATCCACATATCTTCAAGCTTGGGTGGATTTTTGTAGTATTTCTCCTCGGCTTCCTGGCGGCGTGACTTGGCTGCATTACGCAGTTCCTTCTCGGCAAGCTGACGGCGCTTCTTCTTCGACATGGGCCGGGGAGCTTTCTTGCCGGCAGGCGCAGGATCGCCTGAGCCAGTATCCGTGCCGGCGGCATCTGGCGTAGTCTGTGTCGCCATTGAGGCGTGTCTGGGTTGTCTGGGATATCCGGGATGGGAGATCGCAGGATCAGTTCCGGGCCAGTGAGGCTTTGGAACTGGGGAGTCGCAAGTGAAGGTAAACTGAGTGGCAGTGGGGCTAGATTTGACGCTGGAGGATTGCTGATGGAGGAGGCTCACGTTCTCCTGACCTGGAGCTGAGTGGACCTTTTCTGCGTTCGCAATGGCACTTGAAATGATGCCGGGATTTTCATCTGTGGATGTAAGGATTAGCGGCGCATCCCAAGAACGCAGCGTTGCGATAAATACGCAAGATAACGAGGATGCTGTGATCGCCGTGGGAAAGGCTGAGCTGAGGAAGCTGAGGAGTCGCTGTTTGTACTCAATAGAGTGGCTGCCTGCGTTTGGAATCGAAAGGTGCAGGAACAACCTGCTGTGAGGTGCAGCTGCCGCCTTCCCTTTCATTCAACAGCAACCACCCCCGCCATCAAGCACTGCAGCATCCCATCAGGCTTCTCCCACCTCTCTCGTCTAATTTCCGCCCCAAACACACAGGGAACAGTCGTTCACACTTACTTGGTGTTGCCCATTGAGGCGGCCGGATCTTGGCTCCCCTGCCCACCCAATTGTTTGTTGCGTCGGATAGAGCCCTGAGTGGACTTCTTCCATTTCTTGATCTTCCAAATCTGCCTCTTCCTGGTCCCGAGATGCCTTGATTGTTTCCAACAAAACCTCCAGCCCCATAGTATGACGGCGATATCGATCCAGCGAGGTCACCGTGGTCGTTTGACGAAGACATGACTGTTGATACGCCTATGGAGTTGATGTCACCCATGGAATGTACACCAGATAGCGTCGAGTCTCCAGCAGTCGGAATCTTCCTCTTCTTCTTGTTATTGGTGTTCTCGAACGATTCGTACCCATCCGCTGAGGATGTTGTCGAAGGAGGCGGCTGAGGGCTGGGGTGCTTCGAGTGTTCCGGTTTCGGAGGCTTCGTTGAGACGCGGTTGAGTATCTCTGGATGCGAACGCCGTACAACTTTGCTGCTGCTCAGCGCCAATTCCTCCTCGTCGCTCTCTCCAATCGCTGGGGTCCCTCGGGCTGCTCCTCCATACCCTCCATTACCTCTACTCGCACCGTTCACGCCTCCTGCCCTGAAGGGCATCTCATCTCGCACAATGTTTGGGTAGTAGAACAGAGGGCTACTGTTGTGGTTCGCAGGGGGGTACTCGATGGAGTCCGCCACCTCGGGAGAGAGGCGTTCCCTCAAGCGACGCTTCGGCAAGGGACGAATCGGCCTCTGGGGGAATAGAGAGGAGACGCTTTCGGGAGACATTGTTCGATTATGACCTGCTTCCGCATAAGAACCATCGAGGTTAGCAAGCTTCTCGGTCGAATGGTAAAGCCTCAGGCCGGTGAGTTTCAAAGGCGCATGACCTGTGCAGTCGGCCGCCACAGCCAGCTCCAAAGTCTCGAGCGCCGACGAAGCAGCGCCTGACATTCGGCGGAGGGCTACAGTGGCAGCATCCTTCGAAAGCAGTGGTCGAGGAGGTGGATATGGCAAGGTGGTGGCGGGAGTTGAACTTGGAGAAGAGCGACGCATACCCATAACACCTCATGCTACAAGCCATGCAAGGCAGGCCAACGCGGACAGTGCGATTCACGTTACGAAGCTTGAGGCTGCTAGCAGTGCGACGGGAGGTCGTATTGTTGTTGCTAGAGCAAAAAAAGGCTCTCGTTCGGTGGTGGGTTGGGAGATTCGAGGGGAGGGGGGGTATGGATCCGTATTAAATGCGGGAGGAGCTCGTAACCCTTGATTCCTGAGTTTGCCCAACCATCAGCGTATGTCCGCAATAGAGAGCTGGCCCATCGACAAGCCAGACAAACATTTGCTGCACGTTCAACCAGGTCCGATCGATAATTTCCTCCTACCCTTGAGCGAATCAAGGGAGCGTTGCACAAAGAGGCTCAGGTAAGGTACGAGCGGACCTCTACTTATTCGCCAGAAGAGGGGAGCGGGCATACCAACTCGGTCCACCAGAATTCGGCCGGGTTTGCTCCGTGTTCGACTTTGGGCACGCAGGAGCTAGAACAAGCAGAGTGTGCGGTCTGGCGCAAGATGTTGTTCAGGTAAAATGCAAAGGCGACAGCTAGGGTACTCGAGCTCTGAACGAAGTGTGGGAAAGTCAGCGTTGGTATCGAATTCCCCAGCTTTGATTGCTAATGACAGCATTTGATAATGTCTGGTGTGTGATTAGGAGACGTAGGTCAACGAGGGCCGCTCGAAACGCATTAGATAAGCAAGCCAGGGCTCCGCTGCGGATGGACTGGCCGGGGTGGGAGGTTGGGGCGGGCCTTTTGGGGGGTTACCTGATGGATCCAGAACCCAAAGCTCGAGGCGGACAGGCGGGAGAGAGAGAGTGACGAGGTAAGGTAAGGTAGGGAAGGGTTAAAGTGATTGAGGTGGAAGTGGAAAGAGAAGAGATGCACACACACTGTGTGCTGTGCATAAAAGTGACTCGCCGCAGAATGCAGAACGGAAGAGACAGCGGGAGAGCGGGTGGTAAATTGGGCTTCGAGATTAGACGAGCACGGTTGGCAGGGGAAAATCATGGACTGTAGCTTTTGGCGGGGGACCTGTGCTTTGGGAGATGCCATGTAAGGTACTCCGTACTCCGTTACCTTAGGTAAGGTAGGTAGGTTGGTGGGTTCGGAAGAAAATCCCTGACGCTGCTCAGTTGGCTGGTCTCAGGTACTCCGATTTTCTGCCTTTTTGGAGGGCAATTTGTGGGAGAAGCACAGTGCCGCCCAAAGTCGCTAGTACACAGACTGTCATCGCCATGGTTTTTCCGACGGCAGCACAGCACAAGACGCACAACACAATTCCCATCCATCCCACCTCCGCTCCCCGAGATCCATTCCTCTCTCTTTCTTTTGTGCAGGGACTTATGCAGCACAATCACCTTTATAGCCATTGGTAAGGTAGACGGCAGCCCATTGGCAGCACCTGGCCCCAGCCCCGCAAAGCTGCTCTTTTCCCTGGGTGCGTTGCTCGGAGGGCACCTCAGTGGCAGTGGCAGCTCCCGTCCTGCACGCCAGAGCCAAAGAGGCTGCCGCACCACACTTTACAAGCCCGAAAGAAGTGCGGTGCTGCTGGTCTGTCGCCTGTCGGTTTCCTTCACCCAGAGAACCATTCTCCCAGGGCGCACTCTTTCTCTGACCTTTTCCACCTCCCCACGCCGGCTCCTCTCTCTCCTCTTCTTCACTCTACCGACCCGTCACGACATGAATCTACCTTGTTCTCGATTGACAGATATGCGAACTGTTCGATTCCCTCAAAAGAATTGCTCGAGTACCCGAATCCTCCCTTCTCACTAGCCCGAACTGCGAGTCGCGCCCATCCATTTCTTGCTACTCTCTCGCTCGCACGATTGCCCTCCCACTACAACCACAACAACCCACCCGGCCTGCTCTCTGCCCACTCTCGTTACCTTACCTTACCAATCTTCCCCCTCGCCCCGATATCCCAATTCTACTCTCTGCCTCCTGGCTTCAACTCTTGCGACTGCGACATCCTGTACTGCGTCACTCACACGCCGCTGCCGCCGACTCTTCCTCCCCTCCTCCTCACTCTTCCGAACTCTTCCTCACCTTCCTCCTCTCTCTCCGCCGTCCCCTTACGCTGCCTCAATGGCACCACCCTCCCCTCGACGTTCTTCACGAGCCCGAGGCAACACAGTCTCTCAATCACAGCAATCCTCGACAACGTCGAGTCTTTCGAGTCGCGGCGAACGAACGACCAGATCCCTCAACAAGACCTCTTCCGCCAAGTCCACCCCGAGCGCCTCGCTCTCTTCGGAACCACCCGAAGACCTGGAGGACGCCCTCCCCTCACGGCGCCGAACCCGCGCGCAAGAAGACGCTCGCGACAAGCCTCGTGTCGATCCCTACGATATGGCCACCGGCAGTGACGACGTCCAAGAGGACGACGAGTCCGTACGCTGCGTCTGTGGTTTCGACGAATACCCGGGACCTCCGCCCTTTGAAGAGGATTCCAAGCACGGGAAACACAACCCAGAGGCCGACTTCTTCGCTAGCATCGAGTTGTCAGATGAGGTCTCTGGTCTCTTCGTCCAGTGCGACGTCTGCAAAGTCTGGCAACATGGTGCCTGCGTCGGCATTTTCACCGAGGAGAGCTCTCCCGATGAGTACTTTTGCGAAAAGTGTCGCAAGGATCTACACAAGATTCACGCAGCAGCTAACGGGTAAGCATTCCACCTTCCGTCGAGGAGCTCTCGGTGTCTTGTCGCCCACATACCCGCCATTGACTGTAAAGCGTCGGTCGGCGGCGAGGTGACTGGGGGAATCGGACTTGGATACGGCGAGGCTCAATCCATGTCGCCTCTGGAATCTTGACAATGCTGACTTTTCTCTCCTCAGACAACGGTACTCGAACTACTTGCCTCTCAATCGTCCGTCGCGCGCAACATCCCGAGCCGCATCCTTAGTGAAGGATGGCACCAGATCGCCCAAAGAATCAGGCAGGAACGGGGGCCGCGCCTCTTCTGCTACCCAGGCCTCGAAGCGAAGGTCAACAATGAACAGCCGGGATGCCGCATACGATGAGGATGAACAATTGCGGCGGGCCATCGAGGCTAGCAAAGAAGAAACCATTTCGGAGCCCACGGAGACTACGTCAAGACGAACCAAGCGAGGTCGTAGTGACAGTCTTGAGTGAGTCGCCAACCTTTCACTACGCTGACTCCCGCTAATAGTCGTAGGAACTCGGCAAGCCTCAAGAGACAGCGAACCAGTTCGCCATCAATGTCACCGCCCCCAGAGAAGACCGAAGCCATCGAGGATGAAACAGACGAAGAAAACAATGGCAGAAATGGCCAGTCGAAGAAGCCTCGCGGCACACGTACGCAACGTGAAAAGTCGGATCGAGAAGAGCGCGATCGCCAGCGAGCAGAAGCAGCCAATCGACGGAAGGGTCGTGCAGATCGTAGGAGAGCTGAGGGTACGACTCCTGTAAATCCGGGTAAGGAATCTGAAGCTCACGTGGGCGCAGAATCGGATCCGTCAGAAGAGGTCCCCCTCGCGACAGCTCGGCCTGCTGTCAAACCGACCACCGAGCCTGTGGTGCCTGTCGAGGCGCCCCCGTCCTCTGCCCCGACCCCGGATACTCCGCCTGCAAATCAGGCACCGGTCGGGAGTTCACACAAGAAGACAAGTCGTAACAACCAGAAGAGGGGCAAGGGTCGAAACCAATACACAAAAGATCGAGACGATAACGAAGACACACCAGCGAGGTCAATGTCCAGAGATATTGGCCGGAATCATGACGACCATACCGGCGCTGGCACTAGCAAACACTCACATTCCGACCATCCCAAGCACACCCGAACAAAAGCAAACAGTGCCCACAGCAAAGTATCAATGAACGACATGAAACGCAGAGTTTCGGCGTTCCTCGACTTCATTTCCAAAACACAAGTGGAATTGGCTGGCGAAGCACTACCGGGATCCAGGAGTAGCCAAAATAGCTCCCAACAACAAAGTCCTCGCGCAACGGCTGCGCCAGATGCGCCAAAGATTAGCGTCAACGGCGACTCCGCAGTAGCAAAGAACTCGCCAATCGGTACTGCGGCAACAGACGGGAATGGGCCCGAGTCGAAAGATTTTAAAGCATTGAATTGCGTGGAAATGATGGATGCCCTGACGCGCGACCTGCTGCGATGGCAGAATCAATATGCGTCATGAGCAGGCCTGGATTGGCCGTAGCTGTCCTCTATATAAGCGAATAGTCGCTCACTTGAAGCCGAATGGTTGCTTTCGTTTCGGAGTACGATATCAAGAGTCTGCCCTCGACGGCACTTGGCGACTCTGTACGGTTTGATGTTTCTTGGCGTTTGGTCTGTTTTGGGGTGTTGAAAATGGTATTTGAACAAAAAGCTTGAAGGCAGTTCAATCACGAATTGTTGCTCATGTACGCACTGGTTGTGCGGTTCTACTTTCAGTTGATAATGTCAGGTTCGAGGAGAATTGTCGGATACCCGGACGCTTGCGAGTCTCCAAGATTGCGGGCGACGTTGCTAGTGATGCACCCAGGTTCAGTTGAATTTGGTTTCTTATCTCGAGTATTTTCCAACCTGATCTACTCGTTCTCTAGGTTCTTGAAGGATAAGATGTACAAAAAATTGCTCTCATACGAGGCAACGTCTTTATTTTACATGTATTTTGATACAGAGTGTGGGGTATCTTTCTATAATTCTCACACGGGACAATTCTACTATCACTCCTTTTGGTGCCTTTAAACCGCTTTGCTCTTGTTCATTGCCCGCTCTTTCCTCGCTTCCTTTTCTTTCCTCCGCGCCTGATTCATGCTGAGCGGGCCCTGCCCTTCCCTCGCCAGCTCCTTGTCCTTGAACGCCTCGTCCGTAATGTCGTCGAGTACGAACTTGCCCAGGTTCCCGACCCTCCACTGCTTGACGATCCAGTCGGCGGCGCTGTCGGCGTTGGCTTCCCCGCCGCTCTTGAGCTTGCCCGTCCTGCGGGCGACGCCCGTCAGGAACTCGTTGACCTCGTTCGTGGGCTCCGAGTATCTGGCGTAGGCGCCCGGGTCGACAAGGTTGAGGCGGTAGAGGAGGTAGTCGGCGAGGATCTCCATGGGGATGCGGTCGTCTTTTACGGAGCCGGCGAGCGCGAGCTTGACCATGCTCTCGGCTTCGGAGACGAAGGGCATGAAGACGCCCGGGGTATCGAGGACGAACACGCCTTCGCCTAGGCCCATGGTGTCGTTGCCGTTGCCGTTGCCGTTGCCGCCGCTGGTGTTGCTGTTCTCGGAGTCGAGAATGCGCACGGGAGAGGAGAGCTTGCGCGTCACGCCTGGTTGAGCGCCGACTTTTGCGACGGATTGTTTCTTGTGCATGCCGTGGACGCGGAGCTTGTTGAGGAGGGTGCTTTTGCCTACATTGGGCATGCCGACGACGAGGGCGCGCATGCCGGTTAGGCTGTCGACTGAGCGGGCGACGTTGCGGATCTCGGAAAGGAGTTGTTTGGTTGTGGCGGGGTCGTCTTTGCGCCAGAAGACGACGCGCTGCCGGGTCGTGGAGGTGTTGCCGCCGCCGCCGGTGGGGGAGCGTCCGGAGCCATTGTGGAAGCGGCGGAGGGCATGTTCTACCGAGGCGGGGCTGTCGGCGCCGAGGTCGCGGTGTGTGTAGACGACGATGCGCTCGCGGCCGGCGATGGCGCGGTCGAGGACGGGGTTCCAGCTGGTTAGGGGCACGCGGTAGTCGCGGCACTCGAGGACGAGGCCGACGTCGGAGAGGCGGGAGGAGATTTCGCGGAGGGCGGCGTGGTGGTGGCCTAGGTAGTAGGAGCGGGGGATGGATTCGGAGACGTCGAAGCGGAGGCGGGGCGCGAATGCGGCGGCGGTGGTGGCCGTGTTTGCGCTCCAGCGCGCGGCGGTCGGGAGTAGCATGGCCGGGTTTGTGGGGGAGGGATGGGGGGACGGGAACGTGAACGGCTACGGCTGGCTTTGGGGAGAATTGGGCACCCTTGTGCTAAGGATCCGTTCCTAGCGATCACCTTTTCATCATTGGGTGAGATAATTGACTTCCTTGGAAGAAGTGCTTAGAAGTGGGAGGGGCTGACACTTGCAGGTGGTTGAAGCTGGTAATTTCGGGAGAGCATGAAGGTTGGTTTGTGTCGAAATTTCTTCAGCCTGGCGCCGATTGTCCGATAGCCTCGCAGCGATCGCATCGTCTGATTGGCTGTGGAGACGGGTGATCCCTGGAAAGTGAGGAGGGGCAATCTGCTGGCCCCGACGCCGACAGGCCATGACGTCAGCCTTGAGAGCTATCGCAGCTTGGACCGTGCGCACTACGTACCCTTGGCTGCATGTGGGGTCATGGCCTGCCAAGACTGGCCAATGAGCACGTGGGGAACGGTGGGATGTCGATTTGTCGAAACGGGGCCCGAACCTTCTCTTTTTTGAGAAGCCCTGGTAAATGAGTGCTTGGGAAAACTGGTTCGAGTCAAGGGAATCCATGGACCTTGGGCTGCAAGATGGAGTTCGTTGGGATGAGCAAGAGTTTGCGTTAGCGGTATTTTGTAGTGTTTTGAGTTCTTGCGCCTCTGCCGTTTAACCGTTCTGGCTTTTGTCGAGTGTTTCTTGTCTATTTCCAGTACGAATCTTCGGTTGTGTTCTATCTCTTGGCTTTCAAGATCGTGTATATGATTAGTTCTACATCGTTTAGATCGGCCTAGCACATTTGTTCTCATTACCAACACGCTGGGTCGCCATCTCTTGGGTATCTAACGACTTCGCACAGGCTCGTTCTGTGTTGATAATTGTAAAAGTCCATCCCACATGCCACCAAACCTCGCCCCCGCGGGGCCAGACAATGACCGCGGACCACCTTCTGCCACATCACCTCGACACCAGGACGATGTCATAACACCGGTCCGCGAGTCACACGGCCTTATGAGCGACAAGGCGGAGAGGAGGTTTACCGAAAAAGCAGAAGATCGGGAGGAAGTTTCCGCCCATGACGCGGGGTCAGAAGGCCGTCGTGGCGCACGACACAGCGAAAACAGAAACGATGGCACCAGCAACAGCAACAGCAACAGGTGGCGCGGCTACATCAAAAAAGATGGCAAGTTGAGGCCGTTCAGGCTGCTAAAGGAGGATTTTGGCAACTTCAGATTGAGGTACCTCTCTGACTGGACCGTATTCAATCAGCTTGTCCTGGCGAGCGCGGTATACGTCTTCTTCACCAATATTTTGCCTGGCATTACGTTTGCGAGCGACTTGTATGTCTTGACTGGGGAGTCGTGGGGCACGATTGAGGTGGTGTTTAGTACCGGGCTTTGCGGCATCATCTTTGCCTTGTGAGTTGTCTTGTTCACCTGAAAGCCTCATTTAGCCCGAGGCATCGTCTAACACATTTCCCCCAGATTTTCGGCTCAACCATTGACGATTCTTGGTGTTACGGGGCCATTTTCGGTGTTGGCAGAGAACATTTACACCCTATGTGAGAACTCGTTCAAGGTATCACATCCTTCTGAAGAACCGTATATGACCAGCAGACTAATGACGGACAGATCCCCTTCCTACCTTTCATGGCCTGGTCCCTGATCCACTCGGGCTGGATGCACTTCCTCCTGGCCATCTTCAATGCCCACGACTACACCATGCAATACGTCACCGACTTCAGCGCCGACATCTTCTCCCTCCTCAACAGCGTAATCTACTTCCACAAGGCCATTAGGGAGCTCCAGCGTACCAAAGCAGTCGTTTCTCTCGCCGCCTTCCTCTACTCCATCATCGGTGCCGCGGGCACCTGCCTCCTCGCCATTGCCCTGTCGACGGCCGTGTCGTGGAAGCCTCTGTTCCACCGGTACGTCCGCATGGGCTTGACCGAGTACGCCGCCGCCATCTCCATCGTCTTTTTCATCGGCATGCCATACGTCGGCGACCTGGCGACCCTCGACCACAACAGGCTGGAGGTCTCAAAGTCGTTCCGACCGTCGTCCCCGAGCCGCGAGTACTTTTTCGTCGAATTTTGGAAGCTCCCCATCGGCTGGATATTCATCGCCATCGTCCCCGGCATCATCATCACCGTCCTCTTCTACTTTGACCACGAGATCAGTAGCATCATCTGTACGGCCAAGAGGTACGGCACCCAGAAGCCGGGCGGGTACGCGTGGGACGTCATGCTCCTGGGCATCACGACAATCATGTGCGGCATCCTTGGCATCCCGCCCGCCAACGGCCTCCTCCCGCAGGCGCCGCTCCATTCCGAGTCACTCATGTACACCGTCTACGAGGACCCGCCGCCCGTCGACGAAGAAGCCGAGGAGGAAGGGCCTGGCGAGGGACCCCCCGCGAAGCCCGTCCAGCGCGTCCATGAGCAGCGGTACTCGGCCTTTCTGCAGGCAGCGGGTATCCTGCTCTTCATCTCGCCGCCCTTCCAGCACGTGCTAGGTTTCACGCCGACCTCGGTCCTCGCGGGGCTCTTCATGTTCATGGGCTTCCAGTCGCTGTCTGTGAACCCGATCCTGACGAGGATCTGGCAGCTCCTGACGCCCATTTCGGAGCTGCCTGCCTTGCCTCACGGCGCCAGCTGGATGGGGATCCATTGCTACACGCTCGCGCAGATTGTGCTTACGGGTATAGTCTTTGGCGTCACGTTGACTGTTGCCGCGCCCGGATTCCCTATTATCATCATCATTCTGGTGCCTGTGCGGCTGTTCTTTATGAATAAGATTTGGAGCCGGCAGACGTTGCGGTACGTTGATGGGTGGGCGACTCGAGAGGGGAAGCCCGAGGATAATGAGAGTGATCGGCGTCGGGAGGGTTTGGTTGCGTCGAGTGAGACATCTAGACGGGTTCCTGATGAGGAAAGGGGGTCCAAGACGGGGTGAGGCTCGGATCTGTTTCCTGGTGATAGGTTAGCACCAGTGGTGTACTTTATATGTTGTACCGCTCTCTGTTCACATTGGTACCGGTACCTTGTGATTGTGTCGCATTGTGACATGAACGAAACCCCGAAGCTCTGTACACATGCCAAGTCTGTATGAACAGGTGGGGTTTCTAATAGACAGCTACCCCCCACGCCAAACATCCAGTGACCCCTCAAGCCACGTCCCAGTCCGACAACATCCAGCCCCTTCCGAATACAGCTTGAAATGTCGCTTCGGATGATGGTACCCGTCAACGGCTGCATCCCCAGACGCCGCTGAGTCGAGCGGAGAGTGGGCGGCCCCCATAAGACACCTCGGTACGGCTGCTTGGTTACTTGATATGACAGGTGCCTGACATTACTACGCGCGACGACTACATGTTCATTCAGACTTTCACACAATACCTCAGCTTCGTCAACCAGAAAGGCCGTCAGCACCATGTCTCTATCCGTGGCAGGAAAATACGCAGTCATCACCGGCGCAGGATCAGGTCATCCCTCTCCAAACCCCCTCCTCCGACATCAACGCTACTCTCTAGACACCCGCATACTAACACCTCACAGGCATAAACCTCGCCTTTGCAAAGCTACTCCTAGAAAAGGGCTGCTCCGTCATGATAGGCGACCTTGCCCTCCGCCCCGAAGCACAGCAGCTCTTAGAGCAATATTCTCACCCCCAACCCGGCAGCGATAACAACACTAACCGCCCCTCAGCCCTCTTTCAAGAAACAAACGTCGCATCCTGGCCCGACCTATCCCGCCTCTGGTCCAAAGCTCTCTCCTCCTTCCCTCGTATCGACATCGTCGTCCCCGGCGCAGGCCTCTTCGAACCAGCATGGAGTTCCTTCTGGCACCCTCCCAAGACGGGAACAAACCCGGACAGTGAATCGAGAGACGCCGCGGACGCGGAGCCGGGGACCTACGCTGTCCTGGACGTGAACTTGACGCATCCGATCCGGCTGAGCCAGCTTGCGATCGGGTACTGGACGCAGGAGGGGAAAGGCGGGTGTCTGGTGCACGTGAGCAGTATCGCGGGTCACGCGGCGGGGATCGGGTCGCCTTTGTATATTGCGAGTAAGCATGGGTTGCACGGGTTTGTGAGGTGTATGGCGGGGATGAGGGATCGGTTGGGGATTCGGTGTAGTGCCGTTGCGCCTGGGGCCGTGATGGTAAGTTACATCTGTCTATTTCACGTGGAATGGGTTTTCAGCAGGAGAATGGTTGCTGACGGGCCGGGTCGCAGACTCCAATGTGGTCGGAGGACCCGGGAAAGAAGCACATGACGCAGGGTGAGGGCGTTGAGCTGTTCCTCGAGCCGGAGGAGGTTGCCAGAGGTATGCTTGAGCTTTGCGAGAATCCAGAGTACGGCAATGGGACGATTTTGGAGGTTTCCAAGGGGGCTACGCGCGTTGTGCCTCTATATCGGGCCGAGCCGCCTAGTGGTGTTGGTGTTGTTTTGCCCAGGCTGGCTGAGAATGCGGAAAAGGTCTGGAAGAAACTTGAGGGGCCGGGGTTGAAGATTTAATCTACCACAGAGGGCTGGTATACAGGAGGCATCAATGCAACGTTAGTTTCCACTTGGCTTTTGCCTCTTTACCGCACAGCCGTCTCTGAAGAGGGATGATCGAAGATTCTGTCCATAAGTGTCTCCAGGATGTTCTTTTTCCATTTCGAGCACAGAGGTGTTAGCGAGTGACTGACTACTCGGACAAAAAGCCCGGAGGCTTCCTTGCCCGTTCATAGCCTGTTCTTCATTGAAACCCCCAAAAAGCGCTGCGTCACTTATAATCTAGTCCAATCCCAGGGCATCCGTATGTGAATTGTGATTCTGTCTGAAGGATTTTGCAAAGCCTCATAACTGCTGCCCGCCGCCGGTCAGCAGTCAAGATCCTAGTCTTCTCAAGGTTCAATATCGTCTACAAAGCTCTGGAGTACGGGCATAAGATCCCCCTTTTCAATAAAACAGAGCCCCAAATGACCAGAGACGTGGTTCAAGAGAGAATCCAGCACGACAAACCTGCGGCTATGCTTCTGGGCACCGTGGGGAGCAACAGCCGACAGTATTCTTGTCTTAAACAGCGTCGGCCTCGACCATCTGCTGCAACGGCCTGTTGCTGACTTCGGAATTTTCTATGTTATCTTCCTAGTAACGATTCCGGCCAGCCAGCGGCAACAGTATCAGGCCGCGATAGCGACCGGAGTGGATTCGGTGACATATCGCAACTACCTCACTTCATCGAATTTCCTAATCGGGAAAGACGTAAATGGCCATACCCCAAAATGACAGCTGCGCCTCGACGATTTGAGACATCGTTGGACGCCACATTTACAGCCTCCGCATTCCTGCCTGACCTTACGTCAGGAATCAAAAAGCTCCCGTCGCTTTGCCGTGTGTAACCATCGTCCGAGTTGTTGAGTCTCGGCTCCCGGAACTTCATGAGGGCCTTGGGTCGACCAAGACGTTGAGGTAGAGATGTCGATGCCGAGGCGACCGCACCTCGAGCTATTCAATCCAGGCCCTGCAATAACCAAAGAGGCCAGCTTCGAGGTCTTCCAGCAGCTCCCAGTAGAGGTCCGTCTTTTGATTTGGAAGCATGCGTTGCACCGTCATCGGATGATATATATCCTACTTGAGAAGGGAAACGAGCCGAGAGAACAAGAAGAAGATGAATGCAATGTTGACGGAAGGGACGCTCTCATTGATAGCCTTGGTCGTCAAGTTTCCGGGTACCACTACAAGACTATCATCGACACCCGACGGCCCCTGTTACCCGATCTTATCAGAGTGAATAGGGAAGCACGAGACGCCGTGTTATCGTTCTATTCAACGCAATTGCCATGCCGCTTTAGACGAGACAAACATAGCGAAACAACATCCATTATCCGGCTGAACCTGGACTGGGACTACCTGCGAGTCTCCTACGGTAAAGCACACAACATCTTCTTCGACTTCATCCACGACCTCCGCGCCCACGACCCCAAAGGCCGCGGCCTCCAGCACCTAGTCGTAGAAGGACCCGACCATCGTACATCAGTCCACAACCCATCGTCACCCAAACGCACCTTCGCCGAAGGCCCCTCCCTAGACGCATTCAGAGCCACCGTCACAAAAGATCTCAAAAGCCTGTGGTTCAAGTGCACGCCTCGCGGCGCCCGCGCCCTCAACGTGCTGGAGTGGAGGCACGTCCACGTCTTCAACTATGGCGTCCCCGTCTTTCCGAGCTTCACCTTCTTCGACGCACCCCTACCGGATCCAAGGGCCGGCATCGTGCGGGATCTTGAAAAGATTGGCGGGAGCGTGTATGATCCGAGGGAGGGACCCCTCGGCTGGCGGAAGCTTCTTCGTGATGCTGGCTTACGGCCTGAGGACATGGCGGACAGGGGCCAGAACCGAAATCTGGACGTCCGCATCATGTACGCCTCGAGCGAGGAGGATGCCATTCGTACCCGCGAGGACGCGGCGAGGGTTCTACATGAAGAGGACTTTCGGTGGCTTGAGCTGCAGTGGTGGTTTCACGGGTGGGACACGCCCGCGGCCGGAGGACGTGGCGGCGGCGAGAGACCGGCAGGATGTTTCTCAACGGCGTCGGGGTTGCAGGCTAAGCGACCCGAGTTCGATGGGCCCGAAGTGTTGGCTGCGGCGCCGAGACCGGCCCTTGGGTTTTGGTTGTTCCCTGTCGAGGCGTTTGGGGAGATTCCGAGTGAGGAGGGAGAAGCGAGCAATTGGTTGAAGGTGAAGTGGGTATGGGACCTGAGTCCGCATCGGCCTGAACTTGCGCTGGCGGACGTATGTTGATGCTGGATCTTGGCGAATGATTCAAGTGGTCATTTTGGTGTATCGAGTGTTTGATATGACTGAGAACAAGAGACGTCAAGACACTCATCCATCATGAGTGAGTACATACAGTCGCTCATTGCTTGCGAATCCGAAAGCAATCATACATTACTTGCCAAACAAGGCGTTGACGAAGGAATCGACGAGATCGTCGATAACGGAATTGACGAATGTATCGGTGAAGACATGAAGGAGATAATCGACGTAAGACATGATGTAAATACGGATAGTCACAGCCTGTAGCTATTCTTGATCTTGACAAAAGAACCGAGGTAACGGATGTGTAATGTGTGTATGATTTGGTATGGAATGTGGCATACATCAGTAACTCGGGGCGACGGCATCACCTTTTATGGCGGCGACGAGGGTATATCCGATGCCATGGTTCCAATCTACCGCAGCCTTGAGGGACGGTGTAAAATCGGCTGGGTACACCTAACCTTATAAGATGGCGACGCGCCCAACTCCGCCGTTGATAGAATCAATCTGCGGTCATGAGCTTTATGAGAGGGGAAATTGAAGAGATGTTAGAAAAACAAAAAAGAAGATGAGTTGCATCGAGCTACCTTAGTGGAAACCTCGACTCATATTGAGTATCTCTAGCATGTTTACGGAGTATCGCCTTCCGTCCGAGTAATCAGCAATAAGATGGGCAATCAAATCATATAAATACGTGAAGTATGGACGTGGCTATTCGGAAAGAAGCACGCAATGAAGAACCCAGCGCACAACCGTTCTTCAGCTAAGTTACACTTGCCCCATACAGATACAAGCGCGGCCTCTTCCACAATAATGGGTGAATCGAAATTGCCCAACTTATACTTTCTATCGTTACCTTGTCTTCATCTCGTTTAACGTATTCATCTCGAATTAATAACGAATACGTTTGAGGCGCTAGAACGTGAAAGACGATAGTGTCGGAAGGACATTTCCTTTGCAAGACTAGCTATACGTGCACAAGATTGCGTCGAGAGAAAGAGTGAGTAAACCAAGGCTCCCGCAGCTCTAAGAGACGTTTGGAGTCCCAAAGGAGTTCGGGTCCTGAGGAGGTTGGATGCACGGCAGCCTTCGCACTTGCCTTTATACGTGGCTCTGTGATGGGGGATGTAAGTAGCTCAGTACTTATGCTTAAGAGGCATCAAAGGAGTTGCATGGAATCTTGGGCTTTGGTGGACCGAGGTCCAAAGAGGTTAGTGAATCTCGCGTGTCCATGTTGAATGAAATGCGTGACTGTGATTATTGTTGTGCAGAGCAAACGTCAGCATTGTTTTGGAGGTCGATCCTGTAACCGATGATATGAGTGGTAGGGAAGAAGGCTGTCTTGGATAAGCAACAGTCTCTCAAGACGACAAACAACAAATTGAAAATGGAAGCTGGTTCGAGATTTGTAAGAGAGCTTCAACCTGGGCGATAATTGGCAGACTCCCAATTCGTTCCCTCAGAATAAGGGGAGAAAGAAAGATAACATAGATACGAAGCAGGAAAAGGTCTCTTGGGAGCAATCCAAGTTTGAGCTCAGTTATAGCCAGTGCTACAACATGAGAAGCCATCAGACTCAATCATGAGATAGATCTACAAACATCTATATAAAAAGAGATATACAAGCAAGTTTGAATTACTGGTGCTCCTCTCCGAAAGCGAGCACCTCGTCTATATCCAGCATCTTGTACGGCCCTAACTCGAAGGCCAATCCATCCTCCTTGTGCTCCGGCGTCCGGACAGCAGAGCAAGTCATGTAATCCGGACCCAGGGCCCTCAGGGAGACATTCGCGTCCTCCACCTTGGCCCCTTTGAAAACGATCTCATGATCCGCGACCGCCTCGCCTTCGGCACCAAAGCTCTCCGCAGGCGTCGGCGGCCGGAACTTTTTGAACTGCAGATCCCCCAGCCAAGGCGCGAGGAGCGCCTCGCCCGTCATCTTGACATACGCCTCCCGCAGACACCACAGCGCGTAAAAGCACCGCAGCTTAAAGTCGGCCGCGTCCTCGAGCGAGGCGCCCGGTTTCAACCCCGGCGGGATCGCCGCCAGGACCTGCCACTTCAGGAAGTTGGCCTCGATGGGCGAAAGCACATCGGCGTGGACATCGACGAACTTGGGCCAGCCCTCCTTGCTGAGCATGCCGTGGTCCCTGGTGCGGCGTTCCGAGGTGCAGACGATGTCGACGCCGACGTCGACGGGGCCCCTGGCGGCGATGTCGTAGCCGTGGACTGCGAACATGGCGACCAGCCCTGCCTGGTGGCTCACGTTGAAGCTCAGCGGGCTGGTGCCGTCAGCGGTTCGGAAGATGGGCTTGGTGCGCTCGTCGCGGACGGCGGTGGCATCGTGCCAGGGGACGCCGCAGAAGCGACTGATGGCGTAACGTTTCAGGAGGTGCGAACCCAGGGACAGCTTCGCGTCGCGGACGTGGTAGTACTTTAGCACGGCTTTACACTCATCGGCGGTGAGGAGTGCGAAAGCTCGGGATGCCTTTTGAGCGGGTTCGGTTTCGTGTCAGTTTGTTTCTCAATTTCTTCTTTGTCTTCTTTCTTCTATCACCCAGGTCCCCATTATTCCAGGGGTAAATGGTACGCAGGGGGTGGGAGAGCTTCGAACTTCGAAGTTGCTGTTGCATAGAGAAGGGAGGGAGGGGGGATGACTTGGGACGAGCAGTTTTGGAATGGTTCGCCGGGACATGTTTGAATAATACAGAGCCGCGAAACGGGCATGGGGCAACGGGCAAACGGCAATGCAAATTCGATCGGGAACGGGGTGCAGTACGTACGGCTTGTTCGAGTTGCTTCGTTTCAGTGGCTTCCGGCCATAGATGCCGTGTATCCAGGATCCACTGTATGATAGTCGGGGCCATCTTGATCGGTGGTTTCCCTCAGTCTCTGGGTGTTTCGAGGATGCTTGTCGGACTTGGAAACACTGGTTGGTTTCTCGCGGTGCCTAATGCCCGTCCGTTTGCTTCCTCTGTTGACGCAACCTGCAGCCTCGACGAAGGTTTACCCGAGGCAGGAGGGTTTCCTTGAAGAGTCGGCAGCAATACTTCAGCCTGCTCTGTCTCTGGTGTTGGTAATCTGCCCAAGATCCAGACCCGGCTTTGTCGTCGGAAGGAGGGATGAAATGTGCCTGCCAAGAAACCCTGAATAAGGTTAAAGATTGGCAACAAGCTGAAGTTGCGTCTTTTGACACGCTATCTGCCCCGCTGTCGCCGGTTGAGAAGTTGACGAGACGACAAGGACACCGAGACGAGCGTCGTGGGTAAGACTGGAAGCAATTGGACGACAGGGGTTCGGTGAGGTAAGGTAAGCGGAGTGAGGATGCAAAGCTGCAAGCGAGTAAGACCCGGTAGATAGAGTGAGGTAAGCTTGACTATGTTGTGCTCTTGGCAGACGGGCAGCCCGGCGACGTATGAGGGTGACGGATCGACGATTTGCAGAATCAAGTTTCAGACATCAGGCCATCGAGTTCTTGGGAGGATTTGCGAGTCGCTCGTAGTTTCACCGAGGGGTTTGGACCGTTGATTGACGAGGGTGAGATTGTCACAGGTTTCCGTGGGGTTTAGTCCTTTGAGTGGGAAAGGGAAGGGGTGGGCAGGTTGAGACGTTTCCACGTCCCCTTCAAGCTGGAAACTGCCCGGGGGGGTTGGAGGGGCAGCAAGGAGGGGCCAAAGTGCCCGCAGCCCACCTATCCGTAGGACGTAGCCTAGTGGAGGTGAGCAAGGTGAGGTAGGTACCTCCGAGCCCCGGAACAAGGCGGACCAACGCCCGCTAGCGCCCTTTTCCCTGGTGGAGGGGTGTCACGGCTGCAGATCACACCGAATCCGCGGCTTGACCCCTCCACCTTTACCGCCCCAAACCTTTTCTCAACTTCAACTCCACCCCTTCACTACATTGGATATCAAATTGGCATGACTTACACTGTCTCACGCTCTCTATAAAGCAGTCTTCGTCTGTCCTTCATCTCTACCAGTCTTTTCCCCTTCTTTTCTCTTCAGCGCAATTCTACCCTCGTTCACAGAATTCGCCACGTAGCCGAGTCTCTCCGCCAAACTCATCCAAAGATTCCTGCGTTTCTTCTTTCCACATCGTCTCAACTCGCCTCCCTTGTTCCGCCGCCATGACCGCCAACCAAGCCACGATCACAAACCTACCGTCATTTTGCGACGTCGAGCAGGCCAGGAGTGCACCTTTCTTCTTTTGCTCCGCTGGCCAGGTCGTCTCCCTTCTAGGTGAGACTTGATCTCGGAAGCGTAGAGCAAAACTTCTTTTTTTCAACCTTTCGATTTTCCTGTGTACGCGGCAATGGGACGCCAGCCGAAGTCCAGTCGAGAATCGAATTCTTCATACCAAACCTTTTACAACAACCCGCTGGGAGGCATCCGCATGGGCCTGAAGCGTCGATGAATCCATCCGAAAGAGTCCACGCGCCGGGGAAAACGTGCGACACAACTATGAACACCCCGGCGCGGCTGGCCGCGGATGACGAGCGTCCGCTGGAGAGAGCCGCGTGATCCTGAAGCGACGGCGCTTCTTTTTTTCTTCCCTTCCCGCTCGATCCTACACGTCTCCTGCCTGCCTCGCCTGGGCTTGGTCTCTTCGTCGAGATAGAGAACAGGGCTGAGAAGGTTGGGGGTTCCATCCTGACCCGCCTGGCCTGGTCTCTCCGTGAGATAAGGACGGGTTAGAGAAGGAGGAGAATGACAGAGTGGGAGGGGGGCGTCAACCTTTTCTTTTTCTTATTTTTTTCATGTCAGCCCATCATAACGCCGAGAGTTGGGCAAGCCCGCTGAAGCGCTCGGGATGGGCCCGCGTCGTCAAGTCCGTCTTTATACGGGAATGAACTGGCGCGGGTCCGAAATTGCGTGGAGGGTCCCTTGCAAAGTCTGGACCTTTTCGTTGGTGCGAGGGATTATGGTGCTCTTGTGAGAGTACCGACCAACCAGACCCAAACAATTTAATGGAGATGATCCACGGAGAGGGGGAGAATCCGGGGCATAGGGCTGTGGAGATGATTCACACGATTAACGGGGCCGCATAGTGACGGATATCTGGAGGTGGCTCTCGAGGGCTATACGCAAGGTCCGATGGGTTACGGAAGAATTAATATCTAAGGGCAACTGAACCAGCCTCATAATATAATCTTAATTGATCACATCTATTGTTTTCTCAGCAAGGGTCCCGTTCCATTATCATTTGACTGCAGATAAATTGTAGAGTCAGCCATCCTTGATGGACTTCAGGGACCTCCAATTCTTGCACACGTAACAATATGTCTTGATGACTGTGTCGAAGGCGATTTCAATTAAACTGCCCAAGCCCAACTACAGTTTGCCAACGATATATCCTTCCGTAACCGCGACCAGGAAATTACAATGTCCATGAAAGAGGAAGGAGATTCAGTCAGCTTCGCCTGGTGAACACTTCTGTCCATCGTCTAGTGCAGTACTGAAGATGATTCCAAGAAATGGGCACTGTGTAGTCATAGGCATCTTTGTGTTATTGAAAGGAGAGCCCACACCTCCATGTTTCGTGATAGGGATGGTTGTAGCCATGCTGACGTACGTTGAAATATGACTGGGTATGCAAGATATGTTTTCGAAGAGTGAGCTTGTATGAGTACCCACGGCTAGTTCTTGGTAGCATACAAAAAGTCTCCAAGTGACTCGTTCATGAGCCAAGAGGGTGATGTAATGACCCGACCCCGAATACACACCTGATTGAATACACGAGAAGCCCATATATACCCCTCCAAGTCCATCCCTGTCACCAGCACAGCAGGCGCCTTCCTAGGTCGGTTGGTCAGGTCAAACTGGCTGGGTGGTGGAGTGGTTCATGGTCAACAATTAAAATCGCCAACCAGCCTACTCGACGACAGGCTTAGCGCATACGAGAGTACCCGAGTTCGAGTCCCGGAATGAGCACCATGAATTTCCCAGCATGAGCACCAAGAGATGTAGCCCCCAATTCAGCACCGGGGGGGTGAACTCTTTTTTAGATGCCCTTGGCATCAAGCTCCCTTATGCACAAAGGAGTACTAGGCTATTAACAGTGGCGATGCCGACGATGTATCTCCCATGCCGAGTGAAGAGGGCTGATACCAAGATCTGGGCTAGGCTGTAGACAAGACTTGATACAGTGTTAACCCAACGGGGGTTTAGATAGAGTCAGAATGGCTTGCTCATAATCCTTACCGTTGTACTGCTATTCACATCCCGTAAAGTCAGATCCGTACTTTATCAAGAATAGACGCTCTAGTTTCCAATCTTCTTAGTGGAGAAGTTCTATGGCCGTGCGAATCTTACAATTCCTTTTGAATACATAAGTATGCTTTTGCCTCGTGGTCCGTCGTGAGGATCCAAGAAGATGCAGCTCGGGCCTGTCCTAAACAAGGCCACATCGTTTTCATGTGTTTTGAGAACGCCATGACGCCTCCCTATGCCTTGCTCTTCAGATCATACACATAGTTTGTACAAGTATTGTATCCAACAACCGCGCCTGTCAGCGGTTATCCTCCTCTTGTTGACTCCCCTGTTGTCTTTCTCGCCCTTATGCAATTCACTTCTTCTGCGCGGCCTCCTGCTCCTTGCGGTACTGCTCATTCTCGACCTCGCGCCAGTCCCTAGGCGCGGGCTCGTTGCCGTCGGTTTCGCCCCTGCCGCCGGCAAAGGCGGGCCGTCCGGCGTAGAGCTGGTATCCTTTGCCGCTCTCGGCGTCATTCATGGTCTTGTAGTTGACGGGCATGTTGCCACGGAAGCGCTTGCGCATGTCGACCATGCCGCGCTTGCACTCGCCGAAACCCTTTTTGAGCTGCTGGCACTTTGTTGGGAGTCCCTCGACGAGAGGCGATCGGAGGCAGTCGGAGGCGCTGTTACGCTGGACCATGACGCACTCGGATTCCTGGAGGCATTGCGCGAGAGCCTCACCTGGGGGTAAGGAGTTAGTTTGCTGTCACTATGGCAAGTAAGAGAGGAGAGAGCGTACGCAGTTCTTTGCAAGAGCTAGGCATGGTGACGGTGGTTTGGCATTCCCTCGGTACCTTGGAGACGACGAGTACACGGAAGTGGTGCGACTATCTGGGAGCTGTCGCCTGTCGGAGCTTCGAGTTCGCGATGAGCGGTCCCCCGGGCCCCGGGGAAGAAGGGGAAAAAAAAACATCACAGTTGTGATTGGCCAAGATGGAAAGGATAAGACCCACCTTTGTGCAGCGGTCTTCTGCAAGGTGTGAGAGTCGCAGAGGCAAGAGTAGGGCCGCTAGAGTTGGATGTCCCTGCAGTCCTTCAATAAGAAAACCCCCACTTTGGGGAGCAAGTTGGCAAGGATGCGGGCTCCTCCGTCCAACCGCGTGCTCACACGCCAGCGTCCCTGCCACTGACACACTGTCAGATCGGTTGATTGGAATGATTTGGGGAGTACAAGAGGGGCCAAGGAGGCCCAAGGAGGCGTGGCCCGCATGGGAGAAGTCGGGAAGGTGTGCTGTGACCTTGGACCTGGACCTTTTTGGGAGCTTCCAGCCCAGATGGGATGCCATCCATCCTCACATGTGACATCACATACCTTAAGATGCAGTAAGGTACCTTTCACCTTTCCTTACCTTACCTTAGCTTTGCACATCTTCTTCCCTCTAGAAACCTCAGACTTCCCACACACCGCGGACCACTCACTTCCAGATTCTCTCCGCTGACGCATTCTTACGCCCAGCCATTGCCTGTCGACAAACTACGCAGGCGTAAAATCACTTAAGCTTTTCGTCGTCTGCGCATTCGGCGATGATGGCTTGAAATCCCCATGCAACCTTTTCTTCTTCTTTCTCTCTTAGACATACTCGTTCCTGCCGCGCCACGGCTTCTACGTTAAATTAATCTCGTTCCAATCGCGCAACCACCATGGCTATTCCTTTCATTGGGCGATTGAACATGTAAGAGATGCTCCTTGCCCGCCTTGCTTGCCTGTCGTCCTCTTTTCTTTTCCCTCCCTTTCCTCCCTGTTCCTGGCCTTTCCCCTCGGTCCCTCGCTCGAGCTCGAGCTCCCCTTCCAATGCAGCGCAACTCGCGGATAAGACTTGGCCTGGCACTAATGGCATTGCGCAGCGTCGAATATGTAGCTCTAGTGGGGTCCTTCTTACTTGTCGGGCTCGAGGCTATCATCCGTATCCTGACCTTGGCTCTGCGTACGAAATGCGCCTCCCTCCGAGCGGTGGCGTCCAAGCTAGCTAACTCGATTTCTCTACAGCTTCGCCGCTTATCTCGCTCTTCTATAGAGCATCCCGTCGCTTATTTAACCGATATTCGACCCCGGAACAGAAACGCGCCGAGCAAAAAAAGAAATGTTCGTCTATGTCTGGCGGCTGTCCCAACCCTCCTTTGTGTGATTCATCTTGCGCTAACCCGTCGTGATGCCGCGCAGCCATCTCCACCTCCGTGCGAGACGCCTCCGACTTTGTGGATCTTTGCCGCCTGTACGGATATGAAGCTGAGGAGCATGTCCTCCAGACCAAGGATGGATACCTGCTCGGTCTGCACCGGCTGGCATGGAAGAAGGGCGAGGAGGAACAAAAGATCAACAGCGGACCGGGAAGTTTGATGAAGAAGGTCTTGTACCTTCACCATGGGCTGCTCATGAACTCCGAGGTTTGGGTCTGCTTGACCGATGAGCAGCGATGTCTTCCTTTTGTGCTCGTCGAGAAGGGCTATGATGTCTGGGTCGGTGTTTCGCCTTGCGATAAGTTGAGGGCGCATATGCTGACTATCCGCGTAGCTTGGCAACAACCGTGGCAACAAGTATTCCAAGAAGTCGGTGCATCACTCGCCCAAGTCGACTGATTTCTGGAACTTTTCCATCGACGAGTTCGCCTTCCACGATATTCCGGACAGCATCTCATACATCCTGGAGACAACTTCGCAGGAGAGCTTGTCGTACATTGGCTTCTCCCAGGGAACTGCGCAAGCCTTTGCCACCCTTGCTATTCATCCGAAGCTGAACCAACAAGTCAATGTCTTCATTGCCTTGGCGCCGGCCATGTCACCAGCAGGTCTTTCCAACGGAATCGTCGACGCTCTGATTAAAGCCTCACCTCAGGTTCTATTCCTCCTCTTCGGCCGCCGATCCATCCTCAGCTCCGCCACCATGTGGCAGTCCATTCTTTACCCACCCATCTTTGTTAGAGTCATTGATATGGGCCTTTCCTTTTTGTTCAATTGGCAGACGAAGAACATTACACTCAGCCAAAAACTTGCGGCATACCCACATCTGTACTCCTTCACCAGCACAAAGAGTGTGGTTCACTGGTTCCAGATCATCCGGAACAAGTCGTTCCAAATGTACGATGACGACGTCCACCCACCCATGTCGATAAGCTCTTCCAGCAAGTACACTAAGGTCGCCAAATACCCCACACGAAATATCAAGACGCCCATCGTTCTTGTCTACGGCGGTAGCGATTCGTTGGTCGACATCAAGGTGATGCTCAAGGAGCTCCCAACCCAAACAATAGCCACCGAGATCCCTCATTATGAGCACCTTGACTTCCTATGGGGCAAAGACAACAATGTCCAGGTGTTCCCTCATGTTTTCGATGCCCTCGACAGTTTCACTGATGCTCAACACACAAAGGAGGAATACGATCGGTACCAGCTAGCGAGGCAAGAGAGTCTCATGGGCTCTGGGAATGCATACAAGAGACACGCCTATAGGGATAGCGATGTTTCTGGCGATGTCTCTGCCAGCGAAGCTTCGAATGCTGTGGATGAGAGCCGGAATGGTAACGGTGTCGAGACCGTGGAGACGCCCGCTCCCCAAAATAAGACCCGAGACCGTCCTTCTGGGATTCCTTCCCCGTACAACACCACCCGCCTACGTACTCCATACTCCCAAGTTGCAGCCGACGACGAGTCGCCGTCGCCCTCTCCAGATAGGCCTTCCAGCCGTGCAGCCGAAGGCGAAGAGCGACCGGACAGCTCGTTGAGCCATCGTGAGTCTCCAACGTCCAAGCTCAAGGGCATCGGCGTTCGGCGGGGAAGTGGAGGCAGCCACCTGAGCCTGGATAGTATGCGCGAAGGACGGGGCATCAGTCTCGGGACGAGTAAGGCCCTAGGCGGCGTGGTCACAAAGAATCCCATCGATCCCAAGGGGCTTGCGAATGTCGTTCCTGATGAGAGCAAGACTGGTGGGAAGAAGAAGAAGCGTGTAACGGTTGCGCCGTAGGCCTTGACTGCCAAGGACCTGGGAGGTGTAGGATATGGATTGGATCAAGGCGGCAAAACAGTACATCTTTCGTAGTGTAATGTATTCACTAGATTCGTCCTGGTTGGACCAGACGGCGAATTGATCCCCGGTGCTTCACTTTTCTCCATCATTTCTGAGGTCCTTCCACCAAGTCTGTACCCAACAAGTGAAGACGCGCATTTCAATTATTGACCAAGCGTCAAAGCTTTCCTGCTCTTCGTTTGATGCAACCTCTGCACGTGCTCATCGACCGGGAGCTCCCCCTCGCCTAGCAAAAGTATATCTGGATTGCGGGCCGATAGGATCAGTTACCTTGTGGATTGCGGAGAGCTATGTAGAAGATTGGATTAAGCTCGAAACTAGGAGAGTTTGGACGAACACCCTTGCAACCTCACCGCCCCTGGTTACTTGAAGCAATTTGACGGTTCAGCATAGTTTCCTTCGATTTACCTGTGTTCTTAACCACGGATAAGAAGGATGGCATTTGCTATCGCACTTCTGGGATGATTCGGACAGGCCCAATTCCACGTCAACGGCGAGTCTTGATCTTGATGGAAGATCCTCCGGACGTTCTTCCGCTTGAAGAGCGAGTGGGTATGCCCCGGATAACTGTTTTCAGCCCGAATCAATACGGATTCAATTATTTGAGGCGCCACGAACTGTCATGGATGACGGAGCTACCTAAAGCACTATGATGAGCGAATTATCCAACATGCAGTGTGCGCTTCTGCTTGCTAGACCTCACAGGTATTTCATTTCTACCCCCCCCCCCCCCCCGACTTTTAAGTCTTTCCCCTGCATGGCGAGCGGCGCCATGTGTAAGTGTCTAGACCCAACGCTGCCAAAGTCGAACGAGATGACACCAACAGGGTTCCTCATATGTCTGGGGATGAGCCAAGGAAAAGTGATGAGGATGTTGAACGGGGAGCGTTTGCCCCGTATCAAGATGTTATGTTTGCCCTTGACCTAAGCTGCACATGCCAAATGCTCCTAAGACGAGCTCGATCATGATTTCTGCTCTCCCCACGAAAGAATGGTTTCCCCGTCTACCCTGAGGGGTTGGAAGTATATCATACCTTCCGAATCTTTCCCTCTTCCTTCTCGATATGTTTTCTCTCTCTGAGAGTTTTGCCATCATTCCCCTTGTCTTATCCTGCCATTGAAAGGACATTGAAGCCCCTCTGGCTCATCCCCTTTCCCCCCCTCCCATCAATCTTACCATATCCATCTCTCCTCCCCGGCACACACCGCGAGCACCGCGGCAAACCCACCCAAGATGGACTACAACAAAATGATGGAAATCGTCCAAGACGCCCACAAAGACCCCTCAAGCATCGACCCAGACCGCATCTTAAACTACATCTTCGCCTCCACAGGCTACAGCATAGAAAACCCCCCTCCCCCACCCGTCATCAACCAGCTCAAAATTGACTTTGCCCGCTGGCTGCCCGCCTTTTGCTTCCTCAAGCCCGATCTCGAGTACTGCAAAGAGGGGGTAATCTCTTTCTATTCGTACCGCGTCTCCCTCGCCGCAAACGTCACCTTTCTCGTCCTGTTTGCCCTGTCCTTTGGCGGGTTCGCGTACACCATGGCCCGCACGCGCCGGGCGAACCTGTTTAGCGTGGCCATGATGCTGGGGATCGTGTCCGAGATGATTGGGTACGCGGGACGCATCTTTAGCTGGAAGAACCAGTGGAACGAGAATCCTTTCTTGGTGCAGGTTTGCTGTTTGACTGTCGGGCCGGCGTTCCTCGCTGCGGGGATTTATCTCTGTCTGCGGCAAATTGTCACTGCGTTTGGGCCCAAGAATTCGAGGATCCCGCCGAAATGGTACACCAGGATCGTAAGCAACCCTCACGTGCTCTCCATGATTATATGGAAAACACTACAATTGAAAAGCAAAAAGACAAATCTAACGAACTCACCCAGTTCATCCCCTGCGACCTAATCTCCCTCGCCCTCCAAGCCGTAGGCGGCGCCCTCGCCTCCGTCGCCTCCAAACGCGACCTCCCCACCGCAAAAGGCGACGCCGTCATGATTGCCGGCCTCGCCTTCCAAGTCTTCACCATGTTCGCCTTCATGCTCGTCGCCGCAGACTTCGCCCTGCGCACCTACCGCGCCTCCCGCCACGCCCACCTCCCCAACCTCTCCTGCGCCCTCGACAACCACCCGGACATGGTCCGCCTCCGCCGCTCCTCGCGCTTCAAAGGGTTTCTGGGCGCGTTGGTGGTGTCCACCGTTTGCATCTTCATCCGGTGCGTCTTCCGCGTCATCGAGCTCAGCGGCGGCTGGACGGGCCCCCTGATGGCGCGCCAGGATCTTTTCATCGCGTTCGAGGGCGTCATGATCGTCGTCTCGGTTGTGGTGTTGAATTTCTTCCACCCGGCGCTGTGTAGCTCGCACCTGTTTGAGCCGCCGGCTGATCGTACGGCTGGTGTGCCAAAGAGGCGTAAGAGGGTGATTTCGGGACCGAGGTTGGTCAACTTTGATTCGTACGAGAAGAGTCACGGGAGCTCCATCGAGACTGCTTAATGGGTTGGGCTTATGCCGAGTTTTTCCCAATGTCCTTGTATCTTTTCTCCCAAAAAAAGCATGTAATACTGTTCCAGACGCTTCCTCCATGCTTTAGGCGTCAGTAGTATAGACCGACTGCTTACCCCTTTTTTTGCTTTTATTTTCTTTTGCTGAAAAAGCTCAATATTATGGATGGATGGATGGATGGATGGACGGACGCCTTTTTCTTTTCTCTTTCATTTTCTTCTTTCCTCTTTTCTCTCACTTCTCTTCTCTTCTCTTCTTTCTTTTCTTTCTCTCTCTTCTTCTGTTCAACCTGCCTTGGTTGCAAATACTACATAGCTGGGAGGAGGTGGCTTTTTGGGCGGGCACGAGAGTTTAATCAAGGGTTCAATCAGAGGTGGTATGCAGAGTTTGGGGTCCGTCAGTACGTAGTCAGAACATGACTGTATTTCCGTTAGAAATAAATTCAGTTGTATTCCACGTACCGAAGCAAGGTCCCCAGCCCCTTTTGACTGGGTTCTCAACATTGACACATGAGCGCACCATAATCACATCCATAATCACATGAAGTAGCCATCTGAGCAAGAGATGAAGACAATGGAGTTTGATTTGAATACGTACGACCCACTACGGGCCACCTGAACAGCTCTTTCGAGGTGACAGCAAGCAACTCAAAGGCTTTGCTATCCCTCAGTTGTCTCAACTCAAAACATGGGAGTGATCTCAGCCACTCTTTTCCAACACTATTTTTTCTTTGCCTACTTGCCGTTTTCCATTGTACCTGTGCCTCACTCCTGATTGCCTCAGGCCGTATCATTTCTGAAAGTAACGCAAGGAGGGGGTATCTCGCAAACGCCGCCCAAGACTCTTTTCAGCTGGCCAAAAGGGCCTCTGCTGAGAGGTATGCGGTGGGTATGTGTGTAAAGACGAAGGGAAGGAAACAAAATTCTCTGATGCCAAAGGAAAGGAAAGGGGATGAGCCAATACTCAAACAGTCCAATCGACATGGACATAGGGAGATACAAACGAAGCTTCATCAAGCTCGTGTCTCGTCCGCCATTCAGATCGAAACATTGCCAAGAGGCAGAATTTTTGACGGGTCGCCATTGAAGCGGTTGTGGTAATCGACTATGCCCTTTGCAATGCTGGGGAAGTCTTTGATGTTCTGAGATCTCATCTCTTGCAACAATCTACGCAATCCATCGTTGAACTGCGTTTTCTCGGGTCCTTCCAGGGTCGTGCCACCCAACTGGAGGAGAATCTGGTCGTCTAAACCGCGGGGGAGCGACCGTCAGCGCTCGACATGCCTCGAGGACACGCAACGTGGTTATTAGTCCTTGCGGGGTGAAGGCGACCTACCCGGCAGCTTCATGGACTCGAAATGCTGGTAAATGCAGTCAGCACCCCGAGGGCAGTCCCGGCTGGCTAGCTGGTCTGGACAGATGGGTAGGTTCGGATCAATCCTGTTGCTGTAGGTGAGGGACCGAAGCCCGCCAGGGACGGTTTCAGCAAACTTGGGATGGTATCGGTAAGCACGGAAATACTGCAGTGGACTCTCGTAAGGGGTGAAGCGTTCTCCAGACGATGATGCCTCATCAGTGCTCTGTGTGGCAAGCGGGGCCTAGCAATCAAGTCAGTAACCGAAGCGCTTCCTTGGCGCAAAACAAATTGTACTTCTCTCACGGCGTTGACACCCTGCTCAGGGGTCGACTCGTTAACTCCCAGCGAGATCTGCTCGGGAATCTGTGAGGCTCTGGCACTCGTTTGCTGTGAGTCAGTGTCACTGTTGACAAGCGAAACAGCGCTATCTGCTGCGACTGGGCTGATGGACGGAGACTTCGCGGCAGCTGCCGGAACAACATTCTCAGCGGGCTCGTAGTCGTCTTCAGGCTCTTGCTCCGAGGAGCTGGAGTCATCAGACTCGGCCATGGCAACATCGGAGGCATCATCACTGGTGATTGGCTGCGACTCATCATCATCACCCACAGTCTCAGGGTTGCTGGGAGTCTCATGAAGCGCAGGCATGGGGGTCTCTGTGGAAGGTGGGGCTTGCGAAGGGCTCGCTGCGGCTTTACCAGTGACCGCATTTTCGGCATCATCTGCCGTGTTGGCAATGTCCTTGTCGAGACTCATTGCAGGAGACTTGCTGGAACGCACGCTTGCAGCATTAGATTGTCCAGCCACTTTGCTGGAACTCTGCTCAGCGACCGCGGCAGCAGGCAAAGGAGTCTGCAACTCGGACTGAGGGCCCATCGATGTTGCAGTGACAACGGGGTCGACTTTGTTGAGTTACTATTGAGTATATAATAATGTTTTCAGGATGAGGACTTACCGGAATTGCTTTTCAACTGGTTTTGAGGCTCGGACAACTCATCCGAGTCCTGTTCGAGCTGTTCCATCTCTTGCCTCAATTTCTGCTTCTCAGTCTCCTCTTCCTGAATCTCTTGCTCTAGACGAGACAT